CCGTGATGATGATGAGAGACATCGCAAACTCCAAATATATAGCAGCAGGCATCGTCAGGGTCGAGATGGAACCCACGACCTCCTGTATACCAGGCGAGGTAGTTAACATCTCCTAGCCACCGTGATGATGATGAGAGAGAGACATCGCAAACTCCAAATATACAGCAGCAGGCATCGTCAGGGTCGAGATGGAACCCACGACCTCCTTAGACCAGGCGAGGTAGTTAACATCTCCTAGCCACCGTGATGATGATGAGAGACAGACCTCCTGTAGACCAGGCGAGGTAGTGAACATCTCCTAGCCACCTGTGCCAAACCTCTCCTGGCCTCTGCGCTGTCTTTATTTCCTACTCTCTCGCGTCTATGCCACAGTTAGACAGTGAGGAGTATCTTGATCCGGTCCTCCTCCCCCCCACTAGGTCGACTCAGCCTCAAAGGAGTACCCGGGAGTAAACATCGCCACGAGGGAGACAAAGGCGGCCCGGCGTGTGCCAGAGTGCCAGTAGCCTTCATCGGTGCTCGCTAACGGCACTTGCACCAACAGTCTGGTACAGGCTATTCGGGGGATCTTTGTCTTTGTTAGATTAGACCAGGGGTCACCAAACTACGGCCCGCGGCGCCAGTCCATCAGGCCCGCCGACGGTTACTTGAATTTGGTTGATAAAACGTATGGAACCACGAGACGTTGTGATACAATTTAAGTTTAAATATTATGTTTAGAATACCAGGAGATCTTCACGCGTGCGGAGACCTCCTGACTGCTATGTTCCTTAAATTTACTATTTTAAATTTTAAATTATTGCATCTAGATTTTCTTGTTTATTGTAATGTTTGCTTATTTCGCGCCATCCCAAGTCCTTCCCCGGCTCGTGGTAGCTCCGCCTACGCTCTGATGTTACCATGGTTTCCAAGGCAACGTCATGGCAACATGTCACCATGGTTTCCATGGCAACGTCGCGGCAACACGTTACCATGGTTTCCATGGCAACGTCATGACAGCACGTTACCATGGTTTCCATGGCAACGTCATGGCAACACGTTACTATGGTTTCCATGGCAACACACACAAACACGCATCTTTCCCGCCCCCAAGATTTTCCAGCTGTCAACACAGGTCCGACGCTCCAGAAATATTTATTTTGATTTAAAGCTTTCGTGACTGCAGTAATCCATATGCTTAGCTCTTTCGGTAAAGTCACGTTGAAGGGAAGCAATAAAATAATAAAATATATATATAAAACAATCAAAATTCTCACGACGTTTCGACCATAACACCAACTGTCGTCATCAGGTTATGGACGAAACGTCGTGAGAATTTTAATTGTTTCATATATATTTTATTATTGATTCATATATATTTTATTATTTTATTGATTCCCTTCAACGTGACTTTACCGAAAGAGCTAAGAATATGATAATTTTTATTGTTTTATATATTTTTTATTATTTTATTGTTTCCCTTCAACGTGACTTTACCGAAAGAGCTAAGATATGAAATATTTATTTATTATGCGGCCCGCGCTCGTCATTCTTTCAGTTATCCGGCCCACTGTGAAAAAAGTTTGGTGACCCCTGGATTAAACTATGGAGCTTGCCATGTTTGTGACTCGAGTGTGTTTTGTTGACAGTTAAATCCTCGTTTGTTCGTTGTGAAAGATTCCTTGGGGACCCTGTACCCGTTCTCTGCAATATTTGTGTAATAGATCAAATAAACTTAAAGTTCTGGCCTCTGTGTGTGTGCGCACGATAAAAAAGGACCATTGCCCGAAACGTCGCTATTGTATATCCTTCTCCTCAGGCCACACATTTGTGTATTAACACGGAAACGTGTTAATTTATTTTAGCTGTGCTTGTAACGCCACCGTTAACGTAGCCGCATCGCGCAACAAGTACTGTATAATTGGTTTATACGATACAATATATTTTAATTATATATAATTGGCGCAGGCACCGAGCGGCTTTTCGCTCAGGCGCCGCGGTCGCCCCCACGGTTCCCGCGCCGCCACGCGAGGCCCCGCCCCTACTCCCGCCCCACCCCCTCGGGCCCAGCAGTCGCGGGGTTGCGACGGCCGCCGTCTAAAAACGCCGCAGCGGGGTCATGCTTCTACCGTCGGACATAGCCAGACTCGTGCTGGGTGAGCTCGGATCGCGGCCTCAGCTCCTCTCTCCGTCGCGACGTTCGCCATCGCCGCCAGCCGTGGTGCCCCGACCTTCGTGAAACACCGCAGGGCTGTTATTCCCAGGCCTGGCCGTTTGCCTGATTCGGGTGCCGGGCGAGGTGGTCCATCCCCGGTGGGCAGTTCTGTTTCGCGTGGGCCGCAGTGTTTTTGAGTTTTTTGTTGTTGTTAAAGTTCTTTTAATTTGTTACACGGATGATCCAGTTGAGCGAGTTTCAAGGCTCTTTGCGAGGGAGATCCGTTGTGCGTAGGTACGGCAACAACAAAGTAAAGACAAAACATACAATCGTAAACACGAGGTGTTATTGAAACGGGGAGAATGCAAAGCTGCAAAGGTGAGCGCGAGAAGCGCGATCAAAGTTGTGGTGCAGGGTGCAAAGTAAGCGCTGCGTTTTGGTCGCGTGGGGAGGAACCGAATGAGTGGGGCGAGTGAAGGGAGGGGAACCAAGCTGGGAGATGAAGCATAAAGGAAGGTTGTTGGTGTTCCAGAAACGTGGAGCAGCAGCAGAAATAGGAAGGCGCTTTTTGAGGCTGCCAGAGGGAGTTAGATGACCTAAGTGGAACTTTGGGTAACTGGCGGATTTGCTGAAGAGGTGCTTTCGGATGAAGATAGCCCACTGCTGGTCTCGCCGGATATCCAGTGGGGACAGATTTGTGTTCATGGCAGTGTGGATTCGATTCACGGGGGTGGGAATCGTCACCGTGTACACGGAGTTGAACTGTGTGGACATGTGTTCAGCACTTGGGGCCAATGCGCTGCTGGATGAGGGCCTCCCTGCACCGTTGTAGTCAGGCATGGATATTTGACCATACTTCACCACGCTGGTCAGTGCTTGTTTAAGTGGGAATGAGTATCAAAAAATGTAGGTTGCCTCTGCCCACAACGCCTATACTAAATGTGCATTGCGAGCGCCCATCCAAGTACTGTGCAGGCTCAGCACTGCTTGGCTTCCGAGGTGTGATGGGATGAGGCGCAGCTATTGATTACCGTTCCGGGCTCACACCGCCGCGACTCAATCTCACGCTTGCCTTTGGTCAAGCTCGTGATGACTGCGCCTTGCAACTTGAGAATGCGCTTGGGTTGTGTGCTGGAACAATTGCTGCTAATGTCACGTCGCATGAGAGCACGCCGCACACTTAACGCATTCAGCCCATATTTCACATTGATGTATTGGTCTACAGCAAAAGCAACCATGTGCAACGCTTTATAAGTTGGTGTAGAATTATAATAATTAGTCAAAAGTATACGCACATTGTGCTTTGCTGGTATAGGCTGAGAGGGTCCGAGTTGGGAAGTAGAGGGCAGTGCAGCAATATTAGCTGTACTGTACAGTACTTATATGCTCCCGCGTCTGTGTTTTTCCACCTTCGTAAATCTGCACTGCCCGGCGTGGCGAAGTACGGTCCCGTCGTCAGCGATCCCTTGTTTCGAGGATGATCCATACTTCAGATTTACATAAGGATCCGGAAATAACTTTGGAGTCCGATCCTGGAACCCACAATCCCGCACGCAGAATGTACAGACATTCCATTAGTGGGTCAGTCACCCCCTAGCAGTTCGTTCTTACCTTCTGTGAGCGACGGAACAGGGCTCATGCATGAACACTTTCAACCTAAGTTGGAGAATGTTAAAAACCGCTCGTGCCAGCTTGATAGGAGCGTAGCGGCGATGACGGCGAAACGCTTGGCCGACCCGAGCGAGTGAGCGAGCGCAACCCGGTGTGCCCACAGGTTACCTGCAGCAGGAGCAGCTCACGGAGTCGTGTCGCGTGTTCGTGCAGGAGAGCCCTCACCTGCGCGAGTATGCGCTCCACTCTGCCGGGGACGTCGTGAGCCCCGTGTGTGTGCTAGTGAGTGCCCTGCACGTTCCCCGTGCACATCCCCCCCTGCCCCCAATCCGTGATCCCCCACACTTTGTCTGGATAGGTGGTATTGGCTCATTCAGCAAGGGTGCTATGACCTGTGACCTTAAAATGTTAGCCCATATTGGAACAATATAACATTGTAAATTCTATCACTGTTGAAATTCTTAGTACTTTTAGTACTATTTTTATGGTGTCACTGACGTTATAGAGCTTGACTCAGAATTGTAAGGTTATAATTCCGAATCCCAGTCATTAGTTCACTATGCCCATTATCCATTTGCGGTCATTAAAATTAGTACCATTTACGTAAGTAAACTAAATTGGCTGGCCTACACTACAGCAGTGTGGAACATCCGCCGCTGGTTTGGCTGCCAACAGAGAAAGCTCGTGAGTTAAAATTCTGACCAGGGAGTTTGACTTCGCCGATCATTACCCTCGGGCTGATAAAATAGGTACTCCTGTGTGGGAAGTCAACCATTGTTGTCCTATGCCGAGACTGGCCCCTCAATGGAAGTGTGGCGTTTCCACCACTATCTTTGTGCAGATAGTGAAAGTGTTCAGGTCACCGCAGTGGTGAGATGTTAACTACCTCACCGAGTGGTATACAGCACGTCGTGGGTTCGATCCAGACACTGATACCTATATATTTGAAGTTTGCATGTTCTCCCCGTGGTCACGTGGATTTTTCTCCAGGTCCTCTGGTTTTTCCCTCCATATTTATAATCAACATGCATGCTCTTATATAAGCGCACAACTTTATCTATCTGTGATGAACGCTGCACTTTCAGTCGTTTTCATGCAGGGGGCGCTGCAAACATACGCGCCCCCTGCATGAACGACGGAGGCTCAGGGATAGACGTTTGATCACGTTGGAATCGATCTGCAGACGGCGGTCTTCTCGTACGGCCAGCTCTATGTCGCCTTATCTCGATCCCGCAATCCCAAACAGGTGAAAGTCCGCATCGAACCGAACCCCCAGCAAGGCCATCTACTTAATGACGAGAGAAAATTAACACGAAATGTCCTTTTCAATTAAGTCTTCCAGATGTAAAATGTTATAAGCTTTTAGTGAAGAAAAGCAATTATCTCATTTAAAACAATACAATTCAAAGATGTTTCATTTTAAAACTTCAAAACGGAGCATCGGGTGCTTACGTGAATGCGTCGTTTGTGTGAAAAATGTTTTTGTGACTATCCTGGCCGAAGGCCGTAAATGGTTGTGAGGGGTGCCACAGGTGCCCCTGAACAACCCCAAGTTTAGAATATTTGGCTGCTATGAATTTTTTTATATTATTTGGGTCTTTCGGTATAAATTTCCACATCACAAGCCACTTCATTTAGTTATCATTTGTGGCCAGGTCGTTTCTGAAAAAGAGCTATACAGCAGTTCAGTGGGATTTACCTGGTAAATTAAAAATAGTTTAGTTTTGACGTTTGCCTAGAGGCATGGCGTCAGAGTGTCTGAGTAAATGCTGTTGCGACGTGGCTGTGTGGTTTGTTATGTAGTCGCTGTTTGGACGCAGCCTGACGTCCATTCTTGAGGAGTACGTCGCTATCAAATCTAAAGGTACGTCACCTGTGCCTCAAGAGGCGGCCACACTCAGGAGGAGAAGGGATGTGCTCATGGCCGTGGTACCGCTGATTTGCTGGGAGTTGAGTGGAGGATAAGGCACACTGTTCCATATTTTTTTTATTAGTTTCCATACCATGATTATTATTTGTACCATTACCTTGCAAGGGAGATGGAGCAATGACGATTAAATGGAAGTGACCCATGTTTTGGCAGTGGCTGATGTCACGGTGGATACCTTAAGCACAAATTAAGATAAAGTGGAGCATTTGATATCTGAGCTCACGGCCTGATGAAGCACAAAGCAGCGAAAAGATGAATGTTGATGTTGAGTTCAGTCATGAAAAGTCTTAAGCCACCAGCTAAACTTTATTTGTCAAAATTTGATCAATACATTGGCGTGGGCAAATAATCTTTGTTAACGTGACAATCTTGTCATTTGGAACAATGTTACTGACAATAATTTTGGTGTAAAACTGCCACGTGGCTTAACCCAATAACAATATTGATCGGGAAATGGAGTGATGAAATCATCTCGTGTTGAGTGGCAAGGTGGCGTAAAACATCTCAGCATCGTGAGACATAACAGCTTGGGCAGGCCTTCATCCAGCTATGGATTGATTTTGATGACTTTGCAAGCCCAGTCATGCCAGAAAATATTTTTGTCTCAATGGGTACAACTACATTAACCATAGATAATGTGCTTGTTCATGATGATGCAATTGCTCACTGCAAGAATGTATTGCTTATGCTGGTGTCCATCATAAAATGAGTGACTGATTAGACAATACGGGAAACTCTTCATCACTGCAACTTCTGCTGCGGCTCATTGCTGCCGTGTATTGCTTTTCAATAGAGGGCTGTATTTTTTGCTTGTCCATCCAGCCATTCCTTTGATTAAAGCACACAAATACTTTTAATGTTGCAATGACTGTCCCATGAATGAGTCACCGCCTCACGATCCAAGGATTACATTTACTTGGTGGCATCATGAACATATTTAACAATATCCATAACCCCAGCATAAGAATATGCAAATTACACCAATGGCTCACGACCATAAATGGAGGTGAGTGCCACCTTGGGCTCATTTTGCAGGAGACAATTTTTATTTATTTATCCAGGAGAGAATAATTGACTCTCCAGACTCCCAAACAAGAAGCTCCTGAATTCAGTGGTTTGCCCAGCTTCTTGAATGAGCGTGACGATGATAATGACCTTACTTTTGAAATGGCTTGAATTCTTCTCATTGCACTGAATCGGTTCGGTTAAAACTCGGCAAACAACAATTCACCCTCTCAGTCCTTGAGTCGATTCAAATGTATCCATTTGGGATAAAAATTTAATTGAAGAAATTATTACTTTCTGTGTATTATTGGACTGTCTAGTGTGGTATTGTCTGCCCCATTCTGTTATATTAGTTTTGTTAGCATAAACGTAACATTTGCAATGCATACACCTAAATTGATTACCGCATTTTCCCGCATATAGCCCGCATACGCATATGATCCGCAGACGCATATACCCCGCAAAAATAGCGTTTTGTGTAAAACAAATTTCAGATAGCCCGCACCTCCATATACCCTGCATGCATTCATATCTTTAACGTCGTTACCACAGCTTCATTCCATCATATTAATACGAAGTTTACATTTGTAATACATTCACTATGAATTGTTAACATTAAAATCATAATGTGCACAAAGAAAACAAACTAACCGGAAACGAGTGAACTTAAAACAGTAAATAAGTAACAAAAGTAAATATCCAATAAATAAGTAACACATAACTGGTAGATAAGCAAGTACAGTTTTAGCACTGGTAGATAGCGCCCTGCGCAGACAATAGCGGCACTACGGTAACGCCGTTGCCCCGCCCCCCCCCCCACCTCTCTCTCCCCCCAGCTCTTCCGTCGCCGGTAAACAAAGTGCGCCCACTTCAAACTTTGTCGTTTCATTGTACAAACAATTCGAATTATTTAAAACGTGATAACATGTGCAATTTTAGTGCGAGTGGTTTATTCAGCAGTGCTTTAGTCAAATGTAAGTGTTCCACAGTGGATAGCGTTATGACATGTCACACGTGTAAAATATTTTTGGGATAGCCCGCACTTCCATATATTCCGCAGGGTCTTGTTTTGTTTGTAAAAAGTGGTATACCCCGCGGGTTATATGCGGGAAAATACGGTACTCGTTACATGCCTAGTTAAAACCCAACGAAGGGCGACCTCATCAAGGCGCCACGATGGCGAGATGTTAACCTCACCCGGTATGCAGGAGGCCGTGGGTTCGATCCTGACTGAAGCCTCTATATTTGGAGTTTGCATGTTCCCCACGTAGCCGCGTGGATTTTTCTCCGGGTCCTCTTTTTTTCCCTTCATATAAACATGCGTTTAGAGTATTTAGCTGAAATAAATTTCCACATGATGAGCCAATTCGTTGAGCTGTCATTTGTGGCCAAGTCGCTTCTGAAAAAGAGCAATATAGCTTAGTGGGCCTTACCTGGTAAAATAAAATTAGTCTAATCGTAGTCATAAGTCCCTGCCTGAGCCGTCTGGCACGAGCCGAAGTGACCGCCTCTCTGCGCGTCTGCCCGTGCGACAGATGTGTCGAGCAATCCGGCGGGGGTCCTGTGTGTGCTATGGAAGAGGCTGGAGCAACTGCTCACACAGATCAGGTGTGTGTCTTTCACTTGTTGGAAAGCGACAACTGTGCAACCGTACCATTTTATTTATCAAAACGGTCACAGTCCGTGAAAATATACGGGCACACCGCCGTTTTTACATCTTCCCCTTTTTTCGTGATTTCGCAAAAACGTCGTCACTTCATTATTAACACCGCCACCCGATTAACGTCGCCTCAACCCCACACTTACGTCGCTGAGAGCATCGTCCGTCTCTTGTCGTTTTCTGTCGCCTCTCAGCCTTCGCCTTTACCATCAGCTACTACTACCCCGTGAATCGCTTTCATTTACTGCGTTTCGATATTCATAATCGTACATTTCAGGAACGCATCTGTGACATAAACTGGGGTGTTATTGTACTGATGTAAAAAAGAAACCTTTGACCAAAGTGCCGAGAATGCATCCAATCCCATCAGACCTCGAAAGATAAGCAGGTTCGAGACCGGATTTTATTTTTTTACTATAACCACAGTGACACCAGCATTGGTTCACTGTAAGCAAACTGGACCAGTTTCAACATTCAGTGTCTCATCAGCAGTCAGGCTTGCTTAAACCAATGTTGAACTGCTACATTCAAACAAAATCAGCACAAATCAATAACACTGCCTTAAAGGGAAAAACAATATAGAAGGCGACATTTTATTCAATTAACTTAATCATAGCACATCAAGCGCCATTGTCAGCAACATCGCCTATGACATCTTTTTTTTCACTTACGGCCCCATTCTTCACGACGAATGTGTAGTTCTTAATTATTTGTGTTTGCGCACCAGTGCCAACACAGCATCACCATACACTGTTCCGTACATTCAGATTGCTCTCTAAAGCCACGTTGCGTTGTCGTTCTGCGCGTGGCTGTGAAGTCGACAGACGTCTGCCGTTGCTCACCAATGCCGTGTTGTCGTCTGCCGCGTAGACAATACCAGAATGCGTCTGGGTCGCAGGCTTCACCAGGCGAGCATGGCGGCTCCTCCGTGCGTCTCGCCACACATTCCAGTCGCCTCCCTGAGCCAGGTATCGAACGTTTCTGCATCAAATGAACCTTGACAATAAATAACGGGTACGTTAAAAATAATGGCGATGTATTTTTAGTGCTGTTGTTGCGAGAATGGGTGTTTTTATTACCCACATTCTGGCGGAAGTCACTTCCCCGTATCATTCAAAAGAGTTTTGTACAGACTTGGTGCCAGTGAAATGCGGGAACATCAGGCACACTTCATAGTATGTATGTTGAACTTCTTTTGCACTGTGTGTAGCCAACCGTGCTAATCGGAGGTCGTACAACAAGTAAGTACAGTAAGTAGGTTCCTGACATGACTGCACAGACTTATGTGAATATTATTTCCTACCACATGTAAAAAACCCTAATTCAGAAGGAATTGGCCAATGTAGAAAATTCATCTTGAGGCTTTCCTATTTGCACGCTAAATGAATATAAACGTTAAATGTAATACCAATTGAATATGCCTTGTATTTCACGATAGAGTGTTGCTCCTTATCCTAGGTTGGACCAAGCATTTCCCCCTACACCGGCTATGGAGTTGGGCCACTTAACATTTTTATATTTTTTAGACTTGTTTAAATTTGACCAGGTAAGGCCCACTGAGCTGCATAGCTCTTTTAAGTGACCTGGTCACAAATGATAGATCAACGAAGTCACTTATCACGTGGAAATTTATAGCAGCTTAATACTCTACATGCATGTTGATTCTAAATGTGGAGGGAAAAACTGGAGGACCCGGAGAAAAATCCACTCAATCACAGGGAGAGAAACATGCAAACTCCAAATATAGCAGGCGTCAGGGTCGGGATTGAACCCACGTCCTCCTGCACAACCGGGCGAGGTAGTTAGCATCTCGCCATCACGGCGCCCCACTTAAATCAGCAGTGGCCGAGTAGAAGTTAAGATTTAAGTTTGGCCACATGTCTTGTTGGCTTAACGTCAGCGCTGGCTCTCGGGACTAGTGCCTGGAGGCCCAGGGGGCCCGTAGTCGAGGTCAACCGTGTCCCTCCCCTGTTTGTGCGCCCAGCATCGGTGGCGAAGTCCGTCGCGAAGGGCAGCTCAACGGCGTCCACGCAGAGCCCGGTCACGGCGAGTACCGTCGACACCCGCACACCGCCTCCCCGGGCTCCGCACACCTCGACCTCCAACCTCACCCCTGCGTCTTCCTCCCCCGCCGCCATCGTGTCGGCCGCGCTCTTGATGCCCACGTCCTCCTCCTCGCCGCTGCTGCTGATTTCTCCGTTGTCGTCGTCCACGGTTTTATCCGCGTCGTCGTCGTCGTCGCCCCCACCGTTGGAGCCGAACCCCTCCGCGATGGCCGGCGTCCAGCTGCCACTCGTGCTCGCCAGGCTGCCCTCCGACTGCACGGCCGTCACGTACATGCTGACCCCACCGTCCGCGTGCCCCGTGCAACCGCCGGCGCCGGGGACCTCGATGCCGGGGCAGGCCTTGCTGTCGTCGCTCGGCTCGGCCCTCCGGCCCAGACCCACCGTGACGCTTACGCCTTCGGCGGACGTCTGCTCGCTGCTGGGCAGCTCCGCTGACCCATCCGAGGCTGGGCCCGCCACGAAGATACTGGCCGGTGAGGCGAGCTCACCCGATGGGCGCGCGTGTAGTTGGATCGGTTGAAGTGGTTTACTTTTTACGATGAACGCATTGAACTATGCACAAAAGATCTGCTTATTTACGATGATAATTTATTAAAGCAATAAACGTTTGTACTTTTGTTTGTGTCGCTTTGACCAAATCATTCATAAAGTGCCCAATCTGTGCTAAGCTGCTAGAGTCTGGACAGCGCTTGGGTGCTTAGCACAGCTGTGGAAGGCTGCCCGATATGGGGCTGTATTGCAACCCGCGAATGCGCCGGCAGAAGCGCTCACACTTGTCAATGGCACGAGCTTCGTCGACAACTCGTCATCCAGGCTTCCCCGCCTTTCTAATACACGTAGAAACACTCATGCATGGCGTTGGCCGGACTTCCAAATAGAGAACCACAAGGCTTTGGGAAGGCAGCCCGTTCTGGCTGCCTTTGCAACGCCCCGGTGCAAAAAACTGAACACGTTACAAATTCCGCGGCGCTTTGAGATGCAATTTGCAGGAATAACGATGCTAAATAAATAAAAAGTCATTATTACTATTCAGTGACCTGCTGTTTTCCAAGGATGTTCCATAGCGTCTCGAGCAGGTTGAGAGGACGAACTCCTGAGCTCCCAAAACCCAGTGCATCTTGGGAGTTGTGATTGGGCATGGAATGCGCCACTTCTCCCTTGGCGATTCGATGAATTGTCATGACTCATGATTTGGGCAGAAAATCGTTAGATTTTTTTATCTTGTTTGTGATGTCTGCAGTGTTCTTTACTGGTGCTCGCTAACAGCACTTTCCCCAAGTCTGTTAAGGCTATACGGGGGATCTTTGTCTTGTATTGTTTGTTTATGCCATCATGTCCGTAGTATTCATAATTCGTGACTCTTCATCCACAAACTTATCATGGCTCGGCTCGGTAATAAATTATTTTTTGTCTCGTTCCCTGTCGTATGTCCCATTAACTTCTGTTTTGGTTCGTCTTGTTCATTCAGTTAGCCTCCAAGGAACATTTTTGTTTTTTTTGTGCAAGATAAACAAATATTCGGTTCTTTCATAACTCAATTTGATCCTCTTGCGGTCGGCATAATTTATTAATCGATGGAGCTTCACATCCATAATGGATGGCCATTAAGCCACTACAATAATTTACAATGTTTATTGTAAATTTTACAATATTTATTGTAAATTATTGTTGAGATCGTGACAGGTTTTATTTGCATTCCTTTTGCTCTGTGCCCCCTGTATCGTTCCCATTGTGCTGTAATGTGCACTGATTCCTACTCTAATAAGGGCGATATTAGCGTGTAAAATAAAGACCGATTGACCGACCGAGAGGGGAGAGAACGTACAAACGTCGCGGAGAACGGCGCCCGAGTCTCGAATCGAACCTAGCAAATTGTCGCTATGGGGCCACGACCATTACCACTGCATGAGCTCACATACCGTTGTACTCGCTGCGCTTCCTCCATACACTGTTTGCTGATGTGCGCAGGGTTCGGGAGCAGCCTCTCGAGCAGGGAGAGTGGAGGGCGCGTGGTGTCCAGCACTGTGCTGCGATCCGGGTAGGTTTTCCGTGGAGTCACGTGGTGCTCGTTGTGTGGAGAGTGTGATGCAACTGGAAGATAATTCACAGATTAAGAACCTTAACACGTGACTTACTGGCTGTGTCTCCAAGGTCTCTTCTGGAAGGTCTGCCAAGCTAAGGCTACGTAGTACGAGGAGTTTTTAATTTGTTACAATTATCTATAAAATAAGTATTTTTGGGTTGGATCTCATAAATATAAATGCGCCGTTAACTCGCCAGCATCCGACACAGCCAATAAGTAAAGTTTGTGACGTAAATAAAACATGACAATTAGTTACTAGTTCAGCACACCGGTGTGTTGGAGAGTAAACCCACAATATATACAATTCAAGTACGACCAGCTTCATCAGGCGATAGCCAGAATTGCGGGGGAATTCCTCATGTTTCACTCTTGAGCTGCTTGTAATTACACAGTGAAATGTCATACTCTAATTGTAAATGTTGTTGGGTTTACTCTCCAACACACCGGTGTGTTGAACTAGTAACTAATTTCTTACAATTCCTCGAATGCTGCTGCAACAACTCCCTGCATTCGCCACGCATTGATATGGCTTACAGTGCCAAGTCCTTGCCTCGTATTAAAATCTGTGGCTGTCACACCCAACTGGAAAGCATGTGACTCGCGTAGGGTGGCCTCACGTGCCCATATCTACAAAATAATATCAGATTTCAAAAAAATATAGGCACTACCCTTTCTGGCAATTAAACAGGAGGTGTTAAGATAATTATGGTCGTGAAAGCATGTGTTAAACAGGTGTTAAAATGTTGACGTCAAGTCTGCATTAACCACATATACTTGTGGCAAAACCTGCAAACAAACATGCTCTGATACTGGCAAAAAGGTTCCACAGATAAAACTGCTCAATCCGAGCTATTAATACTTTGATACTTACATTGCCTTTGTACTGTTTGCCTTTTGGCATTCTCTGGTCTGACACTGGTGAGACAAAGCCATAAACAAGGTGGCCTCTGGTGTAGGCCAATCAGTTTCAACACAATGCGTACATTATCAGAACACGTTTGTTTGCATGTTTCACCACAAATACGTTTATTTTATGCATACTTGATGCCTTGCATATGTATCTATTTTGTGTTTGAACATCTTAACACTTCAAGTTTTATTGCCAGAAAGGGATACTGCCAAAAAGGTCCCATAGATAAGATGGGATAGTTGTTTTTGGGGCCGTATCTTTAAAACTCCGCGCGCTGTTCTGAATAACTCGTCTGTCCTGCCCATGATGTCGCCAAAACCCCAACCAGGGTTCTGGTGAGACAGATTGTTGACCCGGTGAGCCAGGCGCCTGGCATCTTGGCGTCTTCTGCCAGCAGTAGCAGCAGTGGCGGCAGCAGCAGCAGCACCACCAGCAGCACCACCACCAGTCCCAGCAGCAGCAGCAGCAGCAGCTCCGCGCATAAACTATCGATTTCACTCTCAGTTCAAGACCGGGGTGGAGACGGAGCCGCTCTGGAAATGACCGCAGAGAGTCTGTCGGTGAGGTGCCAAGCTATAATTGCTTAATTTCGGTATACCTCTATGTGATGACAGTGGCTACTAGTCACATACCTACCCCGGATTTCCCAGGACCCGGGAAATATTTGGTGAGAACTTAAGCCTTTGTATGATGTGTTCTCAGTCTGTCACGGTGGGGGTGGGTGCGGGGAGGGGGGCAGTGGCAACAGGTGGGGGAGGGTCTCTTACAGGTTTAGAGTAGTAATTAATGACGTTACGTCATGCTCACTCTCTGGTGCAGTGACGTCAGAGAGTGACGTCATGCACAGCAGGCGGGACGGTGACGTCATGTCCCCCTTGGGTATTTAGGTTGGGGCCCAGGACATAAGCGAGGTCGTCGCGAGGAGCCAGGAACGTGTGAAGTTGGAAGTTAGGACCCAGGGTAGGGGAAAATTAGCACCAGGCTAAGGTAGTCTTTGGGTGTGCTAGGGACCTCCCCAGTACCCTTCCCCTGGGGGAGCGATGGGACGCAGGGTAGGGGGAAATTAGCACCAGGCTAGGGTAGCCTGCGGGTGTGCTTGGGAATCCCCAGTACCTTTCCCCTGGGTTGTGGAGTGTGAGTGGAGATGGGAATGCGTGCCTGCAGTGGGAACAGCCCAGCCGCCGCCGAGGGAAGGCTAGAGGGTTAGAAGCCCCACCTCGTCGCCGGGTGGTGATGGCGTGCCCCCGCCCGGGGCAGACGAGGGGATGCCGTGCCTGGGCGTAGAATAATGGGAGACAGTTCCACGTGCAGGCCAGAGTTCTGACGCGCACCATAACGGGTGCAGGCGTCGGGTGTGGAGTGTAGGCAGTGAGTGTGCAGTACACAGGGTGTAATCAGTGTGTGAGAAGATGTTAAATAAACAACTGGCGCAAGCCCTTACATGAAGCTCCGTCTCCGTGTGGATCTACAAGTCTCCAGTGGTGTCAAGATTAAGCACACAACACAGGGTTCGAGCGGCTAGTAATGGGCGTATTGGGCACAGTTGGTGCATCTGCCAGTAATCTCATTTGGTCAACCCTTGGCACCTGGGTCTGACCCGTAACCTGTCAGCAAGCCTTTTACACTTAACGTTGCCTCAAATTACACCTAGCTTGGTACAGGCGCCGTGGTGACGTCACCGTCAGTTAGTGGCGAATGGCGGGTATTGGTGTGTGTGTGTGGGCGTGCAGCACCAAGTGTTGGAGACAGCCTTGGAGACGCTGCTGGGCGACTCAAGGCTCCAGGAGAAACTGGCTGAGAACATCAACCAAGTCTTCTATAGGTGTGATGAGGTCGTGGCATGGGCTAACATAGATAGCCTTCTCTCTCAACTCCTCCTCTCTTCTTAGTCTTCTGCTCAGTGGCAGGTCTTTCATTTCACTGTCCATCCCCCCTTCCTTTCAAGTCATCCAGTAGCATCTTTCTTCGCCTCTTGACCTATTTCCTAACATGTTTGCAGAACTTCCCTCATTAAACTCTCATCTCTCAGAACGTGCCCCCCAATCCACGTCGTTTGCCTTTCCTGGGTTGTTCTCTTAAACTTATCTCCTCCTGAACCTGCTCCAGAACTTTGTCATTCTATCTCTCCACCATCTACCCCCCACTAAATTATGCTTCAGAACATTGCAGGCATCTAACAGTTCACCGATTAGAATTTATTCTTACGCCAATGATACATGCTCGTGAATCTCACGGCCAGGACACGATCATTTTTAATGCGTGCATGTCATCTGTCTCTGCCCCTCTAATTATACTTTCCACACGAGCAGCCAGTGCCTACTGCCATAACCCTGAGTCGCTCTCCGCTCAGCGCGAGTTCACTGCCCCTCTTCTGCCCCTGTCGTCTGGAACTCCTTTGTAATTATTCACGCTGCCCAAGTGCAGCTTCAAGTCCTCCCCCTCCTGTGCCTTTCCCTAGCAAATACATTATAAAACGTGGCACGTCATTAAACGCTTGTATGTGAGAGAGTTTCATTTGTTTGGCGGTGTTGGGTGGTGGAGGGTCTGAAGAGCACATTGGGTTGGATCATTATGCAACCTACCCCCCTCCCCCAGCCACCCCACAAGCACACGCTCCCCCATCCCACAGTATTGTTTAAATCCACAGTATTGAATACAGTCATACCTCGGTATACGACCGCTTTGGAATACGTCGAATTTGGTATACGTCGTGTTTTGACGAGAAAAAGATGTCTTGGGATACGACGTCTTTCTTGGAATACGACGCGCTTGCTAGAACTTGTATGGGTCTGGATGAGTCGCCGCGTGCCCGCGTAGACCCCGTTCACGACTGAGACAAAGCGCCGCTCCTCAGTCTGCCTGTAGATCTCGTTCAGTGCACAACCCTTGCTATAACTCTGTGAATTTTCACGTGTTTTTTGTAATTTTAACGTTAATTTTTTTGCGAATTCATTCAAGATTGGTCCTAAGAAGGTCAGTGAGAAAAGCCAAGCTACAAAGAGAATGGTTAGGATCACGATTGATGTGAAAAAACAGATTAATTTATTTTAATTTATGCGTTTCTTTTAACGTATGTATGCATTTTAGTAATAAGTAGTGTCTAAATTATTGTATACAACCCCATTAATGTATAATATGCCATATAAAATATAATTTCTTATACTCTGGAATGGATTATTTCCTTTGCCTTTATTTCTTATGGGAAAAATTTGTTTGGTATATGTCATTTTCGGTATAAGTCCTACCTTCTGGAACGAATTAACGACGTATACCGAGGTACCACTGTATTTGATTTAAAAAAATGTTTGCGCATATTTGCTGCAATGTATGTGTGTATGTTTAACACGTAGGCTTGCATGACCAATATCCATAAAATAGTTTTTTTGGGTTAGATCGCCTAACGTCACGGTACACGAATTGTAAATGTTGTAGTGGGTTTACTCTCCAACACACCGGTTAGTGCTGTACTAGTAACGAATTGGCACGTTCTGTTTACGTGGCAAACCTACTAATTGGTTGTGTTGGGTGGTGGCGGATTTAACGACACATTTATTTACGTGACCTAAACCAAAAAAAAGCTTATGTATGTTGAACTTCTTTAACATCATGCGTAGCCAACCGATGTACTTGATCTCATCGGATCCCAGAGGCTAAGCAGGATTGAACCTGAATAGTTCTTGGACGATAAAGTTTAAGGCTTATTTTGTTTAACTTGGTGGTGAGAACTCAAGACACCCGTATGTAACAAAACTAGAGCAACGAAGCGGATAGAAAGCAGCGCAAAAACAACCGCCTTTCGTGTGAAATCGAATATGTCGCATACACATAGATCGATGTTAAATAATAAATTCCCTATCGCGCTAGTGGAATGGGTGCCCACCACGCACGCAACGGGTTGTTGTGCACGGCTGTGCGGATGTGGAACTTCTTTGCTTGTGCCAGATGGCAGTGCAGGAAAATCCATTGTTGTACTATCCCCAAATCTATGCTCCCCACCTTCAACCGGCACTGACCAGCATGGTCTAATAACCCCATTTTCTGCAACCGTCTGGAACGCTCTTCCGACGTGAAGCCACTGGAGCTATGCTTTTAGTTTGTCGTTCTTCCCTGCACCTACCATTAGCACGGTTGCCTGCGTGCGGTGCGGAAGAAGTTCAGCATCCATACATATTAGGATACCGAGGCCTTCATTTGGTAGTGGATGATAGAGGACAGTAAATTGTCATTATTATCTTAGGTTCACATAAAGACTCGTAGACCCGGATAGAGACCTATCGACCTGCATAGACTCGCGTAGAGACCCCAAGAAGGTATGGAAACCCAGACTTCACAGCCAGCAATAACCAATGTGGTGACGTATGGCCAAATAACCCCCCTAGGACCCGTACGGTGTGGGGGAGACCCTCATCCAGCAGTAGACTGACAAAAGTATCGCACACGGGCTGTGCAGTGTATATTTCATATTGCTTGAGTTTTGTTCGATGTTCACAGTGAGACTGTGATGACGGTGGCGGACGCGGTGGCTACTTCGTCGGCACCTTCCGCGGACAACGGTGACCCGCAGTCCATTGAAGACTTCCTCAACCTGCAGGTGAGTTTGTGGCATGGGCAGCGAGAAGAACACGTCTACTGGCCCATGCGTCCTCGCAAGCCTTCTCCCAAGTGCGGCCGATTACATTTCTTGGCGACACGCGTGAAGGGATTAAATTCCCCACCTGGCGAGATATTATAAAAACTAAACAATTATTTATATTTGACCAGGTAAGGTTCACTGAGCTACATATCTCTTTTTCAGAATCAGAATAATTATTTACACTGGAGGAATCCAATGAGCTATGAGGCTCTTTTTCACAGATGTCCAGTTGGGGCACGGGGTCAGAACGTTACAACAAACAATGCAAAAACACGATAGGAGTGCAAAGTATAGGAAAGGTAAACAAATCGCTCAAAAAAAATAAAACTAAACTTTTTATCTTATGAGGTAAAGCCCACTGAGGTATTTACTTATTTTTCAGAAGCGACCATGATAAGCCACAACAAAGTCCTTGCAAGCCTTCTTCACAACAAAGTGGCTTATTATGTTGAAATGTATTGGAGCAAAATAATCTAAATAATCCTAATGCATGTTTCTAATGTGGGGGGGAAAAACAGAGGGCCTGGAAAAAATCTACACGACCATGGGGAGAACATGCAAACTCCAAGTATAGAGGTATCAGGGTTGGCATTGAATCCCCGATCCTCTGCATGCCAGGCGAGGAAGATAGCGTCTCGCCACCGTGACCGTGGGTTTGATTTCGACCCTGACAATGCCTGTCTATATATGGACTTCGCAAGTTCTCCCCAGTTTTTCCCTCCACGTTTAGAAACACGGGTTTAGATTATTTGGCGACTATAAATTCCCACACGATCGTACCAGCCACTTTGATGAGCTGTCCTGTGTGGCTGGATCTCCTGGCCAGCGGGCTTTACCTGAGATAATACAGTGAGGGGAAAAAAGTATTTGATCCCCTGCTGATTTTGTACGTTTGCCTACTGACAAAGAAATGATCAGTCTTTAATTTTAATGGTAGGTTTATTTTAAAAGTGAGTGACAGAATAACAAAAAAATCCAGAAAAACGCACGTCAAAAATGTTATAAATTGATTTGCATTTTAATGAGGGAAATAAGTATTTGACCCCCTCTCAATCAGAAAGATTTTTGGCTCCCAGGTGTCTTTTATACAGGTAATGAGCTGAGATTAGGAGCACACTCTTAAAGGGAGTGCTCCTAATCTCAGCTTGTTACCTGTATAAAAGACACCTGTCCACAAAAGCAATCAATCAATCAGATTCCAAACTCTCCACCATGGCCAAGACCAAAGAGCTCTCCAAGGATGTCAGGGACAAGATTTTAGACCTACACAAGGCTGGAATGGGCTACAAGACCATTTCCAAGCAGCTTGGTGAGAAGGTGACAACAGTTGGTGCGATTATTCGCAAATGGAAGAAACACAAAAGAACTGTCAATCTCCCTCGGCCTGGGGCTCCATGTCAATGATCTCATGGCAGCTGGGATCATAGTCACCAAGAAAACAATTGGTAACACTACGCCGTGAAGGACTGAAATCCTGCAGCGCCCGCAAGGTCCCCCTGCTCAAGAAAGCACATATACATGCCCGTCTGAAGTTTGCCAATGAACATCTGAATGATTCAGAGGACAACTGGGTGAAAGTGTTGTGGTCAGATGAGACCAAAATGGAGCTCTTTGGCATCAACTCAACTCGCCGTGTTTGGAGGAGGAGGAATGCTGCCTATGACCCCAAGAACACCATCCCCACCGTCAAACATGGAGGTGGAAACATTATGCTTTGGGGGTGTTTTTCTGCTAAGGGGACAGGACAACTTCACCGCATCAAAGGGACGATGGACGGGGCCATGTACCGTCAAATCTTGGGTGAGAACCTCCTTCCCTCAGCCAGGGCATTGAAAATGGGTCATGGATGGGTATTCCAGCATGACAATGACCCAAAACACACGGCCAAGGCAACAAAGGAGTGACTCAAGAAGAAGCACATTAAGGTCCTGCAGTGGCCTAGCCAGTCTCCAGACCTTAATCCCATAGAAAATCTGTGGAGGGAGCTGAAGGTTCGAGTTGCCAAACGTCAGCCTCGAAACCTTAATGACTTGGAGAAGATCTGCAAAGAGGAGTGGGACAAAATCCCTCCTGAGATGTGTGCAAACCTGGTGGCCAACTACAAGAAACATCTGACCTCTGTGATTGCCAACAAGGGTTTTGCCACCAAGTATTAAGTCATGTTTTGCAGAGGGGTCAAATACTTATTTCCCTCATTAAAATGCAAATCAATTTATAACATTTTTTACATGCGTTTTTCTGGATTTTTTTGTTGTTATTCTGTCTCTCACTGTTCAAATAAACGTACCATTAAATTATAGACTGATCATTTCTTTGTCAGTGGGCAAACGTACAAAATCAGCAGGGGATCAAATACTTTTTTCCCTCACTGTACAATAGTTTAGTTTAAACAGAATGAATTTAAACAAATGACGTGCCCAACCAACACCTGATCAACGACCCCAGCATCACACCGCCCGACTCCCATCTTCCATGGGTGGCGTTTAACCGGATCCGCACAAACCACGGAAGATGTGGCCACCTAATGCACAAGTGGGAGAATAAAATAATCTCTCTCCTGTAGGCGACTGGATACATGTGCAGTGAGTCCAACTGAGTCGCAGACGTTGTCTTGGGAGCAACACTATTTATTACATCAACTCAACATAACGTAACCTACACGCCCATATAACCACGCTACGACAGAACTAGACACGGTCCTGCTATCCCGGTCCGGACCACGAGCTGGGTCCCGGACCACGTGGCTAGAGGCTTCTTCAACCCGACGTGGATCTTCATTCGCCAACAATCAAGAACCCCGAGGCCCACACGGTGCCCCCGTTATATCGGCCTGGGCTGGGGCTGGCTCCGCCTCTTGCCCCGCCCACCTTCTAGATCTCTCGAGCTCCTTCCCGAAGGCTCCCGAGAGCTCCTCTATACCACGTGACCGCCCAGCGGCCCCCGTCCACCGGTGGCCCCCCACCAATATCATCCGGTCACGTGTCGGCAGGTCAACCAGCGTATCATGCCCCAACGTAACTCTGGCTGGCTGACACTCTCTCTCGCTCCCTCACTGGGAGCCCGCACCGCACACTGTACGTGGTGCCTCTGCGCTAACCAGTGCTCGCTCAAGCCCCGCTAGGGCTGGTACTACGCCCAGTAACCGGGTTGCACATAATGACAACATTATCCGCCGTGGCCTCGCAAGGCCGGCGCCACACAGTAACATTCACAGTCACTACACATGCTCCAAACCGTGGACCACCGTGTAACTTCACAGTTCCGCAAACATACATTTGAAGGCGGTGTGTCTGCATTTCGCCAACTCTCAAAGAAATTGAGTGGCTAAATCACTTGGAACCGAATCTCTTAATAGACGCTCTACGCTCTTCAATCGACCATATGAAATGGTCAAACCGGCACGTGTGGAGGGGAACCGCAACTGATGCCTTGCTTCCATGACCACTTGGAGCTGCGTCCTGCCAGTCCAGGAACAGCCTAGGAGCAGAGGCCCCACGCTCAATCTGCAGTGAGCCTCCCGCTCTCTCCACATTTCCTATCCTCCCGCTGCCATTTGGTGCCAGAGGTGGAAGTTGGGAAGCTATGGTCGTGAAGGCAAGGCCTGCACGCGTGTGTGTGCATGCGCGTGGGGAGCACTGGCTTAGCCGTTAGCATGCTGCGCTACGAACCCGGCGACCCAAGGTTGATTCCCGCTTACGGCCAACACTAGTGATTATCTAAACAGGTCCTGGGCCTCCCTTAGGTACCTGTTGAGGTGTGTAAACATCACCACTGGAGAGATGAAAGGCGGCTGCGCGTGGTGCTGGCCACCAACCCTCTCGTGTGGCGTTCCGGCCTTGGTAGGTGCACGCTTACAGCACTTTCCCCAACAGTTTGTTAGGGCTCTACGGGGGATCTTTGTCTTTATTTTACGCCCAACAATGAGCAGAGCACTGGGCGGCTAGACCACAGCGAGTTGTCACCATGGGCAACACAGGTGGGTGCATCTGCCAGTCAGATCTTCTACTGGACATCTGTGAAAAAGAGCTTTATAGCTCATTGGATTCTTCCAGTATAAATACATATTCTGATGATGATGCAGTCATCTCAGGCAGTCAACCCATGGCACCTAGGTCTGCCCCTTGACCTCCTGCCAGCACTTCACGCGACAACTTCAAAGCGCACCTCGCCTGGCACAAGGGCTGTGCTGGGGTCAACGCCACTTAGTGGCGAAAGGCGGCTGCCGCTATTGTTGTTGTTTCACGCCCATGCTCCGTGCCCCCCCCCCGCCCCCCTCGTGTGCAGGGCGAGTGTAACATGAGCCAGGAGTCGATCCGAGACATCGTGACGCTCACGCAGTCCGACCCCGCCTTCCACTCTCTCTTCCAGCTCTTCGACTTGGGTGGGTGGGGGGCCACCTGGCCATGGGGATTTTGTGTTCAAACGCAGTTGCTGAGCACAGGCCCAGAGGCCAGCAACAAACAGCACTATCAGTCGCCTCTTTTTCCCAAGTTGTTGCACCTTATCTCAATTAAAGAAGCACGTTCACTCTCTATGACGTATTTGATGACTTGCTATTCAAGTAGAAAAAAACCTGCAATTTTACTTTGATAATGAACAAATCATGTCAGCACGGGTAGTCTGTGCAGATGTGAAACCGAAAAAATGAGGTGCGCGATATTGGCACAAACCTTGGGTTTAACTCCTGGCCTGGAACCCGTCATTACCAGCGACGAAAACTGCGTTTGTATCCGGGGAAGGTGATCTCCTGCTCGAATGAGCATGGAGGCGGTTCTCTCGTGCCCTTTACAGTCCTGAGCCACAGTGGCAGAAATTCCCTTGGCAGGCGCAAGCATCTCCATCGAGGACAACCACTGTTGACTTCCCAACGAGGGTGCGTGGTTCACCGCAGTCGGGTCGCTGTGCGGTTGGTTGCGCAGGAACGCCGGGCGGCTCGTCGGGAGGTGAAGACGAAAGCAACGAGGAGATGGATGAGGCCGAAGAGGGGGCGGCCGACGGGGAGGTAGGGGAGGAGGAGATATTGGGTGGCGCTGACCCCCGGCGGCCGGACGACGAAGGCCACGGCGACGACGACGACGACGACGACGACGCAAACCCTGACCAGGGTCGACAACGTGAGGAGGTGACGGAGATGGGCGAGGAGGTAACGGAGATGGGCGAGGAGGAGACGGAACGACACGCCGGGGACGGAGGGGAGGTTGGGAAGAGTGGGGAGGGAGGGGATGGAGGGGAGGGAGACGACGTGAGGGAGCAGGGCCAGTGCACGCACGACTACCAGGACGTGGGCGGCGAGGTGTGCCTCGGGGACGAGTCGCACGGTGAGTCCTCGCCCGTGCAGGCGGCGCCGCACGGCAGTCTCCACCGGTGCTGGGGGCAGGTTGCTGTTGCGGCACTGTCGTGTATTTATGTACGTATGTTGAACTACTTTCGCACCGTACGTAGCCATCCGTGCTAACTGGAGGTGCAAACAAGGGATAGATTCTGATTTACACCGTAGTGGCATTATGAACCTTTGTGGGTCCAACTGACCTCTCAAAGGACGCTGAAGGGGGTGAAAAGTTTATTTCCTGCTGGTAGTGGTACAAGGCAGCAGTGGAAAGGGACGGTGGTTACCTGACCGATTCTTGTAAATCCTCTTTTCTCAGTCCACCATTGGATGAGGGCTTTCCTTCCTGTGCGGGTTGTGGGAGTTAATTGAGGATACTTGACCACGCTTGAACAGTGCGGTGAAGGTTGGGAGCATGGACGTGGCAGCGTAGAATAAAAATATTTATCTGGAGAAATGAGATAAGCCTATGAAGCACTTTTTCACAGATATCCAGAAGGAACAAGGGGTCATAAAGTTACAACAACAATACAAAAATCGATGGGAGTGCAAAGTATAGGTAAGGTAGGCAAATCGCTAAATATAAATACGTAAAAATAGATGAAGTTTAAGTTAAAATTGCATAAGTACACAAATTCCCAGGCTTGGGCAAGGCAGCAAAACAACAGAAAGAACAGTCCCAAGATACACATTACAACCAACTATTGCCCTCTGATGTCCACCATATAGCTCACAAATATGTACCCCCAACGAAGCCTTGTGCCCAAGGCACCCTCTATTAATGGGGTTCGGTGTTCCTAGTTGAGGCTCATAGAGCCAGACTATATGCCCCTCGGGATTATATTCGTGCTTGACGCCACCGTCTACACTTGCGTCGCTGTGTTTTAGCTTGCTTTCACGCGCTCTACAGCGAGGGAGAAATACATTTTGAGAATTTGCAGAAGAAGTGAGATTTTATTTATGAAGGGCGGGCGGGGGAGGCGCAAGGTGAGTGCGGGGATAAGGTCACGAGCATCGACGGGCACGCTCCGAGTAGGAGGGGTTTCTTTTAGTGTGTTTAGTTTGGTGTCTCCCTCCCGCACCTTTGATTAGCATATTCGGCTACGTACTATGCGAAAGAAGTTCAACATACATACGTTTCTGGTCATGTCTGGCTAATGCTGAGCTCTGTCAACATGCAATGGGTTTTTTTTTATCAGATTGACAATGCATCTGTCCATATCAGTGTGGAAACTACCCTTGGGGCCTAAGAGAAGTGGGGCTGACTCGAGAACAGAACACTTTCTTAAGGTATTTCAATATAGTGACCAGGAAAACCTTATTGAGTACGTGGAAGAATCACGAAATTCGCCCTTCGTAATCAATGGCTGAATTAATTCGACCCAATCCTAGCGCTGGAGCATCTGAGCTCTAAGCTCGGAGACCAGGAAGAAGAATGCAGCACGATACCCGCGATGCCCCCTGGAAATACCGCCCGGAACGTCAACTTCACATGCATACACTGGACGCATAGTGAGAGGGAGTTTCGGGCAACTAGGGTATCACTGGAGGAGCTGTCACCCAATTGTACATACTACTACGAATAATAATTCCTTATCTGTTTACTTACTGGACATCTGTGAAAATTAGTTTCATAGCTAATCGGATTCCTCCAGTCCGATTATGGCATTGTATGCTTTTTATCTGTGGGAGGAAACTGAAAACCTGTCGGAAACCCATTCAGAATAGGAGTGCAGACACACCATGAAAATGAATCGAACTCGGGTCCTTTCTGCTGTGAGGCACAAGTGTTAACAATGCACAACCGCATCGCCTTATGCTACTTCATCTGGGCTACTAGAAATAAAAAAATGTTTTTGAAGATAAAATGAAAATATGTTGACGTACAACACTACAAAATAAAACGTTGAGACGGTGTGACATTTGACAATGTCACAAAATGCCATTGAGTAATCGCGCTTTGTGGTTGTAACGTTTGTTTGGTTGCCCACAGACAAGTCGTGCGGTGTCCCGATGCCTCCCGCCCACCTCGCCCATGAAACCCTCGCCACGGCCATTCGCACGCAAGTGCGGGATAAACCGGTCGACGGCAGGGCGGCAAAATCCAAGCGGGCAAAGCCGCCCACCAGAGTTGCGCTCCCCGGCAAGCGGCTGGGCAGGCCCCGATCCTCCGCGAAATCGAGTGTAAAAAATTCCCCCAAAATCTCCCCCAAAAAGCACGGGGCCGGCAAAGACGCCACAGGAAGTCAGGGCGCCGTAGTCGATCCGGCCGTGGGGGTTAAAGCGGCGGCGCCCGTCGGGCAAGGAGACGGTGCCAACGTCGAGTCGGTCATGGGGGGCAGCGGAGGTGCGGCGGATGGCGCCCCCGACGGCGCCACGGGGACACCGGCGAAGAAGAAGCACCCACGCAAAAGTGCGAAGGGGAAGAAATTGGCGGGCGCCGAAGCGACCGCGGCAGCCGCCCCCGCCTCCGCCGTGACTCCCGCGGGGCCCTCCCAGCCGGGGGCTTCTGAGGGAACGCCGGCGTCCGTGGAGGCTGCTCGCCGCCCGGCGGCACCGGCGGCTGCGCCGGACTCGGCGGGCAGGGAGGTGGCGGGCGGCGCGTGGGCCAGCGATGTGGAGCTCCGGAGCGCCGTGTCGTCCATCACGGGCGAGAGCGCGGCGACCTCGGATGCGGGTGGTGGGTACCCCTACCCCGGCAGTCCAGGGAGGCCCCTCACCCCCCAGCAGTGCAGGTGAGGTCCCTCGCAAGGGCACGGCGAGGAAGTAGACAGTTAAATAAGATAACCAACCCGCACTGACCAGTGTGGTGAAGTATGGTCAAATTACCTCCCTGTGCCCAATCTCGTTTTTTTTTTCTTTCTCCCTCCTTGCTCCCTACCACTGGCATCAACTTCCCCTGTACATTAAATAGCACTGCCCATAGACAACACTGCCCATAGACTAACACTGCCCATAGACTCAACACTGCCCATAGATTTCGATTTAAAGCTTTCGTGACTGCAGGGATTCATCTTCTTGGTTCTTTTGGTAAAGTCACGTAGAAGGGAAATAATGAAATAAAACATAATAAAATAAAATTCTCACATTTTATTTGATTATTTCCCTTCTACTTGACTTTACCAAAAGAACCAAGAAGACTGCCCATAGACTCAACATTGCCCATAGACTCAACATTGCCCATAGACTCAACATTGCCCATAGACTCAACATTGCCCATAGACTCAACATTGCCCCTGTACGTTAAAGAGTCCTGCTCCTTAACCTCATTCTGTCCCTCTCTTAAAGCCTCGCCTCCTCTTTATCGCCTATTCTCTTCCTTTTTCCTCCCCTCACCCCTCCATTCCTTCCCGTCCCTCTCCTATCTTTTCGTGACCCCACGGTGCTCTCTGTTATGGACACTAATTTCTCGCCCCTTGCACGTCCCTGCCATCTAAATCGCTTGATTTTTGGTACCGCTTTTAAACTCTGTTCTAGAGCACCTTGAGCTAAGGTGCTCTATACATATCAAACTCGATAGCATGTTCCACATAGCATGGGGAGGCCTTCAGCCAGCAGTGGATGGACAAAAGGGCTGCTGCCTTTCATCGCGGAGGTGTACATATTTGTGAATATATCTGTGGCTGCACTGAAGAGTCTACGTATGTACGTTGAACTTTTTCCGAACTATACAACGCCAACCATGCTAATCGATGAACCTCACCCGCCGCCGCGTGCCGCTCCCCGGCGTAGGCTGGAGCGACACGTGGTCACGGCGTCACCGTTGGGGGCGCCAGCGATCAGGGCAGCGCTGCCTCCCGCCGACAGACGCTGCCCCCAGCAACCACGGGGTGGCGAGCGTCAGCGGCACCCATCCACTCCCGAGCAGTTGCACGTGCTGGCCGCCGCGCCACCGCCTGGTGAGTTCGCACAGATGCAGAGGTCAGCCAGCGAGTACGCACAGCCAGCGAGTACGCACAGCCAGGGAGTGGGCACAGCCAGGGAGTACGCACAGCCAGCGAGTACGCACAGCCAGCGAGTACGCACAGCCAGGGAGTGGGCACAGCCAGGGAGTACGCACAGCCAGCAAGTGGGCACAGCCAGGGAGTACGCACAGCCAGCAAGTGGGCACAGCCAGGGAGTACGCACAGCCAGCGAGTGGGCACAGCCAGGGAGTACGCACAGCCAGCGAGTGGGCACAGCCAGGGAGTACGCACAGCCAGGGAGTACGCACAGCCAGGGAGTACGCACAGCCAGCGAGTACGCACAGCCAGCGAGTGTGCACAGCCAGGGAGTATGCACAGCCAGCAAGTGGGCACAGCCAGGGAGTATGCACAGCCAGCAAGTGGGCACAGCCAGGGAGTACGCACAGCCAGCAAGTGGGCACAGGCAGTGAGTACGAGCAGGCAGCGAGCGGGCGCAGGCAGCGAATGCAACTCGCAGGCACAGAGTTCGTGGAGGCCTTAAAGGTTTTTGGAGAATTCGTAGAGGGGGCGAGTGGTGGTGCAGTGGTTCGCGCGCCGTGCTATGAATCCATCCACCCGAGTTTGGATCACAGCCGTGGCTGCTAACATCGGTGGCGAGTGATGTCTTAACCGGTCCAGGTCACACTCCCCTTTACCGACCCGAACTGCCCAGCGTGGTCTACATGTCTCTACGTCGCATGTCTCTGTGTCTACCTGTCCAGTAGTCTCTACCCCGTTAGCCACCACTGCGGTCTGCGGAGTCACCATCTCCAGGAACGCTGACGCGTCACTCTGCGCCATCGCGACGGACGGATTCTGGGGGACCCTGGTGCCGAGCACACCGCCGCATCCCCCGCCACTCGCCATGGGCAACATCGCCGTTCCCGCGGCAACGGTCACCGTGTCGACCGCCACCCATTTCCTAACGACATCGCCGCCGAAGAACTTCACCATGCGCGGGACGGTGATACCGCCAGGGATCATCACGTCGCCGGGTAGGTGGCACGTTGGCACCGGCCGGGCCGCTACTGGCCGTAATGAAGACAATGCCGTCACCTCCGGCCTCCTAGGTTTTTGAGCCCTTCTGTCTTGAAGCCTTTCCTCTTGCCCGCAGGTGGTTTGTAACGGTGGTGTGAGAGGCTCAGGGATCCTTGCTGAGATGTTGGCTTCAATGCCTGGGTCTGGGTGTTGTTCTCTCTATAGGGATGCATAGATGTTAATTACCTCGCCTGGTATACAGGAAAGTTGTAGTTTCGATTCCGACCCTGATGTTTGTATATTTGGAGTTTGCATGTCTCTCTCCCCGTGGTCGCGTGAATTTTTCTCCGAGGCCTCTGTTTTTTTCACTCCAAATTTAGAGGAGATGTGCGTTTCGACTATTTGGCTGCTTTGTTGAGCTATCATTTGTGGCCAGGTCGCTTCTGAAAAAGAGCTCAGTGGGCCTTACCTAGTAAAATAAATAAATAGTTTAGTTATGGTTTCATTGCTTTGCCCGATACTCAGATAGAACTGCTGAGACAGTCCAAAACCCCGGGGCTGAGTGTCTCTTGGAGTATTCATAATGACACCGAGAGACACCGAGTTCATGGGAATCGGTGGACAGGAATTCCAGCACCGGAGGAGGGACGTTGCCCATTGAGCAGTGTGTCTGTCCAGTCACGTTTGCTGTGCCTCTGCCCACGTGTCTCAATGTGGGTTGCGTGTCCGTGCCTCTGCCCGCGTGTCTAGATACGGGCCCTGCGTTCTTGGTGCGCCCCGTGCTGCAGGGCGTGGTGGGGGTGCTCTCCATGCTGGGTTCTCCTCCGCGGACTTTGTCGCTGCTGCCTCACCAGGTGAGGCGGCAAACAGCGCGTGGCAGCGCCTGGCCCTCGAGCCGATGAAACTCCACCATAGTAGCCCGCCATTTTGAGAACGCGTTGCCGTCTCTCCTCACCGCCCCACCCGCCCCCCTGCCCCCGCCGGTTGAACCGCCCTCCGTGTGAATTCGCAGATCGTGCAGCTGTCGCCGCCTCGACAGCCCGTGGCTGCTGCTGCTGCTGCTGCTGCCGGCGCTGCGCACACGAGGAAGTCCCGCTTCGCCGCGTCAACCCCGTCCAAACCCATCGCCATCTCGCCCGGCGTGAGCCACGTGCTGCTCTCCCCGGCCCCCAGCACCTCCACCGCCACCACCACCATCACGGTCATCTCCTCGCCCACCTCGCAGCCCCTCATCGTGTCAGGTAAAAAAAAGGCCACCCTCCAGCCACTCCTCAGAAAGAAGTAGTAGTAGCAGTAAATCGGCAACGTTCGTTCTACGAACGTTGCATCGGGTTTGTGGGGGGGGAGGGGAGGCCGTACCACGCTGCATTAGTTTTACTCGCCTGATGATTTGACCGCAAATATATATTTTTATTCCGAATGGAGGCGAGAGCAGTTTTAGTCGTTAGCGCCGCACGGCACCGCAGGTGAAATGACGTGAGCCACCCGGCCGGTCTCTTTGTCACCAGCAGGCTCCTCGCTGGTGTCGGGGATGAGTCGCATCTGCAACCTGGCCGACCGGTGAGCCCACGTGGGGTTGTGTGAACCCTGTTGCTCGTGGCCGGAGAGAGCGGCCAGCCGTGTGTGTGGTGTGTGTGTCCGGGGATTTACATGCAACGAGTTTGGAGGGAGGTTTGTCGAGAAAGCAGACTCTGGGGTGTGAGGCAAAGTCGTCGCTGATATGAGAGATGAGCGGCTAGTTCCTTGCGTTGTGTCTTTTGAGGCGCCTCAGTAATTCACGGTTGTGAATAATAATCGACGAAGACGTTCTGTTGCCCGTATCGCAACGTGTACTACGCAGTAGAGGCGATGTTGTGCTGTTGGCCGTATCGCAAGGTATCGTCCTGTTTGGGTCAGTACCCTGCCACGGTATCGCTGAGCGTTGCCCAACTGTGCCCTGCGTGTCAGTGTTGCACAAGAGATTGTGACGGTTGTTTTTGTGCACCGCACGATGATCCCAGCCACCTGCGTTCAGTTGCTGGCTGTGGTCAACATCATTGGCAAGTACTTGGGCCCAAGTACTTGGGCCAAGTCGGTCAAAAATTTGTATCTGATGCAGTCTTTAAACGTCAACGTGGGGGGTGACCAGGTATAGTGCTTGCACCACCAACCCCTCGTGCGCCTTGCTGGCGCTGATAGGCGCTCGCCAACCGCTCCGTCCGTCCCGTGCGTGCAGGCTCGAGCGCTGCAAGGAGAAGGATTCCCTCGTGCCGGTCGAGGTTTTGGCGTCGGCGCACAAACTCCCCGAGCCGCGTGACGCCAAAAGGGAGGGCGGGAGCAGCGTGAGCCCCGCGGACGCCGCCCCGGCGCCGGCGCCACCCGCACCTCACCGGCGCGTTCTCACCTTCGACGGTGTTTCCCTCGCGCGGGCGCCGGGCGGCTCCCGGAGAACGGCGGACGACGCTGGGCCCGCCGCCGCCTCCTCGCGACGCTCGCCCAAGTCTCCTGCACGGCCGGCCAGGAAGGCGGCGACGGGCGACGCCAAGCACGCGCCCGGCAAGAGGGGGAAGGGGGAGAGGGCCGCGGGGGCGGTTGCCGCGTCCGCTCCAGAGAGGAAGACGGCGGCGGCCAAACGCGACGCCGGCAGGAGCCCCGCCAAGGGAGGCTCCGCCGCCAGGGCCAGGCCCGATGGCAAGGCCGACAGGAGCAAGTCCAAGAGTCCCCCGGACTCGGCGGCCGGCAGGAAAGCGGGCAGAGCGGGGGGCAAGGGCAGCCCTCGCGCGGAGCCCGGCCGCAAGGGGGACGCCGCCGCCGCCGCCGCCGCCGCCGCACCGGCTCAGCGCAGCCGCAAGGGGCAGCGGCGCGACAAGGAGTTCCCGCGGCTCGTCATGCCTGTCATCAAGAGACCCGTACCGCTGTCTGACGCGAGCGCGGGGGCCGAGGCCCCGGCGGCGCTGGCGGCGGCGGTGGCGTCGAGAGCGGCGACGCGGAGGGCGGGCCGTGGGGTCGGGAAGGAGGCGACCGCAGCGGCAGCTGCCGCGTCCACGAAGGCGAACGCTGCGAAGGCGAACGTGGCGGCGCCGGCGACGCCGGCGGCGTTGTGCCCGCTCTCGCCGGACCCGTGCGCCCGCAGCCCCGCCAGCGAGGCCGGCAGCGAGAGCAGCGTCAGCATGGCCGCCCAGACGCTCGTCTTCCTCTCCCAGGCGGCCACGTCGCGTGGCGCCTCCGCCACTCCGCCTCGCCGGCCGCCCGAGGGTTCCCCGGCGGAGCGCGACGCCGGCGGCTCTGCCGCGGTGACGATGCCGCCGCCGGCGCACAGGCAGGCGGCGCAGAAGCAGCAGCGGCCCAAAACGGACAGCACGCCCGTGTCCCCGCGGAGGTCGGCGCGCCACCTCCTCGCCGAGTCGCCGGGGTCCCGCCCGGGGACGTCGCCGGGGAAGGTTGGGGGGGAAGAGGCGCAGGCCAGGGCGCCGGCGGGCGAGACGAGGAGGGGCACGAAGAGGAAGGCGAGGGGGGATGAGGGGGGGGGCGGCGGCAGAGGAGGCAGCGGCGGCGGCAGCAGCGGGCAAAGCCGCCCAGGACTCGAACGCGTTCAAGAGCCCCTCGCCCGTGAGGAGGCGCGGGGGCAGCGCCAAGAACGTGAGTGGGAGGGGTGAGCGGGAGGAGTGAGTGGGGTGAGCAGGAGGAACGTGTGGAGGCGGTGGCGCAGCAATTAGCCCACTGCACGATGAACCCAGTGAACCGAGTTCTATTCCTCGCCAGCGCGAATGCCTGAACCAGTCCTGGGCCCTTCCCTAGGTTGAATCTGGCGTACATGAGTACCTGGTGCGGTGTGTAAACAAGAATACTGGGGAGACAAATGCAGCCGGGCGTAGTGTTGGGCACACCGCCCCCTCTTGCGCTGCGTTGGCCTTTTATCGGTCCTCGCTAACATGGGGGCCCTTTTGTGCATGCAAGGGGCTGGTGGATGATGAGGATTTTGCGCAGGGGATCTGCGGTTGCAAGGAGTGCAGCCAGTGAGTTTATGAACCCATGTGTGCGAGAACCGTATTGTGTCATCCCACTCTGTGTGCGATGCACAGTGTTTCTCTGGGCGCTCTTTAACATTGGCGTTGGCACGAACATCCTGTCATAGGACCCTCCATAAAGAGTGTTGAGACTCTTAATGGGGCTTTCTTGGGTCTGGATCTCCTCGCAGGGCGACAAAACTAATTTATTTAAAATCTGCTTTTTGTGTTTCGTTTGTTGTCCTTCCCGCACACCTCCGATTAGCACGGTTGACTACGTGCGGTGCGAAAGAAGTTCAACATGCATGCGTTTTGTTGTCAGTATAAATATTTATTTATCTCGATTGGCTCTACAAACAGAAGGCTCGCTGTAATAATCTTGTTCTGAAAAGGTAAAAACGCGACACATCAGCCCATAACACCGTTGCCTCCATATACAATATATAATTAATAATGGTGACATTTCCAGCAAAGTACTTTATTCAGATCAAACTCGGGTCCTTGCTAGAAACTTCGCCCATTAATGTTTTTTTCCGTTGTCTGTCGCGGTGTTATTGGCGAGTATGTCGAGTGGTTTGTGGTGCTCGTGCGCCACTGCCCCACGCAGCTTCACCGATTAATCTGTTTTGAGAGCAGAGGTGCGAGTTTCACAGTCCTCCGCGAAAAGCACTGCATCGCAAGGCGTGCGTCCCACCACACCCAGCGCCACACCTCCATTATTTATTTAAACCCTCGCGCGGCCCCTGCGTCCCCCGTAGCCGGAAATCCCCGCGGTTCTTACGTGTTCGTTATCGCTTAACCTCGGCGACTTGTTCACCACTTGCTGTCTCCCTCCAGAAACGGAAGAAACAGAGGCTCGACTACTTCCCTCCTGGCGTCGACGTTGAGCAGTTCCTCGCCAAGCTGCACTACGTGGAGTAGCCCTTGCCCTCTAAGACACTTCCACGTCAGTTTATTAAATTTTTGGTGGCACAAGCGTTGGCGGCGCTGCAGATTTTCCGCGCCACCCCCAAGGGTCTCCGTGGAGAGGTTGGACTGCGACGTGCCTGCATCGCGACGTGCCTGCATCGCGACGTGCCTGCATCGCGACGTGCCTGCATCGCGACGTGCCTGCATCGCGACGAAGTGCCTCCCGAGTCCTCGCTGTCTATCCCTGACTGTGGTGAAAGTGATTTGTGATAATTTTTTATTTATCGTTGTTACTGACAAAGTTTCAGTTGGAACAGCGTCCCTAGGGTCCGCCAATGATTGGCGCGTGGATGCTAGAAGAAGAGCCCCGTTCGATTTTTGTGTTGAGGTTGCGTCTTTTTTAAACGCAGCTGGGTTGTTGCCCCGTTTTCTACACGTAACGGCCCTCTCTCACTAGACTGCTTGGATGTGGGTCTTCCTGTGCAGTGTTAAATAACAATGGCTGTGAACTAACCCCAATGCAGCCTCCCATGCAGCAGCCAGTTGTGTTTGTGTGAGGGGACTGCAGGGAAAGAAGTCGCTCCGAGTGCACCTACCAAAGTGGATCTGCTTAACGACTCGTTAAGACTCTGAGTTGACGTCGTCATTGTAAACGGTCACGAGGAGGCTGTGGAGAACCCTTTTTGGTTCTGGGCTTGCCCACCGGTCTGCCGGTTTACCAGCCACCCCGTGCCACTTTAGATATCGCGCGTAGGAGCTGGGACAATAACTCGGACTGTCGCTCTTTTTTCACAACTTGTTAATATCACGTTTCGAGTGGTCGGTCGAGAACCGATGATGTCGTTCGGGCGTTTGATTTGCAGTTTAAAAGGTTGAGAGTACGAATCCCAGCTTGGGGTCAATTTAGCCCATCATCAGCATCATCATCATGATCACTACCCCTCCAGGATTGATTAAATGTATTGTGCAGTAGCTCTATGTGGAGATTGTGCCCCCCAGCATGGGAACGTGGAATTTAGACATTTGGCCGAGTTAAGCTGCTGCAGAGGGTGAGAGTGTTATTGCTTGTTTTGGGTAGAGAGTTTACAGCACGGAGAAAGGTTAAGCCTTTCACATGTAAAATATTAAATGTTGACTGAGCATTCCAAGAGTAAACAAAAGTCAATATAATCCATATATTATGTTTTAAATACCGAATTGACAACGGAAGCCCTTTGAAGGGAATTCAAATGAACTCAACTAGTGCCGCTATCTTGACCAAATCCTCCCAAAACATCGTAAACCCAACCAAATAAAAGGTGGGTTTACATTTTTTCTCACAGTTTGAGAAGTGCTACATTTTATCCTCATTCTATGTGCATGGTTCGGTCAAATAGGTTGCGCCAACTCTTATTTATTTGACTTTGCTTGAACAGGGGTTAATATATAGCGTTAATGTACATAGAACATGTGAATAAAGTGTACGGAAAGTGTTACAGATGAGGGTGTGTGGTTCGTGGGAGGTTACACGGTTCGGTGTCGAGCACTTGGTGACCCCTCCATGTCTCCACGTCTGCCCTGGCTCCACGACCACGGTGTGCCGATGGTCGCTTGTGGAAGTTTTTGCCGAGATTCGATGTCTTGTTTGGGTCATGACCAAAACGTTTCCTGCTGCCAACGGTTCTGTTTGCGGTTCACGTTTGTGTCGCACCCTGCTGGATTTCGCTGTGGGGAAGAGTGCCCAACTCCCCCATAAACTGTTTGTTCACATCCCATTCGGCGGCGATTCAGCGCACCATCCCTCTTGAGTCGAGAACACGAGTACCACATTGTGTGAAGTCGACAGTGGTTCATCGTGTTTGACGAGCCCTTGCCATAGGAAATAGGGAATTTCCACCGCTGGCACAGGACCACCAAGAGAGGCGAGTGCCATCCTGAAGGTCATCGTTAGAAGCTGCCCATGTATATGGCAACCGTGGCACGTTTGTGCTTTGCCCCGTGGCTCAACAAGCCGCCTGAGAGTTAAGCGATTGTTATGTCCGTGGCTTAAGTTGGCCAATCGGTGGAAATTTGACCTTCCCTGCACTGGTCAGTGCCGTGTCCCCTCTTGCAGCGAATCAAGTGAGTGCCTCCAGCCAGTATAGTTCGACAGGTTTCAAGGTTTTATTTCAAATGTAATATCACCCCCCCCACCCGAGGGGATATCAACATTGTACAAACATGATTTGAAGCTTTCGTGACTGCAGGAATCCATACTCTTTGGTTCTTTCGATAAAGTCACGTAGGTATAAAATAAAACATTTTATTTTTATAAAATAAAAAAATATTTTATACCTACGTGACTTTACCGAAAGAACCAAAGAGTATTGTACAAACAGATTGAAAGATAAAATCTGGTAAAAAAAATACACGATGAGTTGCATTTGCGGGGAAAGCAATGAGGGAGTGGAAACTCCGGAGCGCGGCCGGCAAGGCGCTCCAGGTTCTCGAAGCGGCGCTTGAAGCCCCAACCGCCACCCAGTGTCGGGCTACAAAATCCACAGCTCGGGGAGTCGGCCCTTCTCTGACGATCGTGGCACATAGGGCCCAAGTCGCACAAGGGACCAAACGGTCCCACACGAATGTAGGTCCAGGACCGTGCAGCTGCTTTATAGGCCAAAATAGCCAGCTTATTTTACCAGGTAAGGCCCACTGAGCTAGAGAGCTCTTTTTCAGTAGCGAACTGGCTACAAATGATAGCTCAACGAGAAGTGGCTTATGTGGAAAATTATAGCAGCCAAATACTCTTAAATGCATTTTGATTCTCAATGTGTTAGAGAAAAACTGGAGTACCCGGAATAAAATCCACACGACCACGAGAGACATGCAAATTCCAAAAAGATAGGCATTTCGGGTCGGAATTGAACGCACGACCTGCAAACATTGGGGACCACTATCTCCAGTGACTCCTTTAGGAGCCAGGAAGGGGAAATGATCTGAATTGCAGGTGGTCCCAATTTATCCCGGAAGCAAGTTATACGAGTGCTGGGGAGAAATTGGGGCGACCATCCAAAACAAGAGAACTCTGGGAAGTGACCAGTGGGACTGCGGGGTAGATCGCACTCCGGGTGAGATAAATATTATTAGTGGAATACTCTACATTGCTGCTCAGAATGTATAATTCTGGTGGTGGAGCAGTCGGGATGGAGCAGACTGTCAACCATCCTGAAGGGCTGAGCAGGGTGGTTCCTTGCCGAGTCGATCTTCCTGGCAACAAAATGTTTTTCCCAGGAAGCCCGCTTTCATATACTCCCGTTTGTCAGACTACCCGGACTGCCCAGTTGGCATCACGGTGAAATCTACGCCAACAATGTTCTTCCGTGGTTCCTGCTTCTGCAAGCGGAGCTTAACGGAATACCAAGGGGCACTTGCCAATAATCGATGAAGTGCAGCATCACTACACGGGAATGAGGATAAATGAGTCCTTCCGGGCATTTCGAACAAAGGAAATGCCATTAGCCTCTTGGACTGGATCTAATGAAGTTTTAATCCATTTGAGAGGGGTATGAGTGCCTCGAAGGACACCCTGAATCACCCTGTGATGAGTTCATGGTGGGGGGTGGGGGGAAACTAAGATTGTCAAGTTTATGGCTGTGATCGTGAGTTGCACCACAAACAGATGGGGTTCAGCCCATGGACCTGATAGACCGGTGGAAAGTTCATCCATGGGATCGTCAACCCAAAATAAGTGGGAAGATCACTTCGGATATTTAAAATTGCTCCTCTACCCAGCGGTAAATCGGCTCAGCCGCGGTATAGGCGGTCGGGCTGCGGTGGAAGCGGCCGGATTAGCAGTCGAGGCAGCCGGGGCCGCTGTGCAGGCAGCTGAAGCCATCAGGGTGGCCAAGCCGCGATGGAAGTATGCCGAGTCACTTGCATAGGCGGCCAGAGCAGCGATGAAGCAGCCGGAGCCACCTTTGAGGTGACTCGAGCCAAGGCCGTGAAGTGCTGAGTCGGCCTCGTCTGCAACACCTGCAAATGAGGCCCTTCCCCGTGTGACTGACCTTTCACCATCACAGCAGGTGCGATGTACAGCAGGCCTCTCTCACCATCACAGCAGGTGCGATGTACAGCAGGCCTCACCATCAGAGTTAGCAGGTGCGATGTACAGCAGGCCTCTCACCATCACAGCAGGTGTGATGTACAGCAGGCCTCTCATCATCACAGCAGGTGCGATGTACAGCAGGCCTCTCACCATCACAGCAGGTGCGATGTACAGCAGGCCTTTGTCATCATCAGTCAGCAGGTGCAATGTAGAGCAGGCCTCTCATCATCACAGGTGTGATGTACAGCAGACCTCTCACCATCAGTCAGCAGGTTTGATGTACAGCAGACCTCTCACCATCAGTCAGTCAGGTGTGATGTACAGCAGGCCTCTATCATCATCAGTCAGCAGGTGTGATGTACAGCAGGCCTCTCTCACAATCAGTCAGCAGGTGTGATGTACAGCAGGCCTCTCTCACCATCAGTCAGCAGGTGTGATGCACAGCAGACCTCTCTCACCATCAGTCAGCAGGTGTGATGTACAGCAGACCTCTCTCACCATCAGTCAGCAGGTGTGATGCACAGACCTCTCACCATCAGTCAGCAGGTGTGATGTACAGCAGGCCTCTCTCACCATCAGTCAGTAGGTGTGATGTACAGCAGGCCTCTCTCACCATCAGTCAGCAGGTGTGATGTACAGCAGACCTCTCTCAACATCAGTCAGCAGGTGTGATGTACAGCAGGCCTCTCTCACCATCAGTCAGCAGGTGTGATGTACAGCAGGCCTCTCTCACCATCAGTCAGCAGGTGTGATGTACAGCGGACCTCTCTCAACATCAGTCAGCAGGTGTGATGTACAGCAGGCCTCTCTCACCATCAGTCAGCAGGTGTGATGTACAGCGGACCTCTCTCAACATCAGTCAGCAGGTGTGATGTACAGCAGGCCTCTCTCACCATCAGTCAGCAGGTGTGATGTACAGCAGGCCTCTCTCACCAACACAGCAGGTGTGATGTACAGCAGGCCTCTCTCACCATCAGTCAGCGGGTGTGATGTACAGCAGGCCTCTCACCAACACAGCCACACCTCACGTGGAGTACGGTACAAGAGCCACACTTAGAAAACGTGTCGTTTAAACTTGAGTGTTCTCTTTAATTGGAAGGAAAAAATAACTTACACACTCAATTCCACAGTTCCGAATATTCCTCTTCGGATTCGAGCAGTTGTCCATATCACTCTGTTTCCTATATCTATCACAGTAAAACTCTATTTACAGCATTGCATATTCCCCCATTTTTCCCCACCCCAAACCATGCCCCCCCCCCCCCAAAACAAACAAACCACACCCCTCCCGACTATATATAGTTTATTGTTATCATTATGCAGCGTTCACTGTGTGCCCCAACATGGGAAGACGTCTGGTGCACAGGGGAACCGGTTATAAGGGAAAGGTCATGAAGGGTGATCAGTTTGTGTTCACGTTCTGTCAGGGGTCACATTCAGAAGTATCAACTTCTTCCACAGGCGCCGCACTGCCAGGGAGTGCGACGTGGCCTGGATACAGGATGAATGTTTTTTTCTTAATAACGACTACAACGTAGGCCCAAGCTTATTGCCACAGCGTCGGCATTCGTGAACTTTTCTTTTGCACTGGAGAGGCGATTTGGGAAAAAATGGTAAACCTGTGTTAGATGTTTAGAATGTTGATGTCGGAAGGATCCTTCACATTGCTCAAGCCCAAATGGCTCTACCTAAGGCAACAAGCTCCAATGAATTCCAACCTCGCAGCCTTCTTCTGTTGCGCACCCAACACCCGCAGAGTTACGACGATAAATCCCGTCGGTCCACATGCGCTCGCATACCCACGGCGTGCATTAGAGTTAGCGGGCACCCCCTCCCGTTGTGGTCACGAGGGCCAGGCCAATGAATGCCCCGTTCTGCTGGGTGGGAGAAGTCCAAAATCAAGAACACTAAAGACAAACCGCTCTCGTCTTGTCGCAACACGACCGGGCGTTCGTGTTCGACACGAGCCTGAAGCTCCGTTAACGCAATCCCACGCGGTCACGTGCTTCGTTGTAGCTCTGCGAATTCGCCGCGTTGACGTGTCGATTACGGACAGTAGCCACCTCACTGTGACATCGTTTGAGAGCCGTGATGCAACGCACCTTTTGCGTAAATTGAAAGTCTTTTTTTTCTCATTGACGAGCTTCGGTGACGGGGGACACACACGACCACACACGAACCGTTTGTGTTTCTAGAAGGGTCATCTTATTTTAAGTGCATGCCACCAATGCATTAACACAAACGCATGGTGGGGAGTTACTGCATCATGGACAGTTAATGCACGGCGAAGCTATCAACAAAGTCGTGTTTCCCTTGCACGAGCCTATGCTAATAACTCACAAACTGGGATAATATTAGATCTGGCGGTGTCACTCAGTGGAAGAGCGCTTGGATCACATTCAGAAGGCCATCATCATCACCATTGCCATTAATCTCTCCAGGGTGGATGAAAAAGGGCACCACTTTGTTGGACAGTAAACTGTGGTTGTGCTATGGCAAGACTGGCCTCTGCCAGGAGAATGTGGAATTTCACCACTTCCAGAGCCACCAAGATGAGCACCGCTTCATTGTTTGACCAGGGAGACACTTTGGCCGTGTATAATTTACTCGCTGCTTAACACTTGCAGAATATTTTTTATTGTTTTATTTCACGTGGCTACCAGTTGTATTAGGCATTCAAAGACAGATATACAGAGGGCAGCATTTTCTGTTACTCTGTCCTGGGCAAACAGGTGTTAATGTGAGCAGGGTGAGACTGGCCTTCTAATGTACTCTGGCGATTTGACAATTCCAATTAAAAGCAGCAGCGGCACAGAGCAGTTACGAGGTAGTGGACCCCACACGGTGCATCCCCCACGACCAATGTGAGCTGCGCTCCCTGTGCTAGAGCCAGGCCTGCGTTTCCATGGCAGCGAGCTCTGGCCATCAGGTGCAGAACTACGTTGCTGGGCCATCATGAGGTTCTCAACAGAATAAATATAAACCCGACCGCACCAACAACATGCTTAACAAAAGAACATTGCTGTATTTAGATCACTTTCTGACCCCAGCGTCCAACAGCCAAAAGAGGAGGGGGGATAGGCAGGGCATGGGTGGGGGGGGTGCTGAGCCGACAGACCCTCATGGGGGCATGGGACACAGGCCCTGGTGCTGCTGCTGTTGTGGCAACGAGGCATTGCCTGCACGAGAACACACCCTTCCGGCAGCGTGCGTGCGCGCGCGTGAACGTAGCAGCAGGGAATGCACGAGCCAGGATTGGTGCTTCAGGGTAGTGGTGTGGTGCGCCCTGCTCCTCCAAATGTCCCTTTGGCATCACCCAAGTTCACGCTTATGCGCGGTGGGTCACTGTGAAGGTGGTCCAACAAAACGGCTCTACTGGCCTCCCATCTGTGAGGAGCCGGGCCTGACGCCTACCTCCTTGTGAGCTTTCAATATCAATCCATAATATAGATTTCTTTAGTTAGATCGCGCAAATATAAATGTGCCGCCACAAAGTGGACACTCGCCGTCTTGATGCCCGGGGAGACTTTTTTGAGCGTGTCATTTTAGGTAGGCGGGGAAAAAAAGTTACTTCGAGCAACCATAACCTCATTCGTAATCAGAACAACAAAGAGGGTATATATCTGCGCATGCACGCGACGATAATTTAACACTCCGTTGGCAAGTCGCACGTCGGCAATTCGTCACTGCCAAATGAAAAACTGACGCTTTCGCGAACGAATCAAAAGTGAACACTGGCCCACAAAAGGGCCGTCCGTTGCTGCTGGCCACCATGACCGAGTTGTTTCGTGAGGGGGGCGACTGGGGGGGCGACTGGGGGGGCGTGAATTCCGCGCGGCGCGACTCCGCGTGCGCTGCGCCGCCGCCGGTGGGCTGTGGGAGGCGCTCTCCTAGCGAATGTCGCCTCGCTCACTGCGGAGTCTCGCCCATCCCCCATTTTGTTTGGATTTTAAACTCGATCAAAAATTCCCAAGCACTTTGTACATGAAAGCGCTGCAGAAACAGCTGATAACAGCATTAGCCCCGAGCCAGTGATGGGCATTCCACATTCCCGTGGCGGGTGCCAGCCTCTTTATTACGACCACTGTTGATTTCTACCTCGTTATATCGACGCGGAGGAACGACGCGTCGCATAAATCCACAACCGTGAGTTGACTTGGCAAACCTCGTTACTTGAGTGCTCTGACCGCAGCGCTGCCCCTGGCTCATCACGAGTTTCCCTGGCGGAAATCGTTTCACATCGGCGCACAAATTAAACTACCTCTCGGTGGAATTGCAATCGTGAAACAACCAGTGTGCGAGCTCGGCTTCACACGTTTACCAATCGCCCATCGGCATAGGATGAACACAAACGTCTATTTTACGCAAAATGAGAAATACTGGAAAAGGGTGAAGCCCTGACCATGGGCTTGGCGGAGCGGGAGAAAAGGGGGAGAGCACGGAGACTTGAAGACGTCTCAACGTGACCTGTCAACCCCCAGAGTGCCTCGCGACAACCCGTACCAAATGTAAAGGTGGTCGCCACGGTGCCACGCATTGCACCAGCCTCCAAACCAGTCACGGTGGAGAGCATAACGAAACAAAAACCAATCCAGAATTGCTTAAACCTTGAAAGAGCATGCATTGCAAAACAACGAGCATTCACCCAAGTGCTGAGCAGTGCGTACGTGGACACAACACCGAACACGGATGCAGCGATTCACCCCCTTCCACGATTCTACAAATTGTCACGAATCGGGGGGGGGGGGGAGGGTAAAGATTTAATTCCCAAGACGGATTATATTTGCCCTCGAACACACCGAATCGACAGTGGAAATAAACACATGTAACGCATTCCTAACGCGCACGATTCGATGCATGTACCATGAGCATACGAATCGATTGTGGCGGGTGAAATGTTACGTGCCCAGTATATCTATAAAAAAAACAGTGCCCACTCTCAGGCAATTCCTTTTTACGTCTCCACTCGAACACGTTTTGACTTGGGACGGTCATCCACTAAGCCCCGTGGAGCCAACAATCGCGAGTTTGACATTTGTGTCCCGGGCAAAGTGGAGCGGGCGGTCGATGGGAAATCAGTCGGCTGAGCAAAGGAAACCCCCACAATCACCCAACGCCCCACATTCGCGCAGACGCAAGCCGCAAATCACGGAGCCTGTGTTCAGTGCACCGTTCCTATCACAGGCTGCCAGATGTCCAGCAGATGGTATTAGTGTACAGCGTGTTGGTTCTAGATATGTCTGCGCAGAGTTTTCTGCTTGAATGTACGGTGGAATTTCTCCAGGTACTCGGATTAACCCCCAACATGCGAGCCCACGCATTAAGCAAGTGCTCCAAGCATTCTGATGCAGAACCTTCCCAGGAAGTGTCTTGAGGCTCGGCGAGGCGTTCCCCCAGATAAATAAACGACATAAACATCGCGAAAAATGACAACTCTCTCGAGTATTCCTCTGCATTTGACAAGAAGCATCCCTAACGTCGACTCAGCCAGAAAAAAAAAAGTACCTATATAACTGCAGTTGTGCAAGAGCCGGTCAGAGACTTTCCTCCTCGCAGCCACACGACGGGCCAGACTGAGAAGCCGGTGCCCACGGAGCGGGCTATCGGCCTCGCTCGCTCAAAACCACGCCACCACCAGGGCCTTGTCGCATCGACGTCTTAAATACTCCACCCATCTGTATTGCCAATGTACACTTTGCGTGTTTTTTCTCCAGGGCACGACGTGGCAGACGGTGAGCGGCAGGCTGTCGCTGCACCGCCGAGTCCCTTCTGGGGGTCGTTAGCAGCCTGTGTGGATTTATATCAGCGATACTGGACGGCTCACCAAATGTAAAGCCACGTGCACCCAGACTTTTATTTTTTAAAAATAAAATAACAAAAACCCACTGCAGAGACCGATTGCCTGTCCTGCTGCCCACGGGTGACTCCTCTTGTCTCCTTAACCCAAAACGAACCGTGCCGGAGTCTCTGCAGCCCTGACAGCCTCTCCGCTCTGCGCGCTGCAAACAAGCAAGAACGCGCCGCGGTTTTTGCTCGCTAGCATCCTGCAGCCCGGCGAATACCAACCACTTCTATCAGCCACCCCCACGAGTTTGTCATTTTTCTGAGAATTCGCATTTGCAAACGAAACAAAACAACGTGCACACACACGTACACAAAAGCTGGCAGCGGTCCTTCAGTCAACAATTCTTAGGCCCGGTGAGCCTCTCGCCAACAGCATCCGGCGCTCACGACAAAATTTACCTTTTTTTCCCCTCTCGTAATTCTCGCCGGCCAGCCCAAAGCACCGCGGTGAAACGAAAAACACAACGACGCGCCTCCTCCCCGCTCGCCGGCTCGGCGCCCATCCCCCCCCGCCCCCCCCGCCACGGCGTGAACCTTCCCCGTGTGTTCCAGAGTTACAGCAAGCGCCGGCGCCACGAGGGGGCGCGTGGCGGCACGCTCACGCCACGTACATGAACGTGTTGATGCTGTCCTCGTCGCGGCGAATGTACTTGTGGTCGATGAGCCACTCGATCTGCTCCTTGATCATCTTCTTCTGCGGGAAGAACATGTTCTTGAGGATCTCCACCAGCTCCGTCTGCAGCTGCGCGTTCGAGATCTTCTTGCGCATCTTCATGATCTGTATGATGGCCTCCTGCGCGCCGAGGGGGCGACACGCAAACACGCGCGCACACAGGTGTGTAGGTGAACGTGTGTGGGGGGAAGCGGCGGCCGAGCGGTTAGCGGTTCCCGCTCACGGCCAACAACCCCAGTAAACATCGCCACTGGGGAGACAAAGGCGGTCGAGTGGGGTGCTGGCCACCCACCCCCTCGTGTACTGTGCCGGCCTTCATCGGTGCTCGCTAACAGCACTTGCCCCTACAGTCTGTGAAGACTATACGGGGGATCTTTGTCTTTGTGTACGTGGAGTGGTGGTGCAGTGGCATGCGCTAGAGGCCGACCGAAATTCGGTTTCGGCGCCCAAAGTTGGCAAATGGCCACTTTCGGCATAATTTTGGTTTCGGCCGAAAGTCAATTTTTCACTTTCGGTCTAGTTTCGGTTTCGGCCGAAACTGATATTGACTTTCGCTCGTCAACCGAAGATCTATTTTTAGAATATAACGCCTAGTGCTACGTCTATCACTGCCTATCGGGCTAGGCAATCCCATGCGATAGGCTGCAAATACACACACACACACGTCAGCAGCAGCAGCAGCTTGGGAGCGAGGTTACAGCCGCAACGATGGTCGCCTGTCAACAGACGGCAGCCTGCATCTGCATCCGTGGGTGGAGTCTCTTTGGCGGGACGACAACAAAGTGCCTCTGTTGTCTGTTCCCAGCCGCCTGCCCGCCTTGGCTTATGTGTTGCGTTCGCTTAAGTCTACACGCGTGTTGATGCCGAGATTCGAAGTCTGGCAATATTGATATTCAGTTAGTTAATAGTTCCGTAGTCAATTAGTGATAACGAAATTACGAATCTGAGTGAAGTAGAAAATTAAAGTTAATAAACGGAGCAGTTAATCACCGTGAAGAATACTCTTTGGTTCTTTCAGTAAAGTCACGTAGGTATAAAAAATAAAATGTTTCGAGCACAACACAAGCGTCTGCCATAAGGTGGGACACCCACAGCAAGAAAACAATTTGCTGAAGAGGGCCACTGTGTGGGTGTCCCACCTGATGACGGACGCTTGTGTTGCGCCCGAAACGTCGTGATTAAATATATTTTATTTTTTATACCTACGTGACTTTACTGAAAGAACCTAAGAGTATGGATCCCTGTAGTCACGAAAACTTCAAATCTAGATTACACCGTGAAGAATATTGAAACATGCGGTGTGGGATTACTTCACGAAAGTCGATTCTGATTACAAAAGCAAGGCGCAGCACCTGCTGGGCGAGAATGCGGAAACACTGGTCATTCTTCACTACAACATTCGTCTGTTTGGATATAATTACTAAGTAAGTAACACCTAAAGATTTGATATTTACCGACTCTTACTGCAGGCTCTGAATGAATAGTCCTAGATTTATTTTTTATTAAAGTAGCATTGCATCATGACGTATTTAATAAATCTTGTGTTCGGTAACTTCGGTTATATACCTTTCTGTTTCGCTCTCGGCCGAAAGTGAAGTTAAACTTTCGGTTTCGGCCGAAAGTCAGTTTTTAACTTTTGGTTTCTGGTTTCGGTTTTGGCCGCAACCAGAAATTCAGTTTCAGTCGGCCTCTAGTTCGCACACTGCGCTACAAACCCCTTTTGACCTGCGTTTGAATCCCACTCAAAGCCGACATCGGTGACCAATATATGAATCTGTTCTGGGCCTCCCCTAGGTCGACACAGCCTTATATTGGTACCTGGTGGGGTGTGTAAAACTGGAGAGACAAAGGCGGCCGGGCGTGGGTTGTCGCCCACCCACCCCGCTGTGGGCCGTGCCGGCCTTCATCGGTGCTCACGAACAGCACCTTGCCCCAACAGCTCGTGGAGGCTACACGGGGGACCTTTGTCTTTGTGTGCGCACACCTGCGTGCGCAGGATCCTCAGCTGCACGATGCCCTCGTTCTCCTCGTCGCGGCTGCGCTCCGTCGTCAGCTGCAGACGCCCAATCAGGTTTATTTTGCCGCGCTTCTGGACCTTCCCGTTCTTGCTGCAGCGGGATCGATGAGCGACACGCACACACACGCCGTTACACACACACGCCGTTACACACACACACGCCGTTACACACACACACACACCGTTACACACACACACACACCGTTACACACACACACACACCGTTACACACACACACACACCGTTACACACACCGTTACACACACACACACGCCGTTACACACACACACACGCCGTTACACACACACACACGCCGTTACACACACACACACACGCCGTTACACACACACACGCCGTTACACACACACACGCCGTTACACACACGCCGTTACACACACACGCCGTTACACACACACGCCGTTACACACACACACACACGCCGTTACACACACACACACACGCCGTTACACACACACGCCGTTACACACACACGCCGTTACACACACACACGCCGTTACACACACACACACGCCGTTACACACACACACACGCCGTTACACACACACACACGCCGTTGCACACACACACACGCCGTTACACACACACACGCCGTTACACACACACGCCGTTACACACACACGCGCCGTTACACACACACGCGCCGTTACACACACACGCGCCGTTACACACACACGCCGTTACACACGCACGCCGTTACACACGCACGCCGTTACACACGCACGCCGTTACACACGCACGCCGTTACACACGCACACCGTAACACACACACACGCCGTTACACACACACGCCGTAACACACACACGCCGTTACACACACACGCCGTTACACACACACACCGTTACACACACACGCCGTTACACACACACGCCGTTACACACACACGCCGTTACACACACACCGTTATACACACACACCGTTACACACACACGCGGTAACACACACACACCGTTACACACACACACGCCGTTACACACACACGCCGTTACATACACACGCCGTTACACACACACGCCGTTACACACACACGCCGTTACACACACACGCCGTTACACACACACGCCGTTACACACACACGCCATTACACACACGCCGTTACACACACACACGCCGTTACACATGCCGTTACACACACACCGTTACACACACACACGCCGTTACGCGCACACACACACCGTTACGCACACACACACGCCGTTACACACACACACACGCCGTTACGCGCGCACACACACGCCGTTACGCACACACACACACGCCGTTACGCACACACACACACCGTTACGCACACACACACACACACACGCCGTTACGCACACACACACACGCCGTTACGCACACACACACACACCGTTATGCACACACACACACACACGCCGTTACGCACACACACACACACCGTTACGCACACACACACCGTTACGCACACACACACACACACGCCGTTACGCGCGCACACACACACCGTTATGCACAGGTCCGGCTAGCTGCAAAACCTCGTTAACATTAGTGTAAGAAAAACAACCACCACCACTCTTAGTTACTTCAGTATATTAATGCGTGTGTGATATTGTACAGACAAAAAAAATACTTAGAGCATGCTATCTTATTTTATTTTTATAGAGCGCGCTAGCTCAAGGTGCTAGCTCAAGGCGCTCTATAACAGTTTAAAATCGAGCGATTTAGATGGCAAGGACACACAGGGACTGAGGAATGAGTGCCCGTTACAGAGGGCAAGTGGGGTCACGTGAGAGCAGGGAAGGGACGAGCACGTGGTCCCCCCATCTCATCTCCCTCATCCCCTACCACCCATCCCCCACTACCCCTCCCCCATACCCCACCACTAATGTATTGCTTTAAGTACGTAGTCTGCTTAAACTATACATTTTACAATTGTACACATCACACATAATATACAAGTATATAGCATGTACTTTAAATCTTTGCATCTCATTTACATTTTAGATTGTGCTTATTTAGCCGATCTGGTGTGGGCACAATGTAAAATCAAGCTATCCAGGGTTTTTACTGCAGTCACAATGTTTCATTATTTTTATTATTTACATGTTTACGCAAAGCGCTCTGAGGCGATGCTATCTTGAAGGGTGCCGTATAAGGCAGAGACTGTAGGATGCCATTGTAATGTGGAGGCTTAGAAATATTGTGCATCATGTATCATGTGTCGTGTATTGCGCTGGGTGTGTTCTGTAGGGTGCATCGCGCTGGGTGTATCGCACTGGGTGTATAAACCTGGTGCATCGCACTGGGTGTATTCCACAGGGTGCATCGCACTGGGTGTGCCTCACTCGTACGCACATGAGCGCAAACTCTTGGTTGACCCAGAAGATGGTTCCCTCCGTGAAATCCTTGGGCGACACGGCCGTAGGCTCGTACAGCAGCGGCTGCCGCTTCAGCTTGGGGAACGCCACCAGAGACTGGGGGGGAGCACAGCCAGGCACAGATGTCCTGGAGTGTACGGAGAATCTGGGCAACTGCCCCGGGCCCCGCACTTTTGGGGGGGGGGGGGGAGCCCCGCGCTTCGACGTCTCAAGTTGCTAAATTGTTTAAAGTTGCTAAATTTGAAAAATGACCTGCAAATCACTCAGCAACATCGCCGCCTTACTGCGAAACTACTGCAGACTGCATCTGTGAAACCCAGCAGCACCTTTGTGATGATAACCCTGCACTATAAGAATGAAGCAAGTATTAAATTAGTATTATATTATCATGAGTGTCGTTGTGGAGAATATAACTAACTAAATAATATAATCAGACCACATGCCTCCTCCCATATCTGTCGCACCACGTGTTTTTTGCACATCCCATCAGACACACGGCTTTCTAATGTCTGCACTGATTTCAACATTCTGGCTCTGCTGATGAGACAGTGAGTGATCCATATTTGTTTTGGAGACACTGAATGTCGAAGCGTTTTACTTGGAGAAAGACGTGGGAAGGAGGTGTATCATCTCCTTACTTATTACTATAAATAATGGCTGATTGATAAAGATGGAATGAGTGGCTGCGTACGAGTTAAGTCGATAGACAAGCGGGTGGACAAGCGGGTGGACAAGCGGGTGGACAAGCGGGTGGACAAGCGGGTGGACAAGCGGGTGGACAAGCGGGTGAACGCAGGCGAGCGAGCGGGCGAGGGAGCGGGCGAGTGGACGAGCGAGTGGGCGAGCGAGTGGGCGAGCGAGTGGGCGAGGGAGCGGGCGAGTGGACGAGCGAGTGGACTATTTAGCGGATGAGCGAGTGGACGACCCGGCAGGTGAGGGCGCTTACCCAGAGCGTGCGCCGGAGTTCGGCGTCGGGCAGCTCGGTGGCGAGGCGCAGGTTCTCAAAGCTGATGCGGTCGCGCTGCCGCTGGTTCCACGCGAAGAGGATGGCAAGCTGGAACGTTGTCACCTCCAGGTCGTATTGCCCAACCTCGTTCTTGAACGTGATCTGAGTCGACAAGCAAGCGGAACTCAGTGGGGCAAACATGGTGAAGCGGCTAACGTCAGTGGCGAGGGATGTCCGAACCTTTGCTGGGATCCTCGCTTCACCAACCCGGTACGGACCGGCGTGGTGAAACGGGGTCCAATAACCCCCATGACTGACCCGCTGCGTGGAAGAGGCCTTCATCCACCAGTGAATTGACAATCGGCTGTATAATAATATAACTGAATGGCTGAATGAATAAACAGCCACAGTGGAGCGTACACGCAATGTAAAGGCCGCTGTTCGCCCACCGCTCTGTGCCTCTGCTGTGTGTAATTAATCAGCCTCCCCCACTTGGCTTGAGGTGGTGAGCTTCACCCTTCTAAAGAGTCTACATTGAGCCACAGCATCGATTTCCACTGCACTGGGCGCCCTGATGTTAAGGGATCGTTCAGTGGCTGCGGAGTGGGGGCCAGTGCCGGGCAGGGCAGGGAAGCTCAACCGGCACGGGAATGTGGAATTGCAGAGAGGCTGGCCTCAGCCTTGCGGCGGCAAGAGGATGGAGCACCGCCCCGTGGTCGTTTGAGGAAGAAGCCGCTCTGCGGTTGTCATGTGGTGGGACCTGTGCAGGGCGGGCCACGCGTGTATGCACGTGCGTTTGTGTGTGTGTGCGTGTGGTGACGTCACCGCCACTTAGTGGCGAATGGCGGTTGTTGTTGTGTGTTCAGAGGTTAGCGTCCTGCGCTACGAACTCGGGGACCCAAGTTCGATTTCCGCTTAAGGTCAACACCAGTGACGATTATCTGAACCCGTTCTGGGCCTCCCCTAGTTCGACTCAGCCTCAAATGAGTACCTGGTGAGGTGTGTAAACATCGCCACTAGGGAGAAAAAGGCGGCCGGGCACGGTGCTGCCCACCCACCCCCTCGTGTGCCGTGCCAGCCTTCATAGGTGCTCACTAACAGACCTTGCCCCAACAGTCTGTTCAGGTTATACGGGGGGGTTCTTTGTCGTGTACGCACGTGCGAGCGGGACTCACGATGCCGTTGGACATGAGGTGGTGCCAGTGCAGCTTTCGGCCGCTGTGGCTCTTCTTGTAGAACTCCTCCACCTCAGGGATCAGGTCCTCCAGCTCCGTGGGCAGCGACACGAACATCTTCTCCGAGCTGCGCGACCACGCGCCCGCGTTCAGGATCTTGATGTTCACCGAGTCTGTGGAGGAGAGCAACACGCTGCATTCACCTGCTCGCTCGCTCGTGTGCTCGTTCGATCATTCGCATGTCCTTTTTACTCATTCACTCAATTGGGGCCATTGACGCTTTGGGGAATGGATTTAATCGGTGCGCCGTTACTCTGCCACCTCGTTTGCTCGCTCGATCATTCGCCCACTTGCTCTTGGCTCAGACGCCACAGCTCGGAGGAAAAAACCTTGGCTTCCCCACCACCCCTCCCCTATCACCCCCTCCCCTATCACCTTCTATAACTACATATTTCATACATTGCACACAATAAAACATGTACTACGCATTACACATAACGTACTCTCACGTTTACAGCACGCTCATTATTATATATTTACTACTGCGTTCACTGATCGCCACGTGGCGCACAGATCCCCACTCGGCCTCTCTGCCCTCGTCTTCCCAGCGCCCCCCTCCCTCCCCTCCCCAGACAGAGCGGCGTACCGGCCATGGCCAGCTTGTTGTTCTTGTGCATCTCCTTGAAAGCCTGGTTGAGGTCCTCCGACACCTTGATGTCCTGGAACATGCGCGCCAGCTTGTTCACGTAGTCGGCGGGCATCCCCACCTCCTGCGAGTGGCAGAGACGCGGGGGAGGGTCGGTTACTGGGCCCGCTCGGGGGGACAGCACCTGCAGTCGGGCGGCCCCTCCTCCTCCTTTGCCGAGGGCCACACGTGACCTCTAAAGCACCCTTCGGCTAAAGTCGCTTCTGCCAACGCAGGGGCCTCTTGCCAGTGACACAAGTCAGAATAATTTCAGAATCGGAATGTTTATTTAGACTGGAGGAATTCGATGAGCTATAAAGATGTCAAGTAGGGGGAGGTCAGGACATAATAACAATAAACAATACAATAACATGATAGGCTTGCAAAGTATAGGAAAGGTAAAGATATCACAATCGAAATAATATAGACGCACGTTTCTAAATGTGGAGAGAAAAAGCGGAGGACACGGAGAAAAAATCCACGTGACCACGGGGAGAACACGCAAAGTACAGATATACAGCAGTGTCAGGATCGAACCACCGACCCTCTGCATACCAGGCGAGGAAGGTACCATCTCGCCACCATGGTACCCCTTAAATAAGTAAACAGGAGTTGAAAGTATTCCCTTCTGGCACCGGATTGGTGCGCGGCCAAGGTGCTTGCTGTGACGGATATAAATATCGTTTGCGGGCCGCTTTGAAGCGAGACACGAAGCCGTGTGAAGTCGTGGGCTGTGGGTGTCTGACTCCAGCCCCATGGCACACAGGCCTCGGGGAAGCAAGGATTTGTGGGTCATGGAGAGTGCGAAATTCTCAAACCTGCTGGGATGCGGGGTGGACTGTAGATGGCAGTACAGCAAGTTAGTTCGTGATCCCGGATATGCAGAGCTTTTCTACGTTATCCCCTCATATGTTTGTGTTCTCTCCGGCACTCCGGTCTCTTTTATCGAAAGCAAAACACTCCTGAGATATAAACTGACCAAACCTCTCAATGCACCAGCTGTACACGTGGCCACTCAACTGTAACTCTATATACAGCTTTCTCACCTCTCTCTCCCTTATCTATCTCTTAACGACAGCTCTCTCATCGCCATGGGGAGGAGAGCAGGTGGGCGGGAATGCGAGCGGGCGGGTGAGTGAGCGGGTGGACAAGTGCTCACCCTCAGCCACTCCACCATGTTCTCCTCGGTCTCGCTGTCAGCCGAAATGTCGAGGATGAGCCGTCGCGTCAGATGTGCCTTATGGTAGCGCATGAACACGTCCTTGTTCTGCACGTACTTCAGCACCAGCAGCTGTGGGAAGAGGCAAGAGGGGACAGCCCATTACCGAAACGCCAGCCCCGCCACGCCCATCCCTGCATCTCCACGCTCGCACCCCACTCATCCTTGTGTCCGCGTAGCATGCGGCTGCCTACAGGTTTAACTACAGCTGAAATAACAAGAACATGCAACCGGCAAACACCACACGCTTTCGTTTTGTAGACATGGGCGTAGGTGGTGTCTGTGGCTAAATCGGCCCAAATACATCTTGAGCATCAGATCTTATAGGTGAAACGATTTTGAGCCTGAACATGGAGAGGAGAGTGAGTCAAAGGAAGAGGGGTGTGAGAGAGCAGAGGGATGAGTCAGAGAGAGAGGGGCGGAGAGTGAATTAGCGTGAGAGGAGAGTGTAGAGGGCATTTGAATGTGTGAGGGTTTACATTTATATGGCTGCTATAGAGTTCCACATCATAGGCCACTTCATTTAGCTATCACATTTGTGGCCAGGTGGCTTCTGAAAAAGAGACACATTGTTAAGTGGGCCATAGCTGGTAAAATAAAAAATAGTTTAATAGTTTTACGTCAGAGACAGGTCGCCCGGCCCCCTCCTGCCTGGCCCCCGGCCCCCACCTGACCCCCACTTAGCCCCCCCGCCCGGCCCCCACCCAGCCCCCACCCGGCACCCACCCGACCCCCACATTGCCCCTGCATGACCCCCGCCCTGGCCCCAGCCCAACCCCTGCCCGGTCCCCACCGCCGCCACGCTCCTCACCACTTCTCTGAGCTTGGCGTCGATCTCCTCGGACGTGAGCTTCTTGCTGAGCGGAGTCTTGCGCAGCAGCATGTCGCAGTAGTTCGCCAGCAGCTCGGGGCACTTGCTCTCGGGCTGCGTCTTGGAGCTGAGCCTGGGGCACCGGCCACGCGTGTGGCGTTACACGAGTCCCACGAATACCACACGAGTCCCACGAATACCAGAGTCCTCAAGTCCGCAAGTCCCTGGGGGACTGCGTTCAAGGGCAGCGGGGAGCCGCGCTCTCGGCACCGGTGCCGACACGGCCATTGTGAACCCCCAAAAGCCTTCACCAATCCACAACTGAACTGCAATAAGTGAGGTCAAATAACCCCCACGGCGTGAAGAGGTCCTCATCCAGCAGTGGAATGACAGAAGGGCTGTACTTGTAAACCTTGTTTATTTATTATATCTGGGAAAGCCTCGCTGAGTATCAAGACTCTCTTCAGATGGGTCCTGCATTAGAACGTTCGGCCAATTCATTATGAAGGAGTGTTTTTCTTTCAGGCCATCATCCAGCAGTCAATTGATACAATGGAGAGAGACGTGCAGAGCCACGGCTGGGACTGCAGAATCTCAGTGGTGCTGGCTCAGCAGCCCTACCATGATCATTATGAACCCACCAATGAGACACACACCTAGACCTGAACAAGATATCTCAAGAGATGCCATCCCATAGGCTTCGACACAGCCTTTATGGATCTGCTGAGAGATACACTCAGTGCATTCAAACGCAGGACCTCAAAGGTTCTGGCTCAATGGTTGGACGTGGCCACTGAGAATCACCTAAACCACCCCCAAATCTCCTCCAGACAGCAATAAACGAGCCTATAGTGAACTAAACTATTTTTATTAATTTATAGCAGCCAAATACTCTCAACGCATGTTTTAAAATGTGGAAGGAAAAACCGGAGGACCCGGAGAAAAATCCATGCGACCACCACGTGGAGATATATAGCAGGCGTCAAGGTCGGGATCAAACCCACGACCTCCTGTATACCAGGTGAGGTAGTTAACACATCACCACCTTGGTGTCACCATATTATTTCTTATATCATAGTTTAAATGCAGGCTCAGTTTCCTTCTGGAAAAGTTTTAGGTGCTTAGAAAATGTGGTGAACCATGAGTATAACTCTCTGATAACCAAATTCCGGATAGTAGAGCTTTTGCTGTAGTTGTTCTCCATAAGTCCCAGAGGACATACTGAGGCTGCCTGCGGCTCCCTCACCCTTTCTGTTTGCTGGGCAGCTCCAGCTTGAAGATGGTGGCGTCGTTCACCACCGCCTTGTAGGCCTGCAGGGGCAGAGCGAGAGGGAGGAAGAGAGAGAGAGAGCGAAGAAGTGCTCTCGGGGGACTGCAGCTAACGGGAGACGCGAGACTCTCTGAGAATAAATAAACCAATGACTGACAGCCACCGTAGAGAGATGTCGATGTAAAGATGTCCAGCCCTACTGTCGATTCACTGCTGCCCGAGGGCTTCACCACGTCGGTCGGTGCGGGTTTAAGGCACAGAGGATGGACGTGGAAGCGCAGAAGTATACAGCACAATAATGGATTTGCTGCACTGCCCGTCTGGTGGCCACCACGTAGCCATATAGCACGTGTTATGCATGGTGGTCACCCCACCAGGCACTATCCAGGCACAACACCTGCTTAGCTTCCGAGATGTAACGAGATCGGGTGCATTCGAGGTCGTTTGGTCATAGACGACGTATCGATCAACTCACAGTCCAAACTTGGCAGGACCCTCCTGCAAAAAAAGAGTCGTGAGACTCAGTGAGGTTTACCTGGATACACATGCATCACCATGAAATCATTTGACAACAAAGTCAGAGCCCGTTGATACGAGGAGTGTCTATAATTATAGCGAGATTTAAATTAATGACTTGGGAGTCAATGAATGACTGACCTTGTCCCGGGCTGTAAGGAAGCGCGGGTCGTCCCGGAACGCGTCCTTCACCAGGCGGCTGAAGCGGTGGAAAAGCATCAACAGCTGCTCCACGTACTTCTCAGAGTCCTGCAAAAAGCAAAGACAAAGATTACCCCGTGTAGCCTTAACAGACTGTTGGGACAAGCCGCTCATTCTCCTGCTCGCTGAGCATCCGCCAGGTGGGGTATCTACGCTGGAGACGAGCGAGCTGCGGCTGAACGGCATCGCGCATCGCTGGTGTCGCAGACACAGCTACCTCGCGAGCTCGCGCGGGAGGAGGAGGAGCCTGGGGGACAAGGCCCGAGCCACGAGCGGATGGCGAGGAAGGGACCCGGTGCTCACCGTGGTGATGGACTCGGCCGTGGCGACCATGTCTGCCAGGCCGGCGCTCACAATGTGCTCCTCCAGATCCTTGAGCATGGGTTCGATCCCCGCGGGAACTCGGTCCATCAGCTGGAACATGAGTTGAAGTTCTGTGGGGAGTGGGGGAGCGGAGAGGGGGATGGGGGAGGGACGGATGGATGTGTGAGTGTGAGTCGGGGGAGCGATTGTGTAGTGAAATAAGAACAGGCTTTACCCTTTCTGGCAAAAGCGCAGGAGGTGCTAAGATGTTTAAATTCCAAATAGTCACCTATTGCAAGGCATCAAGTCTGCAATAACCACACATTCATGTGACAAAACGTGCAAACAAATATGCTCTGATAATATATGCAATGCCTTTAAAACTGATTGGCCTGCACCAGAGACAGCATTATTTATGGTCCCATAGAGATTGTGTAGTGGTTGATGAACTGCTGATCAGCGCAGGCTGGTGGTCAGTGGGGAGCGGTAGTTAAAGTCCCGCTCATGTCCAACACCAGTGACGAATATCTGAACCGGTCCTGGGCCTACCTCACGTAAACTCAGCCTCAAAATGAGTACCTGGTGTAATGTGATGAACATTGCCACGAGGGTGACAAAGGCAGTCGGGCGTGGTGCTGGCCACCCACCCCCACGTGTGCTGTGCCGGCCTTCATAGGTGCTCTCTACAGCACTTGCCCCAAGACTATACGGGGATCTTTGTCTTTATATCATCTCTATATTATATTATAGTGCTTGTAAAACAAAAACAACGATCCCCAATGCAGCCGTTAAACGTAATGATCAGTGGTTTGTGTAAACTGCATCTCACAATGCTGTACAATCCTCAACACATGTAGGTCGTATGTATTAAAGATGTTTTTTAGCCAATTAGTGAGTGTGTATACATGTGGGAGGAAGCAAGATCACCTGGAGAAGACCTATACGTGCGAGGGGAGAACAGACTAGTGGGGCAATACGTTCAGTATTAACCCTTTCCCATTCCGATGATGTACATGTACGTCATCAATTTTTATTCCGATTCGGAAGAAAAACATCTTCAGATCGGAAGATGTATCGAGGCTCCCATAAGGCCATGCAGGATGACGTGTGGCAGTTTGGCACCGGCTATCGTAGAGTGCATTAGTGTCGCTACGGTTCTCTGCGGTGAGTACAATTTCTTTAAAAACTACGCTACACCTCTCTAAATAAAATTAACGCTGAACCGCTTGTGCATTCCGAGATTCATCGGTGAACGGGACACCCACCACCCTGCAACCTGCAGACGTCTTGGAATGGGTTAAGGGTTAATAAGCGCACCACGTCCGGCCACCTTTGTTTCCCAAATGCTGATGTTTACACGGAAAACTAGGAACTGTTTAAGCCTGAGTCAATGCAGGGGAGGCCCAGAACCAGTTCTTTCGTCACTGATATTAGCTGCGTTTGGGAATTTAACTCAGGTCGCCGGGTTGGTAGCGCAGTGCATCCGTATGCGTGTGTGTACGTGTGTCTGGCACTCACTCTCTGTCTCGTTGGCTTTGATCATGCCCGAGCACTCAGCCAGGATGGTCTCCTTGAAGGACGTGACGAGTGCGTTGACACAGCAATCCACCAGCTGACAACAAATACAAAGATCCCCCGTTAAGCCTGAACATACTGTTAGGGAAAGTGCTGTTAGCGAGTAGCACCTATAAAGGCTGGCATGGCACACGAGGGGGTGGGTTGGCATGACCACGCCCCGTGGCTGCCTTTGTCTCCCTAGTGGTGACATTTACGACACACCGCACTAGGTACTAATTTGAGACCGAGTCAACCTTGGCCCAGGACTGGGTTCAGATAATCGTCACTGGTTTTGGCCGTGAGCGGGAATCGAACTCGGGTCACCGGGTTAGTAGCGCAGCTGCCACACACACGCAATAACAGTTGCATTGCATGTGTTTTTTCAGCTATGGAAAAAGAAAAAAAAACAGAGAACTCGGAGGAAACCCATGCTGAACATGGGGAGAACATACAAACTCCACACATAAAGGTGCCCGAGTTTGAAATCAACCCTCGGCACTTCTGGCTGAGGCATGAGTGCGGCCTCTGCACCGCCACCCTCTGCCTCGCCACCCTCTGCACCACCACCTCTGCACCGCCACCCTCGCTGCCATGAACTGACACTCGCAGAACTCACCGCCTGCACGGAGTTGCAATCTTTCCGCGTCTCCAGGTATCGCAGCGCTCTCTGCTCCTCCTCTTTCAGTTTGGCATCAGCCTGAGGTTGCGCGCACGCATGCACACACACAAGGGGGCAGCACACGTTAGAAGACACGTCACAAGGAGTAGCAGACAGTATAGGGCACTTCATTCGGATGCACTTCTGCGGCCGTCTAGACCGCTCTTCCTTACAATATTACGAAGCTACTGGAGATATGCACTTTTAAATCTTATGTTGAAAACAATATTTTTAGAACTGCCTTTTGTGTTAAGTTAGTTGTCCTTCCCCAACATCTCCGATTAGCACGGTTGGCTACGTATGGTGCGAAAGAAGTTCAACATACATACATTTGTGATCTCTGTTTATAAGCAGGCGAGAAAGCCCGCTGGCTAGTGCTTGGATGGGCGACCACCACGCACAAATAAGTTGCCATCAGGCTGTGGGGCTCGAGCTGACAAAAGTAACAAGTGCAGCAAAATCCATTGTTGTACTGTATCTAAACTATTTTTCTGTTACCAGGTAAGGCCCACTGAGCTATACAGGCTTTTTGTCAGACGTGACCTGGCCATAAATTATAGCTCAATGAAGTGGCTTATTATATCAGCCAAATATTCTAAACGTATGTTGATTTAAAATGTGGAGTCAGCACTGCACCACCCTGCTGCCAATACGATTTTGAAATACGTTCGGAACTCGACTGGCAGCCAGCATAAACAGTCTAGCTCGTCCTGCACCCAACTCCCCCCCCCCCATCCCCTCCGCGTGACCGGGGGAACCCCCACGGCATTACGACGCACGTATTTCATGAAGTTCTGCACGCCGTTCTGCTGCAGGTACGCCGGCGCCTGGGTGCGGTAGAACGTGTCGGTGGCATCCAGGTACGCCTTCTCAAAGTTCTCCCTGTAAATCTGCAGCCGGTCCTCGGCGTTTGAACACAGGTTGACTGCATACACACACACGCACACACACACGCAACATGTGCCACCAAGCAGCAGTGAGGTCACCGTGCTGCCTGTACTGGGCCACGTGGCCCACTTGTTCTCTGGCTCACTCGGGCACCAGGCCGCTCATCTGCCCACTCTTACTCGCCCACATTCCCCCACTGTCCCATCCCCTGACCATGCGACTCCCCAACCATTCACTTGCTCTCCCCCTCACCAAATAATCCACTTCCCACTTTTTTGCCAAAACATCACAACCTCTTTTTTTTCCAGCTCTCCCTCTCACCCACTCTCCTGTAACACACTCGACATCTCTCACAACCACTCTCCTGTAACACACTCCCCATCTCTCACAACCACTCTCCTGTAACACACTCCCCATCTCTCACAACCACTCTCCTGTAACACACTCTCCATCTCTCACAACCACTCTCCTGTAACACACTCCCCATCTCTCCCTCTCACCCACTCTCCTGTAACCCACTCTCCTGTAACCCACTCGACATCTCTCACAACCACTCTCCTGTAACACACTCCCCATCTCTCCCTCTCTCACCCACTCTCCTGTAACCCACTCCTCATCTCTCCCTCTCACCCACTCTCCTGTAACACACTCCCCATCTCTCACAACCACTCTCCTGTAACACACTCCCCATCTCTCCCTCTCACCCACTCTCCTGTAACCTACTCCCCATCTCTCACAACCACTCTCCTGTAACACACTCCCCATCTCTCCCTCTCACCCACTCTCCTGTAACCCACTCTCCTGTAACCCACTCGACATCTCTCACAACCACTCTCCTGTAACACACTCCCCATCTCTCCCTCTCTCACCCACTCTCCTGTAACCCACTCCTCATCTCTCCCTCTCACCCACTCTCCTGTAACACACTCCCCATCTCTCACAACCACTCTCCTGTAACACACTCCCCATCTCTCCCTCTCACCCACTCTCCTGTAACCCACTCCCCATCTCTCACAACCACTCTCCTGTAACACACTCCCCATCTCTCCCTCTCTCACCCACTCTCCTGTAACCCACACTCCTGTAAGCATGCCCCATCTCTCCCTCTCCCACCCACTCTCCTGTAACTCACCCTCCTGTAACTCACTCTCCTGTAACCCACGCCCCATCTCTTCTCTCCCACCCACTCTCCTGTAACTCACCCTCCTGTAACCCACTCTCCTGTAAGCATGCCCCATCTCTTCCTCTTCCACCCACTCTCCTGTAACCCACTCTCCTGTAACACACTCCCCATCTCTCCCAACCAGTCTCCTGTAACACACTCCCCATCTCTCCCTCTCTCACCCACTCTCCTGTAACTCACTCTCCTGCAACCCAAACCCCATCTTTTTCTCTCCCACCCACTCTCCTGTAACCCACACCCCAGCTCTCCCTCCTCGCACCGTAGGACTCGCGCACGCCGATGACGAGCTGCGAGTCGAAGGCTTCGCCCAGGCGCTCCGAGTGCACGAGTTTCATGGCGCTGTCCTGGAGGCGCCCCTTGATGTTGGAGAAGATGGATTCATTCCACGTATCCAGCATTAGCTGTGCAGCGGAGCGTGGGGAGGGGGGAGACGGCGAGGAGATGCAACGTGCGTCGGTTACGACTAGACCCATGGCAAAACCGATCTTCACACAGCATCAGGCGAAACTGTTGTCGAAAACTTAGGTTCTAATCCTGGTCTGGGTGAATACCTCCAATGGGTTTCACAAATGCCGGGTCTGACACGCACTGTGCTAGCAATGCTAAAACCTCAAGATTGGTTCTGGATTTCAGCCGTTAGTGATTAAATAAGTTTGGTCCGTCTTGCTTGTTTTGACCAACAGCTGAGAGTAAACATATACTTACACAACTCTTTGTAAATTTACTGCTGGATGAGGTCCTCCCTAACGCTGGTCAGTGCTGTTTGGTAAAGGTGGGGGGCAGATAGTTGCGCATAGTACAGTATAATAGATTTTGCTGCACTGCCCTCTGCTGAAAACGTATCCCCGAGCAACCTATAATACCCGTGTTGTGAACGGTGATCACCCATCCAAGCACTATCCAGGATAAATCCTTCCTATCTATAAATATCGAAATAAATCGGTTACACTCCATGTGCTTAGTTCACAGGCAAAAGTAAACCATTATCATATTGTTACCACAAATCGAGAAGGCCTACGTGTTACAATGACAAATCCAACCCAATCAACACTCAAGACTCACGAACCACCACACACACATCGGCGATTCAAGAGCCGATTTTAAATTAACGAAAAACCACACCGCCACGAAACAACTCGAGCAAGCAAGAGCGTCCTCCAATCGCGATGCGGGGGCGAGGAAGGGGGGCGGGGCGAGGCAGAAGGCCCCCGCAGGGGGGTAGCGGGGGAGGGGGTTGGCGGGGGGCACGCACCTTGCGCACGAGGCTATCCTCGGTGCTCGCCTTGCGAGCCGTGCTCTGCTTGCCCAGCAGCGCCGCCTCCAGCTGGCAGAAGGGCTTGGGCAGGATGTCGCACTGCGTGAAGAACTTGCGCCACTCCCCAATGTAGGCCTTGAGCAGTGCTGAGTCATCCTGGTGGCTGAGCACACGCTGTGGGCGGAGAGCAACGAGCGTCACCCAGAATTAAAATCTTCGTTTCGTCTGGAGAAATCCGATGAGCTATGAAGCTCTTTCTCGCAGATTTCCAGTAGGCAGGGGTCAGAAAGTGACAACAACAATGCAAATAACTATGGAAGAATGTAAAGTATAGGAAAGGTAAGCAAGTCAGTAAAAGTAAATAAGTTCAAATTGCATAAGAAACTGATGCAGTCATCGACGTTCTCGCAAAAATAAAGGTGCAGCCCTGCAATTTGTTGCTAACGCCACTGCTGGCAATAAGGGCCTCCACTAGAGGCCGTTCTTAAGAGAGCTCCTGCAGCGGGTATTCGGTCTGCTCTTCCACGCTGGCCAGTACCGTCTTCGGAAAGATGGCCCACCACACACACTAAGTCGCTTGACCGGCACCTCCGCGCGTGGGTCGAGCGACGGTCAGCGACGCCGCCGAGTGGTGGAAACGCCACGGCGGTGTTAAAGCGGACAGGGGGACCCGGTTTTCCTTGCCCAGACAACGGCAGCAAGCGTGGACCTCACACTAGGTGTTGCTCATCCTGTCGCAGGTTTTTTTTTTTTTGGCGTTATCGATAATAATCGCGTGGGAAACAAAACGATTGAAAAAAAATAAAAAGTGTGAATCTTGGTTTGCCACAGGCATCTAAATCTCTGACCGTCAAATTAAATCCAGCCTTGTGTGTGCGAGTTGGTCCGCACGTCCCATGATGTCTGCCGCTGATGCCCAAAGGTGGCTGCTGTTGATGGTTCACGCTGGAGCGTGCCCTGTGCGTGAGGAACGTTCGCGCGAGCCGATCGGTGCGGCCGTTGCTAAAATGTATCTGGATTCGAAGGTCGATTCCATGACTCACGGAATTGATCATTGAATTCTGTAAACCCCAGAGGGATGCTGATGCTACTGCTGATGATATTGATGCTGAGGTATATGGTGATGTTGTTGATGCTGCTGCTGATGATGATTCTGCTACTGCTGCATATACTGATGGTGATGCTGATACGACTGTGATAACATTTCTTATGCTGATGACAATAATACCGCTGCTGCTGCTGCCGATGGTAATAATGCTCACGCTGGAGACAGCGATAACGATGATGTCAGATGTGGCATTCCTCGCGTGGGAGACCTGGGAGCCGTGCTGCCGACACTAACGCTTAGCACTTACGGCCTGAGCTTGCCGGATGAAGTCCAGTATGTCCTCCTTGAGCGCTTGGTAGACCTTGGAGGGGCCCTTGTCGTCCCACAGACATACAGCGTGCACGTCCCTGTGAGGACACAGCACGGCCACACACACGTATACAGCCACACACACAAAGTATGGGTTCACACACAAAGTACATACAGTGAGGGAAAAAAGTATTTGATCCCCTGCTGATTTTGTACGTTTGCACACTGACAAAGATATGATCAGTCTATAATTTTAATAGGTTTATTTGAACAGTGAGAGACAATAACAACAAAAAAATCCAGAAAAACGCATGTTTTAATGAGGGAAATAAGTATTTGACCCCCTCTCAATCGGAAAGATTTCTGGCTCCCAGGTGTCTTTTATACAGGTAACGAGCCGAGATTGATTTACATTTTAATGAGGGAAATAAGTATTTGACCCCCTCTCAATCAACGGGCCGAGATTAGGAGCACACTCTTAAAGGGAGTGCTCCTAATCTCAGCTTGTTACCTGTATAAAAGACACCTGTCCACAGAAGCAATCAATCAATCAATCAGATTCCAAACTCTCCACCATGGCCAAGACCAAAGAGCTCTCCAAGGATGTCAGGGACAAGATTGTAGACCTACACAAGGCTGGAATGGGCTACAAAACCATTGCCAAGCAGCTTGGTGAGAAGGTGACAACAGTTGGTGCGATTATTCGCAAATGGAAGAAACACAAAAGAACTGTCAATCTCCCTCGGCCTGGGGCTCCATGCAAGATCTCACCTCGTGGAGTTGCAATGATCATGAGAACGGTGAGGAATCAGCCCAGAACTACATAGGAGGATCTTGTCAATGATCTCAAGGCAGCTGGGATCATAGTCACCAAGAAAACAATTGGTAACACACTACGCCGTGAAGGACTGAAATCCTGCAGCGCCCGCAAGGTCCCCCCTGCTCAAGAAAACACATATACATGCCCGTCTGAAATTTGCCAATGAACATCTGAATGATTCAGAGGACAACTGGGTGAAAGTGTTGTGGTCAGATGAGACCAAAATGGAGCTCTTTGGCATCAACTCAACTCGCCGTGTTTGGAGGAGGAGGAATGCTGCCTATGACCCCAAGAACACCATCCCCACCGTCAAACATGGAGGTGGAAACATTATGCTTTGGGGGTGTTTTTCTGCTAAGGGGACAGGACAACTTCACCGCATCAAAGGGACGATGGACAGGGCCATGTACCGTCAAATCTTGGGTGAGAACCTCCTTCCCTCAGCCAGGGCATTGAAAATGGGTCGTGGATGGGTATTCCAGCATGACAATGACCCAAAACACACGGCCAAGGCAACAAAAGAGTGGCTCAAGAAGAAGCACATTAAGGTCCTGGAGTGGCCTAGCCAGTCTCCAGACCTTAATCCCATAGAAAATCTGTGGAGGGAGCTGAAGGTTCGAGTTGCCAAACGTCAGCCTCGAAACCTTAATGACTTGGAGAAGATCCGCAAAGAGGAGTGGGACAAAATCCCTCCTGAGATGTGTGCAAACCTGGTGCCCAACTACAAGAAACGTCTTACCTCTGTGATTGCCAACAAGGGTTTTGCCACCAAGTATTAAGTCATGTTTTGCAGAGGGGTCAAATACTTATTTCCCTCATTAAAATGCAAATCAATTTTTATATTTTTGACGTGCGTTTTTCTGGATTTTTTGTTGTTATCCTGTCTCTCACTGTTCAAATAAACCTACCATTAAAATTATAGACTGATCATTTCTTTGTCAGTGGGCAAACGTACAAAATCAGCAGGGGATCAAATACTTTTTTCCCTCACTGTACATGCACACAGCACAGCCACACACATATACAACCAAACATGTACACAGAGCATGGGTTCACACACATGTACATACATGCACACAGCACAGCCACACTCATACATACATACAACCAAACATGTACACACAGCATGGGTTCACACATATGTACATACATGCACACAGCACAGTCACACACATACATACAACCAAACATGTACACACAGAGCATGAGTTCACACACATGTGCATACATACACACAGAACAGCCACAGAGACAAAAATCTCCCGTATAGCCTGAACAGACTGTTGGGGCAAGGGTTGTTAGCGAGCACTTCTCAAGGCCGGAACAGCACGTGGGGGGTGGGTGATCAGCACCACGCCCGGCCGCTTTTGTTTCCCTAGTGGCAATGTTTACACACCTCACCGGGTACTCATTTGAGGCTAAGTCGACCTAGGGGAGGCCCAGGACCGGTTCAGATAATCGTCACTGGTGTTGTGAGCGGTAATCGAACTGGGGTCGCTAGGTTCGTAGCGCAGCGCGCTAACCGCTACACTACCGCTCCCCACAAACACACACATATACAAGCAAACACGCATGCACACACACACAATGAGCCTAGCAATTATTATTGTGTGCGATACAAAACAACCAACGGCGATGCCTCGACCGCCCCCGCACAGGTGTCAACCGCTGCAAAGCATCTCATGGAGGCCCAGAGCATGAGCTGCGTCTGCGGCGAAAGGCAGACGATTCCACTCTCGGCTGATGAGTTAAGCACCAATCCTGACCGTGTGCGGTGGGCCTCTGCCCCCCGCCCCCCCGCCACCGACAAATCGTCATTGATCTAAGTTGATATGATGGATGCGAAATGAACGAGTATGCATGTTGAACGTCTTTCGCCACCGTACGTAGCCAACCGTGCTAATCGGAGGTGCAGGGGAAGGATAACCAAACTAACTCAAGGGAACCCAACCTCCGGCCCTTCACCAAGGCCCCTTTCACTTATTGGTTCCCTGGCCCAGTGTTCGTGCTCACAGCGACGCCACTCACATGAAGAGGTCCTGCCACTGCTGCCGCGTCACAGCCTCCTGCCGCAGCAGCCGCAGCACGATAGGACGCATCACGTCCCATTTGTCCTCGAACTGCAAGGAGCCCTTGTCCTGCCCCACACACAAAAAAACACACCCACGAATCATATAACAGCCAATGCAACAACAGTTTTGAGTATTGGCGGTTATAAATGTCCACGTGATAAGTAACTTCGTTGAGCTACTATTTGCGGCCAGGTTGCTTCTGAAAAAGAGCTACATAGCTCAGTGGGTCTAACCTGATAAAATAAAAACAGTTTAGTTTACTTTTAGCTTGTATAAGTGCACAAAGAAGCACGCAGAGGCGCATACCGCATCTGCATTGCACTGATGCAGAAAAAAGTAACGCGTGGATTACAGAACATACACAAATGAGAGAGATGTCATATTGAATGTTAGGAAAAGTGGGCTTGGACAAAACGTGTCCTTGCAAGGTACGATGGCCAGAGATCAGAACTTAACGTCAGAGCAGCAGCCAAGGGAGGGAACGTGCACGATAAAGATGTCCACTGCATGGATGCAGTGACAAAAAATCAGCTCAGGTGTAGGTGCTATAGATTGTGGGTCGGCAACCAAATAAACAAAAATACACATTTTATCAAATTCTGTATAAAAAAAACATCAACAAATCAAAAGCTACAATGCATGCAAATAACGTTTAGAAGCAGTCCTTAAAGAGCAGCATTGAGGTCGGCACGTTGCCGACCTCAATAAGGTCTGAATTGGTCTGTAATAAGGTAGGCACTGAAAAGGGGTTGACAGGTATGCAGCTCTGTGAGATTGCAAAAGCTTGGGAATGCCTTCATCCAGTAGTAGATTGATCAGGGCTGAGGATGATTATAACTTGGCAGGAAGTGCGGGTGGCACTTTGGTTAGAGTGCTCGGATAATAGGGTCTCAAGTTAAAATCCCAGTTTGGGATTCACTCAGCCTAACATCATGTCTCTGAGATGTTATCAAATGAGTACAACTTCATTGGAAGTCTGCAGTAGTTGTCCCATGGATGCGACAGGCTCCCTTTATGGGAATGCGGAATATGACAACGCTAGCTCGGGCCACCAATTTATAAGAGGATCGCCCAACAACTGTTTGGGCATGTACATTCCTGGCATAAAATAATCAATAGATCAAATTAGGCTAATTTTATTACCATGACACTTTTACATGTGTCAATGTGTCTATATGGAGCTGTGCTTTCCACTGGTGGCACTAAGTGGTGGTAATGCCACGCTCTTGTCACGATCCAAGTGTATTTATAGGATGATCAACACTGAACTCAGTGGGATAATGATTAGTTGAGTCAACCCCACCTGAGGTGTGATCTCACAACATTAATTCAAGCATCGATCACAGTGCCACCGGGCTAGGGTTAATAAAGTCAGGAATGTACAGAACGCCTTGAGTGATAATTCTGTTGAGAATCTGACTCCACCACAAGGATGTGGAATTCCAATCAATCGGCTCTGGGCTACCATTGGGCCCCGGTTTGTGGCGAGACGTTAACTCCCTCGCCTGGTATGCAGGTTGTGGGTTCGATCCCGACCCTGACACCTGCTGTATATTTGGAGTTTGCGTGTCTCTCTCCCCGTGGTCGCGTGGATTTTTATCCGGGTTCTCCGGTTTTCCCCTCCACATTTAGAATCAACATCATGCGTTTAGAGTATTTGTCTGCTATAAATTTCCCCATAAGCCACTTCGTTGAGCTATCATTGTGGCCTGGTATCTTCCAAAAAAAAAGAGATATATAGCTCAGTGGGCCTTATCTGGCCAAATACAAATAGTTGTCGTATGAGCATAAACAGACAAATTACACCCACCACCTACAACTCAGCACTTCGAAGGCAAAGGTTTGTGTGTCAATGTGAGATTTATTTAAACTCTCAATCCCTCTCAAAACTGTTCAGCAGCCAGGGGGTGACAGCACAGCAAGTGGCTTTGTGTACCCAAGAGCGGGAGAATATTTGAGCATTATTCGATTGAACGAGTGTGCGTTTCCTCTGAGCATTCTGATTTCCTGATGCATGAAAATCGCTCATTAAAAATTAATTGGTCAAAACTTGCAATGTGTATGTGCCAGTTGCATTAAAATAAAAACCATTACGCGATTCCCTCCTCTTGTGATTCCTGCTTCAAATTACAAAAGTAAATTCCCTTGAAGCTGAGTTCCACGCACTCTGCTACTCGCGACCCACAATGCTACGAATCTCCGCATCCACCAATTTCAGTCCAAATCCAAATGATATTCTATTCTTGTGCATGGCAACATGCGTTGTGGGATGCTATCAGTATGAATGATGCTTTATAAAATTAAGGCAGTATTATAACATGTTCAGGAGCTAAACGCCAATGTCGAGGTCTGCTCGCCAGGAGAGAGTTAAGTGTCGTTTTGCTGTTCCTCCATCGAAGGAGCGCAGACTACGGTGGTTTACTGTATGGTCCATAGTTTGTGTTGCATGGCCACAGTCGCACTATGATGGCTTTTGTCTTTAATTTCCCAATTACGAAGTTGTGTGCATTGGCTAGTTGATGTTCTGATGCGTTTGATGGTCACACCGGTGTCTTCGACGAATGTCAAAGCCAGCGATGTTTGGGTCTCGATTGAGGTGTTTATTATTATTATGGACGTCCCGTGTTGCACCACTCGGTATTGCCAAAATCTAGGTGAGATTCATTGTTGAGGTCGATAGCAAGAATACGCGTGACGGCAAGTAACAGCTGGAGACGGTGCACCTGCGCGGTAACTGCCAAGCCGAGACCTCGCGTCTCTCGAACGCAGAGCGCATGACCCCCCACACCCTTCGATCATCGCGTCCATCAGCAGGCGCGTGGGGCGTGTGCCCTCACGATGTGATTGCAAAGGGAGGCCAGAAAAACAGGGGGAAAGGCGTCCGAGTGTAGTCGCAAGAGCTGCAGGTTGGACAACGCTGCCTCGAGCTGTTTAATGTAAAGGACCGCAGGAATCGACTCCCATAAAGAGAGCCTCGAGGCTCAGTGAGGCTGTCCTGCAAGTGTGATGCAGTAGGGCCACGGTGTGACTGATGAGTCCTGGTAAGAGCAAGAGGAGTGTGAACACAAGTGTGATGCAGTAGGGTCATGGTGTGACTGATGAGTCCTGATAAGAGCAAGACGAGTGTGAACACAAGTGTGATGCAGTAGGGTCACGGTGTGACTGATCAGTCCTGGTAAGAGCAAGACGAGTGTGAACACAAGTGTGATGCAGTAGGGTCACGGTGTTACTGATGAGTCCTGATGAGAGCAAGACGAGTGTGAACACAAGTGTGATGCAGTAGGGTCACGGTGTTACTGATGAGTCCTGATGAGAGCAAGACGAGTGTGAACACAAGTGTGATGCAGTAGGGTCACGGTGTGACTGATGAGTCCTGGTAAGAGCAAGACGAGTGTGAACACAAGTGTGATGCAGTAGGGTCACGGTGTCACTGATGAGTCCTGGTAAGAGCAAGACGAGTGTGAACACAAGTGTGATGCAGTAGGGTCACGGTGTTACTGATGAGTCCTGATGAGAGCAAGACGAGTGTGAACACAAGTGTGATGCAGTAGGGTCACGGTGTCACTGATGAGTCCTGGTAAGAGCAAGACGAGTGTGAACACAAGTGTGATGCAGTAGGGTCACGGTGTGACTGATGAGTCCTGATGAGAGCAAGACGAGTGTGAACACAAGTGTGATGCAGTAGGGTCACGGTGTGACTGATGAGTCCTGATGAGAGCAAGACGAGTGTGAACACAAGTGTGATGCAGTAGGGTCACGGTGTGACTGATGAGTCCTGATAAGAGCAAGACGAGTGTGAACACAAGTGTGATGCAGTAGGGTCACGGTGTGACTGATGAGTCCTGATAAGAGCAAGACGAGTGTGAACACAAGTGTGATGCAGTAGGGTCACGGTGTGACTGATGAGTACTGATGAGAGCAAGACGAGTGTGAACACAAGTGTGATGCAGTAGGGTCACGGTGTGACTGATGAGTACTGATGAGAGCAAGACGAGTGTGAACACAAGTGTGATGCAGTAGGGTCACGGTGTCACTGATGAGTCCTGATGAGAGGAAGACGAGTGTGAACACAAGTGTGATGCAGTAGGGTCACGGTGTGACTGATGAGTCCTGATGAGAGCAAGACGAGTGTGAACACAAGTGTGATGCAGTAGGGTCACGGTGTTACTGATGAGTCCTGATGACAGCAAGACGAGTGTGAACACAAGTGTGATGCAGTAGGGTCACGGTGTGACTGATGAGTCCTGGTAAGAGCAAGACGAGTGTGAACACAAGTGTGATGCAGTAGGGTCACGGTGTGACTGATGAGTCCTTATGAGAGCAAGACGAGTGTGAACACAAGTGTGATGCAGTAGGGTCACGGTGTGACTGATGAGTCCTGGTAAGAGCAAGACGAGTGTGAACACAAGTGTGATGCAGTAGGGTCACGGTGTTACTGATGAGTCCTGATGACAGCAAGACGAGTGTGAACACAAGTGTGATGCAGTAGGGTCACGGTGTGACTGATGAGTCCTGATGAGAGCAAGACGAGTGTGAACACAAGTGTGATGCAGTAGGGTCACGGTGTTACTGATGAGTCCTGATGAGAGCAAGACGAGTGTGAACACAAGTGTGATGCAGTAGGGTCACGGTGTGACTGATGAGTCCTGATGACAGCAAGACGAGTGTGAACACAAGTGTGATGCAGTAGGGTCACGGTGTGACTGATGAGTCCTGATGAGAGCAAGACGAGTGTGAACACAAGTGTGATGCAGTAGGGTCACGGTGTGACTGATGAGTCCTGATAAGAGCAAGACGAGTGTGAACACAAGTGTGATGCAGTAGGGTCACGGTGTGACTGATGAGTCCTGGTAAGAGCAAGACGAGTGTGAACACAAGTGTGATGCAGTAGGGTCACGGTGTCACTGATGAGTCCTGATGAGAGCAAGACGAGTGTGAACACAAGTGTGATGCAGTAGGGTCACGGTGTGACTGATGAGTCCTGGTAAGAGCAAGACGAGTGTGAACACAAGTGTGATGCAGTAGGGTCACGGTGTTACTGATGAGTCCTGATGAGAGCAAGACGAGTGTGAACACAAGTGTGATGCAGTAGGGTCACGGTGTGACTGATGAGTCCTGATGAGAGCAAGACGAGTGTGAACACAAGTGTGATGCAGTAGGGTCACGGTGTCACTGATGAGTCCTGGTAAGAGCAAGACGAGTGTGAACACAAGTGTGATGCAGTAGGGTCACGGTGTCACTGATGAGTCCTTATGAGAGCAAGACGAGTGTGAACACAAGTGTGATGCAGTAGGGTCACGGTGTGACTGATGAGTACTGATGAGAGCAAGACGAGTGTGAACACAAGTGTGATGCAGTAGGGTCACGGTGTCACTGATGAGTCCTGATGAGAGGAAGACGAGTGTGAACACAAGTGTGATGCAGTAGGGTCACGGTGTGACTGATGAGTCCTGATGAGAGCAAGACGAGTGTGAACACAAGTGTGATGCAGTAGGGTCATGGTGTCACTGATGAGTCCTGATGAGAGCAAGACGAGTGTGAACACAAGTGTGATGCAGTAGGGTCACGGTGTGACTGATGAGTCCTGATGAGAGCAAGACGAGTGTGAACACAAGTGTGATGCAGTAGGGTCACGGTGTGACTGATGAGTCCTGGTAAGAGCAAGACGAGTGTGAACACAAGTGTGATGCAGTAGGGTCATGGTGTCACTGATGAGTCCTGATGACAGCAAGACGAGTGTGAACACAAGTGTGATGCAGTAGGGTCATGGTGTCACTGATGAGTCCTGGTAAGAGCAAGACGAGTGTGAACACAAGTGTGATGCAGTAGGGTCACGGTGTGACTGATGAGTCCTGGTAAGAGCAAGACGAGTGTGAACACAAGTGTGATGCAGTAGGGTCACGGTGTGACTGATGAGTCCTGATGAGAGCAAGACGAGTGTGAACACAAGTGTGATGCAGTAGGGTCACGGTGTGACTGATGAGTCCTGGTAAGAGCAAGACGAGTGTGATGCAGTAGGGTCATGGTGTGACTGATGAGTCCTGATGACAGCAAGACGAGTGTGAACACAAGTGTGATGCAGTAGGGTCACGGTGTGACTGATGAGTCCTGATGAGAGCAAGACGAGTGTGAACACAAGTGTGATGCAGTAGGGTCACGGTGTTACTGATGAGTCCTGATGAGAGCAAGACGAGTGTGAACACAAGTGTGATGCAGTAGGGTCACGGTGTGACTGATGAGTCCTGATGAGAGCAAGACGAGTGTGAACACAAGTGTGATGCAGTAGGGTCACGGTGTGACTGATGAGTCCTGGTAAGAGCAAGACGAGTGTGATGCAGTAGGGTCATGGTGTGACCTATTTCAGTTGTTATTAGTATAATCGTTACTCAAAACAACTCAAGGAACGTCACGACTAAATCACGACAACAACAACAAATGAAACCTCCGCCTCCTCTTCAAAGCAGCGGGCACCGCGCGTACGCGCTCGCTCTCAAACACCAACGGCGAGCGCCGATACTCGCAATCACGCAAATGAGTTTTTTTGTTTAACTTTCAAACACCTCAGGATAATTTACAGAAACCAACACATTTCACCGTTCGACCAATGGCGGCCTAGCGCGCGGGCTCGACTAGTTTGAACGAGCAAAACCCCTCGGATTGACCGCCGCGTCCCGCCATGCGTCGCTCGGGGAATCGTTCCTAACGGGGCTCTCGGGGCAGCCCCCCCACCCCGGCTTTGTTCGCCGGGGGGGCCGCGATCCGTTCGCCGCGAGCTTCCCCCCTCCCTCGCCGTCTACCGCCGAGGCGACGACTCGTTTACCTTCAGCATATTCGGAGCCGCCATGTCTGCCGGCCGAGTCTCGCGAGAGCGCGGTGGGGGTGGTGGTAGCGGGGGGGAGGGAAGTCTCGCGAGAACTCGGGATTCACGGGGCCCACGGAGCGACTGATGAGTTCCGATGCGGGCGAGACCGATATTGACACGCGTGTGGTGTAGCAGGGCTCACGGTGTAACCAGGGGCGGAGCCAGGGGGGTGACAGGGTCGACAATTGTCACCCCCGAAAAAAATAAAAAAATCGAAAATCTGAAACATTCTGCGTATAAGTGTACGACACTCGGTCTGGCGGACTCCGTGCAACTGCATTGTCAGAGTGTGTCAGAGTGTGTCTAGTTCAACAGCCTGACTCTCTAATCATTCTTGAAATTAACATTGGTTGAATGTCACCCCGGGCTGAAAATCCTGGCTCCGCCCCTGGGTGTAACTGATGAAACCCAATAATATATAAACCAATAATAATATATAAACCAATATTAACACATGCATCATGTATCAGGGCCACAGTGTAACTGATGAGTTCTGATGGCAGCGAAACCAGCATGAACACAGGTGTGATGTTGCAGGGTCCACATTGTAACTGATGAATCGCAATGAAAGCGAAACCAATGTAGCAGAGCCACGGTGTAACTGATGAATCCCACTGATAGCGAAACCAGTATGAACACAAGTTTGATGTAGCAGGGCCACAGTGCAACTGATGATTTTAAATCAGAGTGAGACCAGTATTAACACACGTGTAATGTAGCAGGGCCACAGTGCAACTGATGAGTTCCGATGGGAGCGAAACCAGTATGAACACAAGTGTGCTGTAGCAGGGCCACAGTATAACTGATGAATCCCATTGAGAGTGACACCAATATTAACACCAGTGTAATGTATCAGAGCCACGGTGTAACTGATGATTATCAATGTTAGCGAAACCAGTACGAACACAAGAGTGATGTAGCAGAGCCACAGTGTAGCTGATGAATCCCAATGATAGCGAAATCAGTATGAACACAAGTGTAATGTAGCAGCGCCGCAGTGCAACTGATGAGTCCTGAATAAGCGAAACAGAATGAACACGAGCGTGATGTAGCTGGTCCCATAGTGTCACTGATGAATCCCAATGAAACCACGATCGCCACGGTTGACTAAAAGTGGGCAAACAGCCTTGCTCAGGATTCCCAATAGAGATGTAACGCTTCGTTATAAACTACTTACGTAATAACAGTTTCACTTATATGTTTTATTTACAATGTATAATACACATCATTCAACAAAATAGAGCAAAACAGTATAGACTCTTCTTATAGCAGGGTATTAACCTTCGAGACAAAAAAACAACCCCAATACTTTACCTGTGAATTTAATTTTTTGAATACAAAAAAATACGTAACTTTAACTTGGAAGGTACTCTATCTGGTATATAGATAAAGTTATATATCTTCTTTGGTTCTTTCGGTAAAGTCACGTAGAATGAGAATAAAATAATAAATTGATAAAATAAAATAACACAATAATATTCTCACGACGTTTCGGCCACAACACAAGCGGCCTTCATCAGGTGAAGGGGGCGAGACTGTCTGGTAGGACAGCGCTGGAGTGAGAGAGCCACGTTCAGATCACGGCTTTTAAGCTGTGTGAGAGGAACAAAGAGCCTTGACACAGGAATTAGCATAAAATTTAGCATTGAAATGGCTGAATGATTAGCTTGTGACTGGTCACAGAAATAGCTATGTTAAAAGTTAAAGCATACACATCCGCAGAGGCACCCATTGTTAAAAGGAATTAGCATAGAATTTAGCATTGAAATAGCTAAGTTAAGGCATACACATCCGCAGAGGCACCCCTTGACAATGGGATTAGCATAGAATTTAGCATTGAAATGGCTGAGTGATTCGCTTGTAACTGCTACAGAAATAGCTACGTTGAAGTCAGAGCATACACATTCACCGAGGCACTTAGTACAAATCAAACAGGAGAATTTAGCATTGAAATAACTAGGCGAATTTAGCATTGAAATAACTGGGTGATTTGCTAGTGACTGGTCACAGAAATGACTACACATCTGAGCTATTCACAGTACTATATAGTGAACCAATAAAAACTAAAATATAAATTACCTTCATGTTATCAATAAACTCTATATTCTCCAATCAGCTAAGCTACCAACCATAAGTCGTTATATATCACAATGCTATATGGCGAAAAAATGGGTGGATTCTTACCCTCAAATTTCCGTACCACGGATAGCTATGGGCCCCGTTCAGACGGACGAGTTCGTCCATGGTCGGAACAGAGGAGGGGGAGAGAGACAGCTGCGAGGCCCTAGTATGCTCCATGTTGTAAACCATACCATTAACCGTGGTGTGAGAGGTATTAAGAGGCAATGCTGGCGAAAGAGCTGCGGTCTGAAGGACATCGTAAAATTACAATTAATTAAGAACAGAAATGATTTAACACATCTTTCCAGTGGTTACTAAGCCTGAATCCATCTTCTCGGTTGAAATTGTCTCTGTGCTTGTATATGTGAATGGCCTCATGAACGAATCTCTCATGGTAGCCGGTTGGTTTGCAAAGAACCTCCGTCTTGGAGAAGTCAATGTCAGAATATAACAACAAAATTCAAGAACTACTCAACGATGGCAGCTATACAAAAATAAAAAGAGATCCCACCAACAGCCTGGTCACCAAAACGAACAAAATTATCTCTGATTCAACAGCATTAATTGATGAGATCAAACAGTTCTCGTTGAAACCCTCTGCTGCCAGACCACCAAGATTATATGGCCTTCCAAAGATACACAAAGAAGATACACCCCTTCGTCCCATTGTCTCTACTATCAGCTCCCCCACCTACAAACTGGCACGTTTTCTGGCTGATATACTGCGACCTTTCACTGGAAAAACCACCTCTGCGGTACTAAATTCTACTCACCTGGTATCGACAATCAAAGACATTTCCCTGTCCCCAAACGACCTGCTTGTCAGTTTTGATGTGGTGTCCTTGTTCACCAAAGTCCCGGTACCTGACACCATCGCGATCATTGAAGACCTGGTTCATCAAGGACTGCATACTGATGTACCCCCCCTGGTGAGACATTGCTTAACCAACACATACTTCACCTGGAATGGAACTTTCTACAAACAAACTGAGGGCACCCCAATGGGCTCCCCCCTATCTCCGGTTGTAGCCAACGTATTCATGGAAAAATTTGAAACTGACGCCATCCAGACTGCCACTCTACGCCCGACCTTATGGAAGAGGTACGTTGATGACACCTTTGTCATCTGGCCACATGGCCAGCCTGCTCTAGACCAATTCCGCGACCACATCAATTCCATACACCCAGCCATCAGATTTACCATGGAGGTCGAAAAAGATGGCAAACTACCCTTTCTGGATGTCTTAATTAAAAGGAGACATGATGGTTCAATGAGCCACTCTGTCTACAGGAAAGCTACCCATACAGATGCTTACTTGAAACCGGATTCCCACCACCATCCATCCCAGAAGAACTGCCTCATCAAGACTCTATACCATAGAGCCCAATGCATTTCCGACCAGGAACACATTACCAGTGAACTCAAGCACGTACACCAGGCTCTCAGGGCTAATGGCTACTCCGACTACACAATCCGCAAAGCCATCACTCCAGTCATGAAGAAGGATCCTCTTGTGGAGCCACTCAAAACCATCACCTTACCCTACATTGCAGGGGTCACTAAAAAGATCTCCAAAATCCTGAATAAACACAAGATCCAGGTCCGATTCAACACAGTACACAAAATCCGTGATTTAGTTCCATCTGTAAAAGATGCTCTTCCAGACATACAGTACCCAGGCGTTTACAAACTAAAGTGCCTCTGTGGTAGTAGCTACATTGGAGAAACCAAAAGACATATCTCGGACCGCATCCGCGAACATAAAGCAGACTTGAAACACGGTAAGACGAACTCCTCTGCCGTGGCAGACCACTGTTACAATTCAGTGGGCTCACATGACATTGACTTCTCCAAGACGGAGGTTCTTTGCAAACCAACCGGCTACCATGAGAGATTCGTTCATGAGGCCATTCACATATACAAGCACAGAGACAATTTCAACCGAGAAGATGGATTCAGGCTTAGTAACCACTGGAAAGATGTGTTAAATCATTTCTGTTCTTAATTAATTGTAATTTTACGATGTCCTTCAGACCGCAGCTCTTTCGCCAGCATTGCCTCTTAATACCTCTCACACCACGGTTAATGGTATGGTTTACAACATGGAGCATACTAGGGCCTCGCAGCTGTCTCTCTCCCCCTCCTCTGTTCCGACCATGGACGAACTCGTCCGTCTGAACGGGGCCCATAGCTATCCGTGGTACGGAAATTTGAGGGTAAGAATCCACCCATTTTTTCGCCATATAGCATTGTGATATATAACGACTTATGGTTGGTAGCTTAGCTGATTGGAGAATATAGAGTTCATTGATAACATGAAGGTAATTTATATTTTAGTTTTTATTGGTTCACTATATAGTACTGTGAATAGCTCAGATGTGTAGTCATTTCTGTGACCAGTCACTAGCAAATCACCCAGTTATTTCAATGCTAAATTCGCCTAGTTATTTCAATGCTAAATTCTCCTGTTTGATTTGTACTAAGTGCCTCGGTGAATGTGTATGCTCTGACTTCAACGTAGCTATTTCTGTAGCAGTTACAAGCGAATCACTCAGCCATTTCAATGCTAAATTCTATGCTAATCCCATTGTCAAGGGGTGCCTCTGCGGATGTGTATGCCTTAACTTAGCTATTTCAATGCTAAATTCTATGCTAATTCCTTTTAACAATGGGTGCCTCTGCGGATGTGTATGCTTTAACTTTTAACATAGCTATTTCTGTGACCAGTCACAAGCTAATCATTCAGCCATTTCAATGCTAAATTTTATGCTAATTCCTGTGTCAAGGCTCTTTGTTCCTCTCACACAGCTTAAAAGCCGTGATCTGAACGTGGCTCTCTCACTCCAGCGCTGTCCTACCAGACAGTCTCGCCCCCTTCACCTGATGAAGGCCGCTTGTGTTGTGGCCGAAACGTCGTGAGAATATTATTGTGTTATTTTATTTTATCAATTTATTATTTTATTCTCATTCTACGTGACTTTACCGAAAGAACCAAAGAAGATGAATCATTGCAGTCACGAAAGCTTTAAATCGAAATTTAAAGTTATATAGTTTGGATTATCCATAATACAGGTTTTTTTGGGGGTAAGGTCGCGTAAATATAAATGTGTTCTTAAACCCGCCACCATCCGACACAGACAATTAATTAGTAAGGGTTGTCACGTAAACAGAACATGCCAATTCGTTACTAGCACAGCACACCGGTGTGTCGGAGAGCAAATCCACAACATTTACACAGTTTGGATTATGCAGATCGCGAGATGAACATCGCTCAGCTGTAATCGCCAGTCTCGTGGGAACAGGTGCAGTGTCAATTCACCGTTCAATATCGCTCGGCCTCCACCACGGTCTCCACCACAGTCTCGACATGTCACGTCTGTCCAGCGCTGACGGAACCCTCGCATCGTGCCGTCGCTCAAATTCAGTTTGACCCAAGCCCACAACCGTTCACAGACGAGGAAGAAAAAATCATGCGTACGCATGGATTACACGTGACGCTTTCTAATAATGTGACTTTGTGACTTTAGCGAAATAACCAATGAGTAATGTGTGTGCGTACCATTTGGTTATTTCGGTAAAGTCACGTAGGTATAAAATAAAATAAATCACGACGTTTCGGGCGCAATACCGAAAAAACTAAAGAGTATGGATTCCTGCAGTCACGAAAGCTTCAAATGTGTGTGCGTGTTTACGTGAGTATGTGTGTGTAGCGGTTAGACCGTTAGAGCTACGCTGCGCTACGAACCTGGCGACCCGGGTTCGATTCCCGCTCACGGTCAACACCAGTGACGATTATCTGAACCGGTCCTGGGTCTCCCCTAGGTCGACTCAGCCTCAAATGAGTACCTGGTGCGATGTGTAAACATCGCCACTAGAGAGACAAAGGCGGCCGGGCGTGCTGTTGGCCACCCACCCCCTCGTGTGCCATTCCAGCCTTTATAGATGCTTGCTAACAAAACTTGCCCCTACAGTATGTTAAGGCTACACGGGGGATATTTGTCTTTGTGTGTGTCTGGGTGTTTACGTGTGTGTACCTGTGTGTGTGCGTGTTCTTGAAAATGCCTAATTAGCGACAGGGGTAGAAATGGGCCGGAGCGAGCCGGAACGCGCCACGTGTTGGTGGTGGTGGTAGCAAGTTGGCACAGTCGGGGGTGCAGCTGGCGCATCTACCGGTCATCTCAGTCATCCAACCCATGGCACTTGCTGGGTCTGTCATCTAGCGGTCATCTCAGTCAGCCAACCCATGGCACTTGCTGGGTCTGTCATCTACCGGTCTTCTCAGTCAGCCAACCCATGGCACTTGCTGGGTCTGTCATCTAGCGATCTTCTCAGTCAGCCAACCCATGGCACTTGCTGGGTCTGTCATCTACCGGTCATCTCAGTCAGCCAACCCATGGCACTTGCTGGGTCTGTCATCTACCGGTCATCTCAGTCAGCCAACCCATGGCACTTGCTGGGTCTGTCATCTACCGGTCATCTCAGTCATCCAACCCATGGCACTTGCTGGGTCTGTCATCTACCGGTCTTCTCAGTCAGCCAACCCATGGCACTTGCTGGGTCTGTCATCTAGCGGGCATCTCAGTCAGTCAACCCATGGCACTTGCTGGGTCTGTCATCTACCGGTCTTCTCAGTCAGCCAACCCATGGCACTTGCTGGGTCTGTTATCTAGCGGTCATCTCAGTCATCCAACCCATGGCACTTGCTGGGTCTGTCATCTACCGGTCATCTCAGTCATCCAACCCATGGCACTTGCTGGGTCTGTCATCTACCGGTCATCTCAGTCAGCCAACCCATGGCACTTGCTGGGTCTGTCATCTAGCGGGCATCTCAGTCATCCAACCCATGGCACTTGCTGGGTCTGTCATCTACCGGTCTTCTCAGTCAGCCAACCCATGGCACTTGCTGGGTCTGTTATCTAGCGGTCATCTCAGTCAGCCAACCCATGGCACTTGCTGGGTCGTTCCCGAGGCCTCCTGTCAGCGAGCCTTCTACGCTTCACGTGGTTGCCGCAAAGTGCACTTAGCCTGGCACAGGCGCCGTGGTGACGTCACCGTCACTTTGTGGCGAATGTCGGTTGTGTTGGTATTGGTGGGAAGGGACAGGTCCACAGCTAATTTTACCCGAACCAAACTGCATTCCCTCCTCACCTCACATACCCAACACTCCGTATGACGGAGGGTTCTCAAAGTGTGCGTGTTCTTAGGTGACATTATACCACCAGATGCAGTTTACGGTGATACCATGCACACCACCGGATGCAGTTGAATATCACGTCCAGGGCAAAAGCTCATTGAGTGACGGGGAAACGATCACATTTTCACCAAATATCTGACAAAAAGGACATTCCCCAGCACGTAAATCTGGCCCTCTAACTCTTAACACGAAACAATGTTAATTAATATAGTGTCTAAATGCGACCACACCTCAATGCGCGTACAGACGCCGCGTGTTCATTTGATGGGGGGAGGCAGGCAGTCAAGGGCCGAGGAAATAAAAGGGAATGTCTTGAGCTTGGCCTTGAACAATAACAAGGCGGAGACAGCACGGGCGGCTGCGGGACGAGAGTTTCCAGAATGGACGCCATATGATTTAATGAAACGTAAGCCATGAACAGGGTCCACAAGACGGCTTTTTATATTTGAGCGTGAGGTTGGCGAAGCACAAGGATAATTGCGTCTTGTGCTTGGTTCGTTGTTCTTTCCGCCGCAGTACCTCCGATTAGCGCGGTTGGCTACGTACGGCGCGAAAGACGTTCAACATACACACACAATCCAGCAGAATTCACAGCGATAGAAGTTGCGTACGCGGTACCAGGCAGAGTTAATGTCAATGGAACCCACTACTCCAGAGTGATATTGAGCAGAGGCGCTGAGCAGCAGTGGCACTGCGGCCAGGGTTAGGGTGTGCCCCAATGCTGGCACTCGTGTCCCAGATGCGCCACCGAGAGACGACACTCAAAACTGTCGGCTGGACTCATCTGACGCGAGGACCCATTCCCCAAACACGTGAACTCGACCCTCTCGCTTCCACGTTGGGAACTCGACCAAGGTTTATTTTGTTTTGCGAAGGCCAGGGCGGCGTAGCTCTGGAGCGTGCGGGCAGTGCAACTGCGCTGAGGCTCGCCTTTGGGGCAGGCCCACGCGCCGGTGGGGCAGGCCCACGCGCCGGTGGGGCAGGCCCACGCGCCGGTGGGGCAGGCCCACGCCCCGGTGGGACAGGCCCACGCGCCGGTGGGGCAGGCCCACGCGCCGGTGGGGCAGGCCCACGCGCGGTGGGGCAGGCCCACGCGCGGTGGGGCAGGCCCACGCGCGGTGGGGCAGGCCCACGCGCCGGGCTGCGGCAGGGCGAGGGTGGCGGCGGGATACACGTTGGACGGCGAGATGTTAACTACCTCGCCAGGTATACAGGAATTCGCGGGTTCGATCCCGACCCTGACGCCTGTGGTATATTTGGAGTTTTCGTGTCTCTCTCTCTGCTCGTGGTCGCGTGCATTTTTCACCGGGTCCTCCGGTTTTTCCCTGCACATTTCAAATAAACGTCACGCGTTTAGAGTATTTCCCTGTTATACATTTCCACGCGATGATGATGATAAGCCACTTCGTTGAGCTATCATTTTTGCTAGCCAGGTCGCTTCTGAAAAAGAGCTACATAGCTAAGTGGTGCCTTACTTGGTAACATAAAAATAAAGTTAATAGTTTATTCCACTGGCGCGGGCTGCGTTTTCGGTGGCCGCCACGTGCCCAAGGCCCCCACCCCCACCGGCACTGCCATCAGCAGCTGCAGCCGAGTCCCGCCCGGCGGGACGAGCGCCCGGGGGTTGATCCGGCACGATCGGGCCGCTCGGTGATCCTGACGCCGGGCGGCAGCTTGGCTGGGAGGGACGACGGAGAGGAGGAGGCCTCGAGGGCGACGGTGCGGGCGTGAATCGCCGTCACGAGCTCCACGAAGGCCTCCTCCACGCCCACGCCCCGCCGGGCCGTCGCCTCCACGTAGGCCATGCCGTGGGCGCTCGCGAAGCGCTCGCCCTCCACGCGGGACACGGCACGCTGGCGGGCGAGAAACACGCAAAAAGATAAATAACATTCGTTCGTTCGTTCGTTTCTCATTCCGCTTGTCCTGGTGAGGGTCGCGGCGGCAGCGTGTTGAGTAGTGGCGGTCCACACCTCCCTTTCCCTGGCGACGGACTCTAGCACCACTACACTATACACTACACTATATACTACTATACGCTACTATACACTACAGCAGCGTGTTGAGTAGTGGCGGTCCACACCTCCCTTTCCCTGGCGACGGACTCTAGCACCACTACACTATACACTACACTATATACTACTATACGCTACTATACACTACAGCAGCGTGTTGAGTAGTGGCGGTCCACACCTCCCATTCCCATTTCCTGGCAACGGACTCCAGCACTACTACACTACTATACACTACTACACTAAACTCTACTATGCACTACACTATACACTACACTATTATACACTACACTATACACTACACTATTATACACTACTACACTATACACTACACTATTATACACTACTACACTATACACTACTACACTACACTATACACTACTACACTTTACACTACTATACACTACACTATACACTACACTATACACTACTATACACTACTATACACTACACTATACACTACACTATTATACACTACTACACTATACACTACTACACTATACACAGACTCTAGCTCTTCCTGGGCAATCCCCACGCGTTCCCAGGCCAGCCGAGCGACGTCGTCCCGCCAGCAGCAGCAGCACCGTGTCCTGGGCCGGCCCCGGGGTCTTCGCCCAGTGGGACGTTGCTGCTGCTGCTGGTGCCCGGTAGAGTTCCAGGGGGAGTCTACCGGGGGGCATCCTTACCGGGTGCCCGAACCACCTCGACTGGCTCCTCTCGATCCGGAGGAGCAGCGGCTCGACTCTGAGGCTCTCCCGGGTTACCGAGCTCCTCACCCGGTCACGGAGAGTGGTGAGCCCGGCAACCCTGCAGAGAAACCTCACATTATAATGATAATAAATACATAACTTTGTTTGCGTCGCATCTCTCGACTCCTGATTATAATCCGGTTGTCAAAATAATTCAAAGCGATTTCCAGTACGAATCAGCGCGCGAGTGCGAGTGTGTGCACCAGTGCGACTGGTACCCACGCGTCTCTGGTCAGCATTACTCTATGGGCCCTCCGAGTTGTTTAGGGGTCATCATTGACCCCGTGCCCTTCTAAAAGCAAATATCGGTGAATATCGTGCTGAGGTGGTCCTCATCTCTCGTTGACAGCCCTCAACCAGTGGTGGAAATTTCACGTTCCTGTGGCAGCGGTCAGCTGTCTGAGACGCCCCGACTGGACATCTGTGAAAAAGATCTTCATAGCTCATCGGATTTCTCCATGGTAAAAAAATATTCTGATTCTGTGCTTATCCATAGGACAATGACTGTTGATTTCTCCACAAGCTGGTTCTTATTTTATCGGCCCCGAAAGGATGCTGGGCTGAGTTGACCCCCAACGAGGATTTAAACTCGCGACCATCCAATTGATTGTGCGTCGCTCGCCCTGGCGCTCAGCCTCCGGGCCGGTTTTGTTACAGAGAGCGTGGAGAGGGAGAACATCGATGCGGGTTTCTTCCCTTACAGAGAGGAGGAGGAGGAAGCGGTAGGGTGGCGAGGGGGAGGCCCTCGAGGGAGGTGGTTGAGAGCGGTGCACCACGAAGTTCAGGACTGTGGAGTGAACGCGTGGCTCCGCGAGAGGAACGGGTGCGGAAAATGCCAGGAAGAGGAATAAGATCAGAATCAATCAGAATCAGAATATTTATTCATACTGGACGAGTCCGATGAGCTATAAAGCTCTGTTTCACAGAAGTCAAGTCAAAGATATTCCAGTTATCAAAATACTTTTTTTTCCCAAAAAGTTTCATAATTCCAGTATTTAAATGGATAATGAAAAGCAGCATAACCTACTACCGGTGTGCCTAGAGAGGACAGTGTCCCGTCAGTGTGGGTTACTCCCTTTGGCACATCGAGCTCAAATATGGGCACTGACAAGGAACATTGAACGCAATGTGAAAAGTGTGCAAAGAAGCGTGGAGAAGAGCATGCTGGGAAGGACAGTGAAAGAGACGGCTGGCAGTTGACGCCAGACTGTCCGACGGAAGGAAGCGATGGCGAGCTGTGACAACGTCAGTGGCATAGAACAGTGGTTCTCAACCGGGGGTACGCAGACTCCTGGGGGTACCACGTGGCAATGCCCCAGGGAGGGGGGGGGTACGTGAGGTATTTTATAAATGTGTGACATTATATCGTTGAGAGTCATTAGTGAATAGTCACGTGTCAATCAACCAATATAAAATAACTACGATAACATTTTAGTCGATATGGTAACCTAGACCGATATAAAACGACCTTTATAAACCCGTTGATCGTAAACAATGCGGGTTTCCAAGAGTAACCAGCGAGCGCGAACTCATCACGTGACGCGCGCAGAGCGACCGGTGATTTTTATTTTATTCGCTTGCAGTTAGTTAGGGACACCTCACACAATGGACAATGGGTAAAATATTGATGTTCATTATTCATAAATGTAGTTCTCAGAACCATGTTGGGTCAGGCAAGTGGATAGTCGGTTGAAACTAAATTCAACAAGGGGTACAGCAGCCAATATCGGTTGTGAACCACTGGCATCGACTATGATGACCTCTTGACACTGATATTGACTATTGTGGTGCCGTGAGTGTGGTGGTGGTGGTGCCGTGAGTGTGGTGGTGGTAGGGTGAGAGTGGGAGTAGCGGGGTGAGCGAGGTGACGGTGGTGGTAGTGGTTGGGTGAGTGTGGTGATGGTTGGATGAGATTGGAGGAAGTGGGATGAGGGTGGTGATAGTAAGGGTGGCAGTCGAGTGTGGATACTGGTTGTGGGATGAAGGTGGTGGTGATGAGTGTGGTGGTGGTGGTGGTGTGCTCGCTACAGCACTTGCCCCAACAGTATGTTAAAGGCTATACGGGGGCTCTTTGTATTTGGTGTGTGAGTGGGAGCAGTGGGATGAGGGGTGGTGATAGTAATAGTGGCGGTGGAGTGAGAAAACTGGTTGTGCAATGAAGGTGGTGGTGGTGACATTAGCGTGCTGCTGTGGTAAGCAAGGCGGCGGTGGCACGCCCGCCCCGTACACCCCCCCCCCTCACCTGGCCCTGCAGGTCACACTTGTGGCCCACCAGCACGAAGGCCATGCCGCTGGGTGGCCCGTGGATGCGGGCCTCGGCCAGCCAGTCGGCGATGTGCAAGTAGGACGGGCGCCGGCTGACGTCGTAGACGAGGAGGGCGCCGGCCGCTCCCTGGTAGTAGGAGCGGGTGATGGACCTGCGGCACACAACGGGACCCGTCATCGCCACGGAAGCGACGGCGGTGACGGTCGTGGTGGGGAGCGGTGGTGCAGCGGTTAGCGCGACGCTGCGCCATGAACCCGGCGGCCCGAATTCGATTCCCGCTCACGGTCACCAACACCGCCGACGATGATCTCAATCGGTCCCGAGCCTCGTCTAGGTCGACTCAGCCTCAAACGAGTACATGGTGCGGTGTGTGTAAACATCGCCACTAGGGAGACAAAGGCGGCCGGGCGTGGTGCTGGCCAACCAGCACTTTGTGTGCCCTTCCGGCCTTCATAGGTGCTCGCTGACAGCACTTGCCCCAACAGTCTGTTAAGGATATACGGGGGATCTTTGTCTTTGGTGACACCACTGGACATAGATGTGCGTGTACATTTAAGGTCGCGACCTGCCCGGGTTTCACCCAGGAATTGGCCGTCTGTGAAAAAGAGCTTCATAGCTTATCGGATTCCTCCATTATAAATGCATATTCTGATTCTGAAAATAAATAACACACGCAAAGACAGAATAGTCACCAGTTATGGTGACTAAGATTGCGTTTCGAGATTTTACGCTCTTCCTTCTGATATTCGGAAGCCCCTGTGAGCTATGCACTTTTAAATCTGGATTGAAAACTAATTTCTTTCGAACTGCTTTTTTCGTTTCGCTTGTCCTTCCTACCACAACACCTCTGATTGGCACGGATCACTACGTACGGTGCGAAAGAAGTTAAACATACATACACTATACACTACTATTCACTACACTATCCGATATACTACATTATACACTATACACTACATTACTACACACTCACTACATCAATACATTTTACATTTGTTTCTTGAGAACAGCTTTTTGTGTTTAGTTTGTTGTCCTTCCCCCGCACCTCCCATTGGCTACGTACGGAGCGAGATAAGTTCTACATACATACATACACTCCAGCAGAATTCGCAGCGAAAGAAGTTGTGTACGCTGTAACAGGCAGAGTTAATGGCTATGGTGTTGCCGGCACTCTGTCCCAGATGCGCTTAGACGACACTCTCGGCTCGACTCATCTGACACGAGGACCCATTCGTAGATCGAGGCCTGGTGTGGGTTTGGGGGTGTGCGGGGAAGTTGAGGAGTGACGGTGCGTTGGCGATGTTGTCAACACTGAGGATCGTGGGCCGCGTTCGGGGTCGCTGTGGCGTTGTGCGTCATCGCGTAACGCTGCCCACACCGCGACTGCGGTCTTTTCTTTCAATTGTTCGATAAAACGCTGCAGCGAATCAATCAGTGCGTTCAAACTGTAATCACGTTCTCAAATTCGTCGGCGACGTTACAGTGAAACGACGTAAATAGGAGCCACGTCAAGGGAGGACTTGCTTTTAGCTCACACGGATCACTCACCGCGGAGACCTTTGAAAACCATCTCATTTGAAAGGGGGCAATTTACATGTAGTAATTCGCTTTCCTCGATCGTGTATAAAATATAGCATTGCGTGATCGCAGCTTGTAGAGGTCGTCATCCAGCAGTGGACTGGCCAAGGCCGATGGTGATGATGGTGGAGGTGATTTAACAATTGGCAGTAATTTCGTTTTTTTTTCTACCATGTGTCGTGGTGACACGTTAAAGACCTGGGGAAAAATCCTAATCCTGATTGATGTGTTACTTTTAAGCAGGGGTTTATAGGGAAATTGTGTCGATGTCACTGCAATCGCTATTAAATTGGGGGAAACAAATATATCGATCAAATGAGATCCAGGGAGACCTGGGTTATCAAAGCGAGAGAGGCAAACTTGTATTCAGTGATCTATAACAAGAGCGCACCGGGTTTACATAGTGACCAACACAAAACACTAGGAGACAAAAACACCTATCCCTAATTTTTTTTTAAATAACGTAAAGCTTACAAATGTAATCGCGGTTACTGAGCACAGGCCCTGAGGCCCAACACGCCCAGCAGCCAGCAAGCAAACAGTGGCTGTTGAATGCTTAATGGATGAGGGTGAATTCGTTTATGGAGTTGAGCAAGGTCACTGTTCTCAGAGCTTGGTGGGGGGAAAGGAGACGACGATGGGAGGAGGAAATTCCAAGGTGGACCAGTGCACGGGATGAAGTAGAAAGAGAGAGAGGTGATGCGGCCTGCAGTGTGGTGAGTGGCTGAGTAGGTGGGTGAGTGAGTGGGTAGGTGAGTTAGTGAGGGAGTGCATGGGTAGGTGAGTGGCTGAGTGGCTGAGTGTATTTTTGTGACCTGTAGTGAGGTGAGTGGGCCTCCCCTCGGTCGACTCAGCCTCAAATGAGTACCTGATGTGGTGTGTAAACATCGCCACTGGGAAGACAAAGGCGGCCGGGCGTGGTGTTGGCCATCCAACACCTCGTGTGTCGTGCTGGCCTTCATATGTGCTCGCTAACAGCATTTGCCCCAACAGTCTGTTAAGACATTAAAGTGGGATTTTTGCGTTGTCTTTTTGTGACAGTGGGTACGTGCGTGGGTGAGCAAGTGGTTTGGTGAGTGGGTGAGAGGTTGAGTCAGTGTATATGTGGGTGAGTGTGTGTGAGTGAGTAGTAAGGTGAGTGACTAAGTGAGTGAGCGAGTGGCTGAGTACTGGGTGAGTAGGTGAGTGTGTTGGTACGTGGGTGTATGAGCTCACTCGTGTGCAAGGAAGCAAGGAGAGACGGCACGTTTGGGATTTCATCAAGAGGATGAAAGAGGACCACACGCGCAAGTTAAAGAGGTGGCTTTGACTATTCATGAAAGTTGTCTCGGGCAGGACGAACGTCTAGAAGGGCCTATGGCCGACGGGCAAAGGACAATTCAGCGGAGGCCAAAGGAGGAAAGCGCCACGATTGGACGTTCACCGCGGAGATGGAGCGACGAGGTCGCTCGCGTGCCGGTGCCGGGTGGATCGTCGCATCGCGAGACCACGAGCGGACCGATCACTGCGCGCACCTGAAGCGCTCCTGGCCGGCCGTGTCCCACAGCTGCACCTTCACCCTGCGCCCCGCGTCCGGCCCCAGCGCCAGCGTGCGGATGAAGAAGTCGACGCCGACCGTGGGATCGCTCTCCTCGCCGTACGTGCCTTCCACGAAGCGGCGCAGCAGCGCGGTCTTGCCCACCGTGGCGTCGCCCAGCACGATCACGCTGTACTGGTAGCGCACGCCGCACGGCTCCATCGCGGCCGGCGCCGCCACCGCGTTGCGGCCGGCCGCGTCAACGCCAACGGATGCGTCGCACGCTCGCTTGCTCGACCGCGGCCACCCCAGCGGTCGCTTCGCTTGAAGGGCAGGATAGGGAGGAATTCACCAAAGACCTTCACACCCCCCCCCCCCCGCCCCGCTGGCTTGCTCGCTCTCGGAAGTTCTATCCCACGAGCCGCACAGATGTTGTCTCTTGTGGTTTTTCGCTCGTCTTGTGATGTTTCCGAGGTGACACTCAGCCGCGGCCACGTCGCTCCGCGCGCTGACAGGAGGATGGATTCGCCCCAACGCCACCGCTCTCTCTCGCGCTCTCTCGATTGTCTCGTCGTTCTCGCTGGTTTGGTGCGATTCCGGAGAGCACACTCGCAGAGAGACGGCACTCTGCCCGTGTGCACTTGAGGAGTGCGGTCCGTCTGTCTGTGTCGTTTTGTGTTTTTTTAAAGCTGGTTTTACGACTGGTTCTGCAAAAGGACTCATTTTCACCCCCCTCACCCCTCCCCGTGCCATTCAAACTTCCTCTTTTGGGGTGAGGACGGGAATAACAAAAAACGATGGCATCTCATTCGATCGGAGTGCAACCCGTGTCACGACATGCAGCATCAACCCCCCACCCCGAGCTCTCAAACCTCAAATACGTCGGTACAAAAACATAATTTTTTACTTATTCGAACGTTTCATCAATCAAATTGATGAGCAAAACCCAGGCACGCGCATGCAATACGTAGATTGCGTGTGGCGTTTTATCTCCCAGCTGTTCTTAGTCACCCAATAGTTTGACAGGAAGTGCCTTGTACTTCTGCATTTTTCACTGAGCTGTGACCACAATCATCGTAGAAAGCAAACACGACAAACGGTAGACTTCTATTTCCGTGCCGATGACCCCCGCTTAAGAGGACCCAGAACATGCTCTGGGATTTTCTCAGCAGCCTGTATCTGGGCATGAGTCACTGGCGAGCCATCACGAGTCAAGGCCAGGATTATTTCAGCCAATGCCATAAATGCTACCTACCTCGCGCACCTCCCGCCTCCTTCTGTGAGATGCAGCAGATTCGATACCGTCCGCTGACCACCACCACCACGGGCTTTAGTTCACACAGTTGACACGTGTAGAGAACACGTGTAAAGAACACGTGTAAAGAACACGTGTTCTTGCAGTTTTCACGTCTCTGCAGATTTTTGGTGGCGGAATGTTCACCAGAACAGGGAGCCAAGGGATCGGTGTCGGTCTCAGTGTTACGATGCGCATGGCGTTATTTGACTGTGGATCCGGTCTCAGTGTTGCGATGCGCATGGCGTTATTTGACTGTGGATCCAGTCTCAGTGTTACGATGCGCATGGCGTTATTTGACTGTGGATCCGGTCTCAGTGTTACGATGCGCATGGCGTTATTTGACTGTGGATCCGGTCTCAGTGTTACGATGCGCATGGCGTTATTTGACTGTGGATCCAGTCTCAGTGTTACGATGCGCATGGCGTTATTTGACTGTGGATCCGGCCTCAGTGTTACGATGCGCATGGCGTTATTTGACTGTGGATCCGGTATCAGTGTTACGATGCGCATGGCGTTATTTGACTGTGGATCCGGCCTCAGTGTTACGATGCGCATGGCGTTATTTGACTGTGGATCCGGTCTCAGTGTTACGATACGCATGGCGTTATTTGACTGTGGATCCGGCAGTTTTGTGTGCGAGCTCCCGGACCAGGCTGGAGTGCGCTAACTCTGCCACTGAGTGGCACGGTGAGAGGGCGGCAGCAGTTCGCAGCACAGCAGCAGCTGAGGCGCCCCAGCTCGTTGCTGCGGGCTTCTGTAGCAAGGCGACTCTTAATTTGGTCTTTTCACATATCTACTTGATGTGAGGCTTTAAGGTCAGGATTCTGTCCATGATAACCCCTGGGCTACCACAGAAGTTTACATCAAGGGTGGTATCTGCTACATGATTGTTCAGGTGGAAAGCACTTGTGGTGGTGGTGTTGGAAGGATTTGGTCGGGGTGTCAATTAACAGATATACTCATCCAACAAAGTCAGATCAGCTGTTAGAGTATAGGCAATATTCTCGAGCTTTGCGCAGCAAGAGCTGTGTCATATGCATATCTGAACTGGCAGAATGATGTATATGGCAAGTCACTTTTATATATCGTATATTAAAGTGTGACGGTGCAAGTGCCGAGCCTTGAGAGGGGTAATTGTTCATAATTGCCCTGTGGCTGTGTGTTACCTGCGAGGTGCACCCTAAAAGCATCGCGTCCATTCGTTGAAGAGTAACACGGCACCGGATGATTTTGGCCATCGCCAGCAGCAGGCCACGATGCAAACCAGTCTCATAGGCAGCAGCAGCAGAGAGGTCGATCGTTGCTGTGCCGGTCTTCTGTTGACGCTGGAAGCCCGTGGAGTTAACGATCTGTTGGCAGCAGCAGCAACGGTCGGTTCGGAACCCCCCGACTCGTTCTGGAGGCAGCTGCGGGTCGATAACGAGGGGAGTGCGGTGAGCACGGCACGTTCCATTAACCTGGAGGACAAGAGGGATATTGGTCTGCAGTTGGAGGGCGAGTCTTGTGGCATTCTAAGTTTCAGAATGGTGATGACTTTGGCTTCCATTCTCTCCGGGATGTTGCCCGTCCTATATAGGACATGTGAAGATGTTTGCAAGTCATCGCTGTCAATTTAATCCCAGGTTCTTAAAGGACCTCAGCACACAGGGCATCATATCCCGGTGCCTTGTTGGACTTCGTGGACCCTGATAGCCATTTACATTTCAGGAACAGTGTATGGTATGTATGCATGTTGGACTTCTTTCGCACTGTACGTAGCCAACCGTGCTAATCAGAGGTGTGGGGGAAGGACAATAAACTACGCACAAAAAGCTATTCTAAAGAAATGAGTTACAGATCTAGATTTAAAAGTGCACAGCTCCAGTGGCCTCCTAATCTTACGATTCAACGCATACAAATATTATATCGACTAACTGATGATTCGTTACATGCCGAGTTAAAACGCAACGAGGGGCGATCTCACCAATGGGTCCCTGCGTGAGACGTGTGGCGTGAGCCGAAGTGACCCACTCTGTGCGTCTGCTCGTGCGACAGATGCGTCGAACAACCCGGTGATAATGAACGAAAGGTGATGGTGATTTTCTTCCGGTTAATTTGTTTCGTGAGCTTGTCCATTGGTGCGTATGAGAAAACCAGCGCGTGGGAAGTCACAGCGTCCGCTGTGGTTGCGAGCTTTCGGTAGCGAGATGTCAACTACTTAGCCTGGTATACAGGAGGTTGTGGGTTCGATTCCGACCCTGACACCTGAATATTTGGAGTTTGCATGTTCTCCCCGTGCTCGCGTGTATTGTTCTCCAGGTCCTCCGGGTTTTCCCTCCACATTTATAATCATGCGTTGAGAGTATTTGACTGATATACATTGACACACGGTACGTCACATCGTTGAGCTATCATTTGTGGCCAGATCGCTTCTGAAAAAGAACTATATAGCTCAGTGGGCTTGGTAAAATAATTTGTTTAGTCAAGTTTTACGGCTGGGGTGAGTGAAGTCCAAATCAGCAGTGCGGTGCCCTCATCTTGTTCACCAGTTCTGATTAACTATTTCAATAATTGTTCTGTTCTGGTGGCCAACATTGCGTTTAGGTTTTTGATACCCTTTTGGGATGTTGGGGTTTTTTTGGTCCGAAATTTATGAAATTATTGCAGTTTTTAGGCTCTGGCTCCAGGTTTTTCAATCGAGCTTCGTTTTCCTTTCCATAGCCCGGCCATTTGGCCTTCCAAAAATCCCAACGTGACCGGCTCTTTGGTAAATTTCCTATAATTGCTCATATGGCAATTGCTCACGTAACAATTAGTGGCAGCTCACCATTCTTGTCCTTTGAGATGAAGCCATAAGTCTGGGTTAGAGCCCTTTTTCCATCGGGCTGAGTGAAATGTGCCCAGCTGTTTAGGGTTGTATACAAGGAACGTGTCACGTTCCGACGACCATTCCTCGAGTCTCCGGCTTTGTCATTGTTCGAGTGGCCCCATTGCGTGTGGTGATTGTCGACGTCACCCCCACATCACCACCTCTGCCGGTGATGGCTTATTACACACATACACGAATGATCATCACGTTACCAACTGTGACGGTTATTGGCGAAGTGCTCGTCACTTGTGGTGGTGGACGTGAGGCCTGAAGGTGGCGAGGTCAAGTGGAGGGTGGTAGGTGTCCTCAACGTGCGTTTCCTGTGAGGTGCTGCTCGGACGAGAGGCCTTTTGGGTGAACATTCAAGGAACTCTCGAGACCTCATTGCCACTTGCTCGTAAAATCCCTAAGGGCGCAATGCCCATTGCGGCTTCTCGGGTGGTAACGGCACTGCTGCTAATACAAAGATTCCCCGTATCGCCTCAACAGACTGCAGGGGCAAAGTGCTGTTAGCGAGCATCTATGAAGGCCGGCACGGCCCACGAGGGGGTTGATGGCCAGCTCCACGCCCGGCCGCCTTTGTCTCCCTCAATTGAGGCTGAGTCAATCTAGTGGAGGAACGGTTCAGATAATCGTCACTGGTGTTGGCCGTGAGCGGGAATCGAACCCGCGTGTGCTGTGCCACGTTCGTATGTTTACGTGTGGGGAGCGGTAGCGTAGCGGTTAGCGCGCTGTGCTATGAACCTGGCTACCCGACGATTATCTGAACCGGTCCTGGGCTCCCCTAGGTCGACTCAGCCTCAAATGAGTACCTGGTGCGGTGTGTAAACATCGTCACTGGGGAGACAAAGGCGGTCGGGCGTGGTGCTGGCCACCCACCCCCTCGTGTGCCGTGCCAGCCTTCATAGGTGCTTGCTAATAGCACTTGGCCCAACAGTCTGTTGAGGCTATATGGGGCATCTTTGTTGTGTCTGTGTTGTTGTGAGTGATGTTGTGTGTGTTGTTAGTGTGTGTGTGTTGTTGGGGGCACAGGTGGTGCATCAGCCAGTCATCTCAGTCAGTCGACCCGTGGCACCTGGGTCTGCCCCGTGACCTCCTGCCAGCGGGCGTTCGACACTTCCCGTGGCCTCAACGTGCACATAGCCTGGCACAGGCGTCGTGGGGACGTCACCGCCACTTAGTGGCGAATGGCGGTTGTTGTTGTGTGTATGTGTGTTAGTGTCAGTGGAGCACTTATGATAGGTGCTGCTCGCTAACAGCACTTGCCCCAACAGTCTGTTACAGGCTACACGGGGGATCTTTGTCTTTGTATGTGTGTGTGTTAGTGTCAGTGGATCACCTTATGATAGGTGCTGCTCACTAACAGCACTTGCCCCAACAGTCTGTTACAGGCTACACGGGGGATCTTTGTCTTTGTATGTGTGTGTTAGTGTCAGTGGAGCACCTTATGATAGGTGCTGCTCGCTAACAGCACTTGCCCCAACAGTCTGTTACAGGCTACACGGGGAAACTTTGTCTTTGTGTGTGTGTGTTAGTGTCAGTGGAGCACTTATGATAGGTGCTGCTCGCTAACAGCACTTGCCCCAACAGTCTGTTACAGGCTACACGGGGGATCTTTGTCTTTGTGGCAGGGGAGGTGATTTCGCAATCTCCGTCACCCCTCCCCGCGTCGCTGGGAGTGGGGGGGTCTCGTTTGTCAAGATGTCGCAAAGCGCTCCTTTTCACGACACTGACGACTTGGCACCCAATTGCGCGTCATAGCCCTCTGGTTCATCCTCTTGGTTCTTTGGGCAAAGTCACGGAAGTGACTTTATATATAAATATAGAATAAAACATTTTAAATAAATACATCACGACGTTTCGATTGCAGCACAAGCAATCATCATCAGGTGTGACAACCACAGCAAGGACATTTTTTTTACTGATGATTGCTTGTGTTTGCAATCGAAACGTCGTGATTAATTTATTTAAATGTCTTATTTGTATTCTATAGTTATTATGTATTTTTTAATCTACGTGAATTTACCGAAAGAACCAAAGAGTATGGATCCTTGCAGTCACGAAAACTTCAAATTTAGAATGAACCGCGTAATAGGGTTTTTTTTATTCTCCCTAAAAAAAGATCACAACAAACAATTCTCTTAGCGTCTGAATCCGACAGAGGCTCGTGCCAAGTTGGTGTCGGCAAATTTTAACCCGTGCAAAAATAGATGTTTTTGTTGTTAAGTTGAAAGATTTTGTTTTAATGTTGACGGCGATGCTTTACGGCAGCCGCGCCGTAAAGCACCCCCCCCCCCCCCCAAAGACCCGTGCCCCCCCCCAACCACCGTCCCCCGAGCGAGAACCGCGAAGGGATCCGTGACCGTCAGGGCCCCCACCACGGCCGCCGCGTGGACGAGGGGGACTGCCCTCTAACAACGACGACCACGACGAGGTAGTGGCGGCGGCGGCAGTGGAGACGCAGTGAGCGCCGGAGTGGAGGACGAGGGAGGGAGGGAGGAGCGGGCTGCGAGTCGGGAAGTCGTCGCCTTTGCCGAGGCCGCTCCGAGCGCCTCCCTCTCGCCTAGCCAAGCCCCCCCCCCCCAGCCACCTCCCTCCGCCCGCAGTGGAGGCCTCGGGCCCCCCCACCCCGACCGCCACCACCGCCGCTGCCTCCCTCCCTACCTCCACTCGAGGTTAATCGTAAAGGCTTTACGATTAGCGAGCTTGTCCCGGTTTAAACTCAACGTCGTCATCACGATCCATGGGGCAGATCGCCCCCGGGGTAGCAGCAGCAGCGGCGGCAGCGGCCGTCCGAGTGTCCGCTGCACATTTTGTAGTTTTATAGTTTTGTAGTTTTATAGTTTTGTAGTTTTCCTCACTTTCCCCTTTCCCCTTGCTCTGTGTGTCCCGTAGTGCCAATATGCGCCCAAGTAGTGGGCACAATCTTTCTGGCACCGGTCTCTTCATGTCGTCAAGCCATTCTCTCTTAGGTCTCCCTCGCTTTCCTGTTACTTCACTTATTTTTTTACGAACAACATCGCTTGTAACCGTCATGCTGTTGTTGACGTCTGTGTGTGTTCGCGCTTGTAACCGTCATGCTGTTGTTGACGTCTGTGTGTTCGCGCGTGTAACCGTCATGCTGTTGTTGACGTCTGTGTGTGTTCGCGCTTGTAACCGTCATGCTGTTGTTGACGTCTGTGTGTGTTCGCGCGTGTAACCGTCATGCTGTTGTTGACGTCTGTGTGTGTTCGCGCGTGTAACCGTCATGCTGTTGTTGACGTCTGTGTGTGTTCGCGCTTGTAACCGTCATGCTGTTGTTGACGTCTGTGTGTGTTCGCGCGTGTAACCGTCATGCTGTTGTTGACGTCTGTGTGTGTTCGCGCGTGTAACCGTCATGCTGTTGTTGACGTCTGTGTGTGTTCGCGCTTGTAACCGTCATGCTGTTGTTGACGTCTCTGTGTGTTCGCGCGTGTAACCGTCATGCTGTTGTTGACGTCTGTGTGTGTTCGCGCTTGTAACCGTCATGCTGTTGTTGACGTCTGTGTGTGTTCGCGCTTGTAACCGTCATGCTGTTGTTGACGTCTGTGTGTGTTCGCGCGTGCTGTTTTTGGAAAATGCCTGATAGCTCGACTGACATTTGGGAAGTGTCTGATATCCTAGCTGGCATTTGGGAAGTGTCTGTTAGCTCGATAGGCGTTTTTGAAGTGTCTGGATATCCTAACCAGCGTTTGGAATGTGTTTGACACCTCGAACGACATTTCGAGGGTGTTTGAGATCGCCAGACCTCTGGACGGCTTCTCACCCTCGCATGCAATACGATCTGCTGTCCCGCGGGCTCTTGTGAACTGCGTTTGGGTGTGGAAACCTCGTCCCAGGCGAACAGCACTGCCACTTCCAGCAGTTCTTTTCACCCGATGCATTGCGGGCTCCTGAACTTGAAATTGTTACGCAGCATTTAGAGCCCCTTTTGGGTGATTGCAGAATGCATTGTTTTGGTCTGTTTCGTATATAAATGTAGTTTCCAGTTGAGAAAGTTCACAGTGCGCATCACACGGCGTAATCACTCACCGTGTGCACACGAAAGTGGTGTTATGTTGGTTCCAATGTGTTTTTTGTGAATTATTGTTTGTTTGAAGGTTAAATAGCATGTACAGGACGTTATAAATTCCTTAACCTCTCTGCTGACTTGGCATAATAACGCGCATAACGATTTATAAAAAGCCGATGTAACTTCGCACAACTCTCAGCTGGTAGGCACATGAAGGGTTGAACCTCAACAGTTGAACGTTGTAACAGCTGACTCTTCATGATCGACTCTCTTTCTCTGTGATGATTTCTCAGCGCCGTCACTGGCCCCCCCCCCCACGTCCCCCGCCATGGGTGAGCCCCGCGAGTCGTCCTCTCAGCGCCCGCGGGAGTCGAGTTGGTGGAGAGTCGCTCGAGACGCCGACGCCGCCACCGCCGTTCGTCCTCCCTCGCCGCCGTCGTTCCGCTAGCGCCCGCTCTCTCGCCGCACGCGTCAACTCCCCCCTCCATCGCAGGGACCAGCAGCCAGAGCCAGTCTTACACGAGCGCAAGGTGGTGCACAGCAATCGTTCCGCAATGGATCCCTACAACGTCACCATGGACATCATCAACCGGCAGATCAGGGTGAAGCGCCGCTTTGGTTTCCCTGTCTTTCCTTTCACCAATTTACCGTGGATTTACAATCATAAGAATGCGTGTGTGTTATGTTAAAACTTCTTTCGCGCCACGCGTAGCTGACCGTGCTAATTGAGGTGTTCGGGAAGGAGAACAAACTAAAGATAATGGGAAAATTACTACAGTACATTGCTGCATATCAAATCGCTTTGGACCGAGGTATAGGCGTTTCTGTGAAAAGGTCGGTTATAGCTAGAATAGCTTCCTAATATCAGAAGGAAGAGCATTCCAGTCGGTCGCAGAAGCGCATTTGGAAGCGCGTTGCAGTGACCGTCTTTGTTCGATGGTTAGTCAAAAGCCGCCGCTGCAAGGATGACCGGAGTTTGCGTGACGGCTTTGGCTCCTTGACGAGATCTGCAAGGTGTTGTGGTTCGTTTCTGGTAATTCTAGCCATCGTATATCCGCCCTGACCACTTAACTGTCTGCACCCAGTCCAGTATTTGTGCGAGGTGTAAGCACCTTTTTTCTATCTTGGGCTGATTGATAAGTGCTCACAAAACCGCCCATTTCACATATCCACCTAGAATGAAGTCCCCGGCGAGTTGATAAGGTCGTTATTTTCCCATTGTTTCAACTGCCGTACCGGGAGATTTAATCACACTGACGACACTTGGATTGTAAGTCCAGTGTGCTAATCACTTTACACCGTGGCAGCAGCGTCCCTAATGACGCGTGACATTTGCAACATAAAAAAGAAAAGTTCGTGATGTTGTGAATCTCAAATGGAAGCAAGATTGAACCATAACTCAAGATGGGGACACAATCATAAAACTAGTGGAGGAATTTTATGCAGATCTCTGAATTAAAAAAAAACTATACCACTTTTTTTCCGATGAGGATGATGGTCCAGATGTCATAATTAAAAAAATAACCATTGCCCTTGTCGGAGTGAAAAATATCAGAATATTTATTTATCCTGGATGAATCCAATGAGTTATAAAGCTCTTTTTCACAGATGTCCAGTCGGGGCACGGGGCCAGAACGCTACAACAACAAACAATTTAAAAAAAACACGATAGGAGTGCAAAGTATAGGAGAAGTAAACAAAATGCTTTGAAACATAAACAAATGAAACAAAACTATTTGTATCTGACCAGGTGAAGCCCACTGTCAAATTGGAAAGATCAACAACCAGTTGGAATAACTGGAATTCATTGACAATGTCGGAGCAGCTGCTTACATTTGTGGACCTATTTACTAAATGTTCACACACAAATTAGTTACTTCAATCATAGAACAATGCCTTAATCTTCAATTAATGAAGGGACAACACTGATTTGAAGTATAACCGACCCTTGACCCTATTATCTGTGTGGTAGGCAACAGAAGGGACAATGCAGAAAAATCCATTGTTGTACTGTACTTTTATGTTCCCCCACATTCACCAACCTGGTGAAGTATGGTCAAACAACTGCCACCTCCCGCACGGTGTGGGGAGCCTCTTTTATCCAGCAGTGGATTTACAAAAATGCTGTACATGTACTTTACCCCCTTATCACATGCATATATAATTCACGAAGGTCACAGAACCAAATGTTTTGAATTTTGGATATCGACCAACAATGTGAACAAGCTGCATTTAGAAAATGATTTTTTTTACCGTAAGACTATATACCGTCAATCACATTATATGAAAGACAAACCATTAAACATTATGCTTGACTTTGCATTGATTCTCTCTGAAACTGGTGACAACGTCCCTAAAGGTGATCCAATATGAACTAAACTTTCATATTAATTTGTATTTCTATTGAGGAATTGCCCTATAGAAACCCAGAAAGATTGATCAAAGGATATTTATATCTGTAGACAATCCAGCATTAAAATTATTTGCTTTGATGCACGTGCATTATCGGCCAAGGCGTGTGCGTGATGCAATTTCCTGAAGTTAAACGACATGCTGTGTGACGTTATGCCGTTGTGCAGCTCAGATGGTAACATTATTTCTTTTAAATACCGTCAGGGAGCAATGCATGTTGGAAGGGGCTATAAAATCTGTACACAAACATTATTTTTCATACACCTTTAGACGATGAAAATGCATTTGGTTCCAGTGGAAACCGATTGAGTAATCCAGGCTGACAAACAAAAAGGCCTTGATGAGTAAATTATAACATGGAACAATTACACTGCAATTTCATGTAGAAAGTAATCAAATACAGAAGTCAAAGGAGTCATTTCAGAGTTGCACTACCACTCAGATTGCGGACAGCAACAGAAGATATTTTCTGAAAATTGGATTTGAGAAATGCAGCCGTAGTAAACATGCGTGGAGGAAGTGGTTGAGCGGAGTCGGTGCAGGAAAGGCGTGCGGTGTCACCCGGCTTTTGGCTGTGCGGGGTTTCGGTGCGTGCAGGAACGCGGGGTCCTCTCCTTCCAGCGGAGGCAGCACGTGACGGACGCGATGGTGCGCCGCCTCGGGCTGGAGGCCGAGTTGCAGGTGATGCCGCGCTCGTCCACTCGATCGCCCAATCACCAGCCGTGTCACTCCGCTTCGCGGTTGAGAGTCACGGGCGAGACTGAAGAGATTGTCTTGGCACTAACGCCATGCGTGCCAGCGGCGCTGACGCCACTGATAGACGAATCCGGGTGTGTCGGCCACTTCGCGATTATACCGTGGTCTCAAGATATTACACCGACTCATCTCCGTCGCCTTGTCGCTACTGAATACTCAAAAAGCCACTCGATTCGGCTCTCAATGTTATTATTTTTGCGATGCGTGTGGCTAACTTGTTTTGCAGGGCATAACAAAAATTCCCCCCTCCCCCTGGCGTGTGTAATGAGGCCCTTTGAGGGAATTTCGGAAGCAGTTCTATAGCATCAACTTCCAGCACTGATCTCTAACACAGGGAGGTGCACTGCTTGCTGTGCAAGTTCCAAGTGCAGTTTTCTTCGTCTCGCGCCGCAATGCCGATGACACAGTCTTAATTACGGTATTGGAAGATGATCAGCGATGAAGCTTGGGCGGCTGAGAACGTTTACCGGCAGAGACGCACGAGACTGCAAGTGTAGGTAGCCGGCGAGCCCAGGGGGTTCATACCGGCCACCTGAGTGCTACGCAGCTGTCACCACTGAGCATCTCGGTTGGACAACAGGTGTCAGTCGCTTGAAAATAAAACGAGCTTCTCAGCTGACTTGTTTGATGGTCTAAACCAGCGGGCTCAGTGGTTCATTCGTCATGCTACGATCCCAGCAGGCTGGGTTTGATTCCGGGCCGTACGTGACGTGAGTGGCGAGCGCTATCTTAACCTTGTCCCGGGTCTTGCATAGGTTGGCTCAGCGAATGGTGTGGGGAAACAAGACGGCCCGGCCCTTGGTGGCAACCACACCATCCCTTCTTGTGCTATGCCGTCCCTTAATAAACGCTCGCTCGTAGCAACTTGCCTTTCGGTTTGCAAGGCTAAATAGGGGGATCTCTATCACTGTGTTCCCCTTTGCAGGCACGGCCGTTGACAGCAGGGAGGGGCCCCATGCGAGTGCAGCGAGCCGTGGAACGGCTGCACTGATTCGCACTCTGTCCGTTTCTCCGTAGGGTCACACGGGCTGCGTCAACTGCCTCGAGTGGAATGAGAAGGGAGAGTGAGTCATACGCACGCAGCAGCAGCAGCACAAACGCACGCCGGTCTGAACGTCGGTTTTCTTATTCAGGAACCGTCATTGTGGATGTTGGGCCAATTCCTTTTCACGAAAGTGGATCATGCGTGTTGTCCTTCCCCCGCACCTCCTATTAGCACGGTTGGCTACTTACGGTGCGAAAGAAGTTCAACATACACACACATACGTGAACCGGTAGTAGCTGGCAACCGCCAACCCGTCAAAACTTGCATGCTTACGATTTTTTAAAAATGGAATAGTTCACCTGGAAACCAACTTTGAGATGGAACTTCTTGTTCGCAAGGGGTTAAACATATACAGTAAAACCTTGGATTGCGAGTAACTTGGTCTGCGAGTGTTTTGCAAGACGAGCAACAAACACATTTCCGGAACGAATTATGCTCGCAATCCAAGGTTTTACTGTATAGCAAACACACCGGAGCGCCTTTGCAAAACCACTGCGTCAATTGAGGACGTTTATCACACGTTATTTAAAGTTACAATTACTGCACAGCATTTTTGTGGCGTATATGTTAATTTGTCATTCTGTGGAGGGGACGTGCCTTATTAACCCAGCGTGAAGCCCTTGACTGCCGTGTTGCTTGGCACACTAAGTACAGAGTAGCCTTAATTTAGCCTCTCACGCCCGCTGCTGGAACAGGCGCGATGCCACGGGCGTGTGTGAGCTTCTGAAGCCACGCAGTGGCTTATGAAACTGCCGGAGTGGTCCTTCAAGGATGTTCCCATGGTTAACATTGAGCACGGAAGCCAGGTTGTGGTGGTGGTGGTGGTGGTAGTGTTGTGACTAGCAGTAGTAGCTTTTGGAGGACGTGTCCAATGTGCAAGTTTGGAAGCAAGCACGGATTGCCGTAATGACTTCACAGTGTCGATTTTTATTTTTATTCTAATATCGACCATGATCTCTTGTTTTCACGAATGTTCTCGCTATCGACTGCAGTCCCTAATGTTGACCAAATAACAATTGGAGGATTGCATTGGTGGTATTGTTTTGCATCAGCATCCTTTTTAAAATTCAAGTGTATATTAGGCTGACATTGCTGGCAATAGCTCTTCAGAGCAGAGGGTGGAAAACTGATGAAAGTTTCGATCATACTTGAGTCCGGTGCTTGGAAAGCACTGGACATATTTCACAAAGTTGACATGACGGTTTTAAATTCCCACACTCAACATTCTCCAGAAGCAGGTATTGAGCAGCTAACACACCCTTGCACTGCTCAGAACGAACGCATACACCCATTTTAATTAAATTAATTTGTATCGATGTGGCACTGCAGAACTGTCTTGGGAGGTGAACTGAAAACGGCACCAAAGTAAACAGGCAGACTACACATCCTTCCCATATCTGTCCCTCCACATGAGCAAATAGAGTGTTTTTTTTTCACATCCCTTTGGCCGCACGGCCTTCTGGGAGTACGCAATTTCAACAGCATTGGTTCAACACAGGTAAACTGTGAACCGGTTTTGACATTCCGCGTCTCATCAGCAGTCGGGCTTGCTTGCAAAACTCTCTGGTGAACTGGCAGATGTTTATAGATTGAGGGAGCAATCGCAATGCCGGCCTTTGATGACGGCACGGTCTACGTCCAACTCCTCCTGCTCCATAATACAGGTTACTAGTACAATACACCGGTGTACTGTACTAGTAACCAATTGGCGTGTTCTGTTCACGTGACAAACTTGACTCATTTCCTGTGTCGGGTGGTGGCGGGTTTAACGACATTTATATTTACGCGATCTAACCCAAAAAAAAAACTATTCTGGATGATATTGGTCACGAAAGCCTACGTATTAAATTCTCCTACCTCGCCCACCCCCCCCCCTTCCCGTTGCACCCCACTCTCCCAACTGACCTCCTCGTCCACATCGCCCCCTCCTCCCCCTCCCTCCTCCCCTGTGCAGGATGCTCGCGTCGGGCTCGGACGATCAGCACATCATCCTGTGGGACCCGCTGAGGCACCGCAAGCTGCTGCAGATGCACACGGGACACACAGCCAACATCTTCTCTGTCAAGGCATAACCCGCACTCACTCTAAACCTAACTAGTTTTATTTTACCAGGTAAGGCCCACTGAGCATTGTAGATGTTATCCAGAAGCCACCTGGCCACAAATGATAGCTCAACGAAGTGGCTTATCTCGTGGAAATTTACAGCAGTCAAATACTTTAAAAGCCACGTTTCTAAATGTGGAGGGAAATACCATAGGACCCGGAGAAAATTCCACACGACCACGGGGAGAATACGCAAACTCCAAATATATCGGCGTCAGGGTTGTGATCGAACCCACGACCTCCTGTATACAAGACGAGTTAATATTTCTACTTTGTGGTACCCCACTCAGCATGGGGAGATCTCCTTCGAACGCTCATAGACCGCGTGGGAAACGGCTTTTAGCGAGCACCTGTTGAGTTAGCATGGCATGGTGCACATGAGGGATGCTGTGGATGGCACCACTCCTGTGTGCTTTTGTCTCCCAAATGTCGATGTTTACACACCACACCAGATTCCCGATTAAGTCCACGCTAATTTATACTGTTTTGTATTGTCCTGCACGCACCACTGTCTCACTCGTATTGTTCATCTCGTATTATCTGTCCCATTTGTCTAATTTGTATTATCTGCCTAGCTCGTGTCGTCCGTCTCTTACATCTGTCTCGTTTGGACCGCTGCCCCAGAGATTACGTCGGCAAACAATTCCGACGGCTTGTGAACAAGCGGCTCGGCGATTGCTACGCTTGCGTCGATTGCATCGATTGTTTCGATCGCTTCCAACGGGGGAGTGGCCGCGCCGGCTAACCGTGAAACGACTCGGCGTGCGTGCGCGCAGTTCCTGCCGCACTCGGGCGACCGCCTCGTGGTGACGGGCGCCGCCGACTTCAAGGTGCACGTGCACGACGTCGTGAGCAAGGAGACGCTGCACATCTTCGACAAGCACACTAATCGCGTCAAGCGCATCGCCACGGCCGCCTCCACGCCGCACATGTTCTGGAGCGCCGGCGAGGACGGCACCATCCGGTGGGTACCCCCCCCCCCCCCCCCCCCACCTGCAACGAGGCATGGCCCTGGGAAGGAGAGGGATGGAGAGGGGGGGAGGTGGGAGACATTGGGATGTAGGGGAAGGTGGTTGTAGGGAGGGTGGGAGGTATGATAGGTAGGGGGAGATGGTGGCTACGAGGTAGGTTGAGGTGGTGGAAATGTGGGTGGGTTGTAGAGGGAAGTGGTGGAAGTGTAGGTGTGAGGTAGGGGGGAGGTGGTAGGAGGGAAGAGTGAGAGGTAAGGGAAGATGGTAGGAGGGAGGGTGATACGGACAGACAGAGCTAATACATAAACCCTTTCAACTTTCGTCGCAAACTGTTAAGTCTTCAGTTTAACACGTGATAGGCTTTCGCGACCAATATCATCCATAATAGAGGTTTTTGGGTTAGATTGTGTAAATATATAAATGTGTCGTGAAAACCCGCCACCACCCGACACAGCCTAGCTAGTGAGTTGTTGCTAAAAGCAGAAGGGTGGTCAACACATCTACGCCTCTATATAAGGAACGAAGCAGGAAGACTTCTCCACAAATCTGGCTGTCGCCTGATGAAGCTAGTTGTAATTACTGGCGAAAACTCATACTCAGTTTGTAAATGTTGTGACTTGGCTCTCCAACACACCGGTGTGCTGTGCTAGTGACGAATTGGCACGTTCTGTTTACGTGACAAACCTTACTATTTGGCTGTGTCGGGTGGTCGCGGGTTTTAACGACACATTTATATATTTACGCAATCTAACCCAATAACCTCTATTATGGATCTTAAATCTTCGTGGGGCCTCTGTGCTCCGTTCACTACCACCACCAAACCACGCGTGACCCCGTTGGTGGCGTCCTCTCCCCCCGACCCCGTGAACCCTAACCTCCCCCTTCACTCTCCCTGTGGTGGCGGAGCAGGCAGTTTGACCTCCGCGAGAGCAGCAACCGCTCGCAGGTGCTGGTGGACCTGACGTGGTACTGCAGCTCGCAGGTGGAGGCCAAGTGCCTCGCCATCAACCCAAGTGACAACACGAGCCTCGCCGTGGGCGCCAACGACCCCTACGTGCGCCTCTACGACATGCGAATGATCACGCAGCACAGGTCAGGTTCCATCAGATCATGGAGTAAGCGACATTAATACCTTGAGCTAGCCTGAAGAAGCAGCCGTCCAGTGAGGACCGGCGTTGTGTTGGACTTGCTGGTATCGCGTTGTGTTTGACCCCTGTGTTGGACTTGCTGTTATCACGTTGTGTTAGACCCCTGTGTTTGACTTGCTGGTATCGCGTTGTGCTAGACCCCTGTGTTTGACTTGCTGGTATCACGTTGTGTTAGACCCCTGTGTTTGACTTGCTGGTATCACGTTGTGTTAGACCCCTGTGTTTGACTTGCTGGTATCGCGTTGTGCTAGACCCCTGTGTTTGACTTGCTGGTATCACGTTGTGTTTGACCCCTGTGTTGGACTTGCTGTTATCACGTTGTGTTAGACCCCTGTGTTTGACTTGCTGGTATCGCGTTGTGCTAGACCCCTGTGTTTGACTTGCTGGTATCACGTTGTGTTAGACCCCTGTGTTTGACTTGCTGGTATCACGTTGTGTTAGACCCTTGTGTTTGACTTGCAGGTATCACGTTGTGTTAGACCCCTGTGTTTGACTTGCTGGTATCACGTTGTGTTAGACCCCTGTGTTTGACTTGCTGGTATCACGTTGTGTTAGACCTCTGTTTGACTTGCTGGTATCGCGTTGTGTTAGACCCCTGTGTTTGACTTGCTGGTATCGCGTTATGTTAGACCCTTGTGTTTGACTTGTTATCACGTTGTGTTAGACCCCTGTGTTTGGCTTGCTGGTATCACGTTATGTTAGACCTCTGTTTGACTTGCTGGTATCGCGTTGTGTTTGACCCCTGTGTTGGACTTGCTGTTATCACGTTGTGTTAGACCCCTGTGTTTGACTTGCTGGTATCGCGTTGTGCTAGACCCCTGTGTTTGACTTGCTGGTATCACGTTGTGTTAGACCCCTGTGTTTGACTTGCTGGTATCACGTTGTGTTAGACCCCTGTGTTTGACTTGCTGGTATCACGTTGTGTTAGACCCCTGTGTTTGACTTGCTGGTATCACGTTGTGTTAGACCCCTGTGTTTGACTTGGTGGTATCACGTTGTGTTAGACCTCTGTTTGACTTGTTGGTATCGCGTTGTGTTAGACTTGCTGTTATCACGTTGTGTTAGACCCCTGTGTTAGACTTGCTGGTATCGCTTTGTGTAAGACCCCTGTGTTTGGCTTGCTGGTATTACGTTGTGTTAGACCTCTGTGTTAGACTTGCTGGTATCACGTTGTGTTAGACCTCTGTTTGACTTGCTGTTATCGCGTTGTGTTAGACCCCTGTGTTTGACTTGCTGGTATCGCGTTATGTTAGACCCTTGTGTTTGACTTGTTATCACGTTGTGTTAGACCCCTGTGTTTGGCTTGCTGGTATCACGTTATGTTAGACCTCTGTTTGACTTGCTGGTATCGCGTTGTGTTAGACTTGCTGTTATCACGTTGTGTTAGACCCCTGTGTTTGACTTGCTGGTATCACGTTGTGTTAGACCTCTGTTTGACTTGCTGGTATCGCGTTGTGTTAGACTTGCTGTTATCACGTTGTGTTAGACCCCTGTGTTTGACTTGCTGTTATCACGTTGTGTTAGACTTGCTGTTATCACGTTGTGTTAGACCCCTGTGTTAGACTTGCTGTTATCGCTTTGTGTAAGACGCCTGTCTTTGGCTTGCTGGTATTACGTTGTGTTAGACCTCTGTGTTAGACTTGCTGTTATCGCGTTGTGTTAGACCGCTGTGTTTGACTTGCTGGTATCACGTTGTGTTAGACCCGTGTTTGACTTGCTGGTATCACGTTGTGTTAGACCCCTGTGTTTGACTTGCTGGTATCGCGTTGTGTTAGACCCCTGTGTTTGACTTGCTGGTGTTGCGTTGTGTTAGACCCCTGTGTTTGACTTGCTGGTATCACGTTGTGTTAGACCCCTGTGTTTGACTTGCTGGTATCACGTTGTGTTAGACCCCTGTGTTTGACTTGCTGGTATCACGTTGTGTTAGACCGCTGTGTTTGACTTGCTGGTATCACGTTGTGTTAGACCCCTGTGTTTGACTGCTGGTATCACGTTGTGTTAGACCCCTGTGTTTGACTTGCTGGTATCGCGTTGTGTTAGACCCCTGTGTTTGACTTGCTGGTATCACGTTGTGTTAGACCCCTGTGTTTGACTTGCTGATATCGCGTTGTGTTAGACCCCTGTGTTTGACTTGCTGGTATCACGTTGTGTTAGACCCCTGTGTTTGACTTGCTGGTATCACGTTGTGTTAGACCCCTGTGTTTGACTTGCTGGTATCGCGTTGTGTTAGACCCCTGTGTTTGACTTGCTGGTATCGCTTTCTGCTCCGCTCGTGAGACCTCTGTGTGGCCCCCTGTTTGCCGCCCAACACCCGCGCCCCCCCCCCCTCCTGCAGGAAGTCGTGCCGTCTGAACGCCCCTAGCGGCACAGGGGTGGAGCTGGACTCCCAGTACAGCAAGCTTCCCGACGGTGCCGTGCAGTACTACGTGGCGGGTGAGCCCGTTGCCAGTGCCCGTAGCTACCCGAGTGTGCAGGCGGTGCAATTCCACCCGGGTGGCTACAGGCCCAGGAATGAAGAGAGGGAAAATTAGATATGCCCCCCCCCCCCCTTTCCCCCATTTCGTTCCTTGCACCGTGGCTCGTGCCAGCCTTGCTACGAGAGGTGCCACGGTGGCTAGGAGATGTTATCTCCCTCGCCTGGTATGCAGGAGGTCGTGGGTTCGATCCCGACCCTGACGACTTCGATATATTTGGAGTTTGCATGTTCTCCCTTTGGTCGCGTGGATTTTTCTCCGCATCCTCCAGTTTTTCCCTTCACAATTAGAAACGTGTTTTAAGTATTTGACTGCTATACATTTCCACATGATAAGCCACTTGTTTGTGCTGTCATTTGTGGCCAGGTCGCGTCTGAAAAAGCACTACATAGCTTAGTGGGCCTTACCTGGAAAAAAGTAAATAGTTTAGTTTTAGTTTGTAGTCATTTATTTGCATGCATCGCCACGTGATGTAAACGATCATCCCTTCACTTGGCAGCACAGGCAGGAGTGAACTTGGTCTGCTAGTGGTGCGTCATGTACCCAACGGTTGCCTGGGCCATGAAGAGGTGTGGGGGAGGTGGGAGGTACGACGACTCGGGTTGACTTGTCCGTACGGCAAACCCAAAGAGCGATGCTCGCAGTGTCCGCACACAGGACTCGCAACGCTCAGCGGCGAGCCTCAGGGCCCGCCACCTCCGCGACGCCTCCTCCCCCCGCTCGTCACTCCTTCCACCAGTCCCCCCCCCGGTCATGACACTCAACCCAAACGCCGACCCCCAACCCCCCCATCTTCCACCCAGGTCACCTCCCGTCAAAGCAGACGGACTACCAGCGCAGGTTCCGCACGCTCGCCGTCACGTACCTCACTTTCAGTCCCGACGGGAACGAGCTGCTCGTCAACATGGGCGGGGAGCAGGTTTGTGTGCGCGTCGGCCCCCGTGCCTCTCACCACGGGCACAGCGTCGCTACGTTCGGCTGCGGGAATTGTTGATGTGGAGTGTATGGGGGCGGCCACGGTGGCAAGATGTTAACTACCTCGGCTGCTATGCAGGAGGCCGTGGGTTCGATCCTGACCCTGATGCCTGCTGTATATTTGGAGTTTGCGTGTCTTTCTCCCCGTGGTCACGTGGATTTTTCTCCGGGTCCTCCGGGATTATCCCCTCCACATTTAGAGTCGATGTGCGTTTTAATTAGAGTATATTTGGCGGCTATAAATGTCCACACGATGATAAGCCACTTCGTTGAGCTATCGTTTGTGGCCAGGTCGCTTCTGAAAAAAGAGCTACATAGCTCATTGCTGCCTTACCCTGGTAAAATAAAAAATAGTTTAGTTTTAGTTCGTGAGCAAAAGGTCGAAGTGCGGGGCTGATGCCACCGGCTGTCTCCGCATGGCCGGCAGGTCTACATGTTCGACCTCCACAGCCGCCAGCGCCCGTACTGCTTCTCTGCTGCCTCGCGACGCCGGGCAACGCCGGGCGGTGAGACAGCGCACTGGACAACAACTCCCATCACCATAATTTTCTCCATCTCAATCATCATCTCAATCATCGGGTGCAATCTACTTTTCTCAGCCTGTGTTACCCGCTGAGGTCGTGACAGGTTTATTTTTTTCACTCCGATTGCTAAATGCCCCCTGTACCGTAATGTGCACGGATGCCTACTTTATTGAGGGCGGTATCGGCACGTAAAAATAAAGATTGATTTCATCATCTCAATCGTCACTGGTGGCCATGGTCAATCCGCCGCATTGATGAAGGCCTCCCCCAAGCCGCCGCCATATCGCTCGGTCCTGCGGTGTAACGATCCGCGCCCACCACCTGCGGGCACGAGCCGATTTTCGTCACTCCATCTCCGCGGCGTGATCTCGGCTCGGCGTAGTGGCCCTCGCCCAGCAGCAGCTTAACACAGAAGGCCCCGCGCGCACGTACACGCCCGTAATCGGCGCTGCGCTGCCGCACTCGCAGCCGACGTGCAGAACGGGAAGCAGGCGAATGGCGTCTCCAATGGGCTGCACCTGCACAGCAACGGCCTGCGCCTGTCCGACGAGCCCCAGCAGCCGCCGCCGAGGTGAGCTGGCGCGGCGGCTCCGCGTCCCCCACCACCGCCGCGGTTGCGCACGCTAAAAATTCAGCGGGCGGCGTTTTGAGTCGCAGTTTTCAGCACGCCGCGCGGTTAAAACTCTCGCTTGTTACCGTTGCTGTGCCGTGCGCCGCTAGCCCCGAGCTGCCGCCGGCCGTGGAGAAGCTCAAGCAGCTGGCGAACGCGGCGTTCGGGCGCCAGCAGTGGCCCGTCGCCGTGAGCCTCTACAACCGCGCCGTCGCGCTTTGCCCCACCAACTCCGTGCTCTACGGCAACCGCGCCGCCGCCTACATGAAGCGCAAGTGGTGAGCACCCCGCACCGCCCTGCTGCACCGCACCGTCCTTCTCAGCACCCCTCTGCTGCCCGCTTCCCTCTGCCTCGCACCCCCCTACACCGCACCCCCTACACCGCACCCCCTACACCGCACCCCCTACACCGCACCCCCTACACCGCACCCCCCTACACCGCACCCCCCTACACCGCACCCCCTACACCGCACCCCCTACACCGTACCCCCTACACCGCACCCCCTACCTACACCGCACCCCCTACACCGCACCCCCCTACACCGCACCCCCTACACCGCACCCCCCTACACCGCACCCCCCTACACCGCACCCCCTACCTACACCGCACCCCCTACACCGCACCCCCTACCTACACCGCACCCCCTACACCGCACCCCCCTGCACTGTCCCGCTGACTGATCTCTCTTTTGGTCCTTTTGCCGGTTCCATTTTTCTGTTTTTGGTAGTTTATATAACAACACAATCAAAGTTAAATACACAAACACACACACGTACTGTCATCTCGGCCGCAGGCGGTGATCGAAATGGAGCGTTAGAATTCCTGCTACGGAACCCTATTGGTGAACAATCGGAAGAACCGTTCTCAAAGGTGGCGGTACTATACGTGTTTGGTGTTTTGAGAAGTGCCAGTGTGGCGTACCGCTGTCTACCTACCGGCGTACATTTGTGTACCAGTATACGAGCCTACCGCGCCGTTTACCAGTGTATGACCGGATCGCTGTGTACCGGCGTGCCGCTGTGTACTGCCGTACAGCAGCTTACCGCTGTATAGCGGCGTACCACTGCGTGCCGGTACCACCGGTGTACCGGCGCATAGCGGCGTACGCGTGTACCTCGGCACGTACCGACCCACCACGACTGCCGGTCGTCGCGTGTTCACGCCGGCTCACGGTGTCGGCGCAGGGATGGCGACCAGTACGCGGCGCTGCGCGACTGCCGCGCGGCCGTGGCGCTCAACCCTTGGCACCTGAAGGCGCACTTCCGGCTGGCGCGCTGCCTGTACGAGCTGCGGCACGTGGGCGAGGCGCTCGCCTGCCTCGACGACTTCCGCGGACGCTTCCCCGAGCAGGCGCGCAGTAGCGCGTGCGACGCGCTCGACCGGGACATCAAGGCGGCGCTCTTCTCTCGCACGGATAGCGGTGAGCGGGCACCCGGGGGGTGGACGCCACGCGGGCGGTACATGTGCCCCACACGACTAATGCGTGTAGTACCGTGTGCAGTACACGCAGATCACTTGCTGACCCCCCCCCCCCCCAAAGGAGACATGTTGCCACGTCGCATTCTGCCACACAGCTTAGATCGCAACCTTTCCCACAGAGCAAGCCTGGACTTGTTTCTCAGTCAGCCTGGGTCTGTTATCGGCGCTGTGTAGTCCACTGTGATAAAGTTCAACGCAGCAACACCGGTGTCAGATTTCGGTACAAATCATTTCCTAGCTACCCGTACAAGAGATGCCAATTCACGGAATGTCCGGATCAAACCCGGACCGGTGGGCATCCTACGCCGAGAATGCCAGCGCCACCCCCCCCCCGAACGCATCGACCGACATGCCGCCACCGCCGTCGCCCATTTCCCCGTTTCCCCACAGACGACGAGAGGAAGGCGACCGACCCGACTGGTGGTGGCGGCGGAGGCGGCGGTAGCGGCGGAGCAGGGAGTGGCGGCGGGCGCGTGCGAGGGTTTTCCGAGGAGGAGCTTCGTCTGCGTGAGCACAGCTACGACTACAAGCTGCGCTACTGCGGCCACTGCAACACCACCACCGACATCAAGGAGGCCAACTACTTCGGCAGGTGAGGCCCCGTCGCGTCTCGCCCGCACCGCCGCTCGCAGGTAGGGGCCCTGTCGCAGCAGGTGGTGGCATGGGACGGAACGTTTCTCTTCTTAGTCTGAACCGGCGAGAAGCCGTGGGGGTTTTGGACGGTGGATATCCTTCCGTCGTTCTTCTCACAGGTCAGCTAAAGTGGTCTAACGTTTTTGGTCACTCTTAGTTAAGCGTGGGTTTAGTCGGCGTTAGTTAATGTCAAATAATGTTCTCTTTGCTTGCTCCACCATTACAAAGTTAATTTATTGTTCAATTCATTGGGGTGTGCAAAACTTCGCTGTAATGTATCATTGTACCATTTATTATTTGTAACTGCCAACCTTGCTCTCGGTATAAATCTCTACTAGCTTCAACAGACCCAAATGGACTCCCGACTACGATCCGCGGCATGCGGCGACCTGCTGCTGTCCCCTCCGCGTGTAGAACTCACGCGCGATACAGCCTGCACAGTTTTCTGGGTCTCCGGCCAATGAGCTGGAACACGTGACCAGCTCATGTTCGGGATCCGTCCCTGAGTCTGAGCTTTCGTGACTGCAGGAATCCGTACTCACATAGGTATTAAATTAAATAAATCTCGACGTTTCGGGCGCAACACAAGCGTCCGTCATCAGGTGATGCAGACGCTTGTGTTGTGCCCGAAAGCAAAAGAACCATAGGGTGTTGTTGTTGTTTCAAAGAGCCTACTTCAATGTGTGATCAATGCGCGTTCGTGATGGACTGGACTCATAAGAGTGCGCAATATCAAATGCTCTTACTTTTAGTTTATACAGCACCACCCTACTCCTCCATACTACTTTCACCTATGATAGTGAAAGCTTTATAACTTAACAGACTTTTGAAGTTAAACGTGGGTATGTAAGCAAAGGTAAGAATGTTGTCATAAGGGGGTAGCAGCAGGAGTACTGGAGCGTGTGCCAAGGTCGGCAGTAGAGGCCGTGACTTGTTATTGTCAATCATCTCAGGTGAGTCGATCCAACAACGCCGGGCTTTGTCCCACGACTTCCTGCCAGCAGCGATCCTTCCACACTTTTCGTGTGACGACCTCAAAGCGTACCTAGCTTGGCACAAGCGCCGTGGTTGCGTGGTGACGAATGGCAGCTGCTGCTGATGTTGTAGTAGTTTTGTGTGTGTGCCCGTCCGTTGCTGTATGGCACCCATACCTAGCCTGGTGCAAGCGCCGTGGTGACGAATGGCAGCTGCTGCTGAAGTTGTAGTAGTTTTTGTGTGTGTGTGTGTGCCCGTCCGTTGCTGTATGGCACCCATACCTAGCTTGGTGCAAGCGCCGTGGTGACGTGGTGACGAATGGCAGCTGCTGCTGATGTTGTAGTAGTTTTTTGTGTGTGTGTGTGTGCCCGTCCGTTGCTGTATGGCACCCATACCTAGCATGGTGCAAGCGCCGTGGTGACGTGGTAACGAATGACGACTGCTGCTGCTGCTGTTGTAGTTTTGTGTGCGTGTGCCCGTGCGTTGCCGCGTGGCGCCTCGTCAGCGCGGGCCAGTACGTGGTGGCCGGCTCGGACGACGGCTCCTTCTTCCTGTGGGACAAGGCGACGTGCAACCTGCTGCGCGTGCTGCGCGGAGACGAGTCCATCGTCAACTGCCTGCAGCCGCACCCCTCGGCCTGCCTGCTGGCCTCGAGCGGCATCGACCCCGTCGTCAGACTCTGGGCCCCGAGGCCGCAGGTGCGGGGAAACCCGGGGGCGGGGAAGTGTGGGGGAATCCGGGGGGATACCAGGGGCGAACATGGGGGGGGGGGGGGGGGGGCATGTGTGGGGGAAAACGGAAGGGTACCAGGGTGGAACCCGGGGGGTAAGTGTGGGGGTAACCGGAGGGATGCTTGGGGGAAACCATGGGGGAACCCAGAGGGACATCAGGGGGTAACTGAAGAGATACCGGAGGGAAACTGTGGGAGAAAGCATTTGAGTGTTTTCCTCTCGTACGCATGGGTCTCTTCCACACTGTAAAACACTGAGTGGAGAAGTAATTGGTCGTACATCTCGAAGCAGGAAATATAAAAACAAATCTCGACTGATTGAGGCTTTCCCAGATGATCGAGCGCCTGTTATTGCAGCACCTTATCAGCCCCGGGTGGCACTACGGTCAAAGGGCGCTCGGCTCGCAGTCGGAAGGTCACAAGTTCAAATCCTGATCGTGGGTCAACTCGGCCCTTCATCGCTACCTCTTTGGAAAGTGAACACGGTCGTCTTGTAGACCGGCTGGCCTGTGTCATGGTAACCTGGATTTCTCACCGCTGGCTTAGGGCTGCTAATTGAGATGAACACAGCCCTATTGCTTGTTTGACTGCACCAGATATTTTAACCCTCAGTGCCACGTGTCGTCAAGCCCTCATTATTGATTCTCTTTACCCTATGTCCCCGTATCCCTATCTCCCCATGCCCTTGTCTCATGTCTCTTTGTTCACATTTTTCTGTCTGTGTCCCCGTGTCCTTGTGCCCCTATGTATCCCTCTGTACCGTCTCCCTGTGTCTCCGTGGCTCGTCTTCCTTTAATTTCCCATGTCCATTTGTCTCTGTCTCCATTTCTGCATGTCCCCATGTATCTTTGCCTTTTCACCCCGTATTCCCCTACTCCTATATTTCTATGCCCTTGCGTCCCCTTGTCCCCATTCTGACATGTTCCCGTGTAGCCATGTCTTTGTGTCCCAACATGTCTCCTTTTCCCCGTGTGTCCCCCCGCACCCCCACCGTGTCCCCCCGTACCCCCCCCCTCCACCGTGTCCTCCTGCCCCATCCACGTGTCCCTCCGGTTACTCCTCGTCACCCCTGCGTGTACTCCCTGCTCCCCCCCGTGTTGCCCCCCCCCGTGCCCCCCCCCCGTGCCCCCCCCATACCCCCCCCATGTCCCCCCCGTGTATCCCCCCCGTTGTCCCCTCCATGTCCCCCCATGTCCCGCTGTGTCTCCCCACCACCTCCGTGTACCCCCCCCGTGCGTCTCCGCCCCTGTGCGTCTCCCTGTGTCCCCCCCCACCCGTCACCCCCGAGCGTCTCCGCCCCTGCGTGTCTCCGTGTCTTCCCCCCGTGTCCCCCCCGCACGTGTCCCCCCGTGTCCCCCCCTCGTGTCGCGGCAGAACGGCTTTGAGAATGAGCGCGTGGTGGACGACACGGACGCCGTGTGCCTGGCGAACCAGCGGCGCATGAACGCCGACCCCCTGGAGGTGATGCTGCTCAACATGGGCTACCGCATCACGGGCCTCACGGGCTCCGAGCTCGGCTCGGACGACGACTCGGGCTCCGAGAGCCAGGTGCAGTGCCGCACTACCTGATCACGGCGTCGCGCGGAGTGGGGGGGGGGGGGGGCGGGGTGGGGGGTGGGTGGGGGGAGCGTTGGGTGCGGGAGAAACAGCTGGCGCTGTGGTGGGAACGACCGTCACGGGTGCAGCTCTCTCGGTGTCACTCTTCTATCGCTGCTGCTACCGCGGTCGCTCTTCCAGCAAACTTGACTCGCTGATTCACTCCCATCGCTTGCTCACCGGTGGTCAGTCACCTCCTTATCACTCTCTTCTATCGCTACTCCCGTGGACATTGTTCCCGTGGACTTCATGAACGGATTCCTCCATTACCTTCCAGACGTCGACTTTGATCTCACCCCCACACTGTGTTCAACCTCCACACTACCGATCACAACAACGCACGTACCATCCTCTCGCTCACTCGCCACACCGCAGTTCACCGCTCTTCCCTTTCTACTTCATCCCTCACACCGTTCCACTACGAAATTCCCTTCCATCGTCACTTTTTCCCAAGCTCTTGTAATCATCTTACTCAATTCAAGAAACGCTTTACACTCGTCAGCCATTATAACTTGAGCAGTGCTGTTGGTTTGGGCCTTTTGGGCCCGTGTTCAGCAACTGTGCTTAAACAAACAAGAGGATGATCACGTCTTTCCTTCTGCCAGATCCCTCGGCTGTTGCACAGTTGAAACTCGACCAGCAATGACCGCTCTCACAGCCTCGTCACCACCACCACCACCACGTCTGGCTTGAGCTCTACCCCGTGGTCACCGTGCCACTCCACTGCCCACCTCGGTCACCTGCCCTCCGCCACCCTGCGCACGCGTTCCCCCACGAATCGCAAACAAACTCCTCTCTTCTTCCTTGTTTACATCCACATCGCTTTCCTGCCGTCTGCTCTTCCCAACCGCCACTTTACTTACCCTGTCCCCCGCCACTAACTTCCCATCGTCTTCTGCATGCGCTCACATTAAAAAGGCCAGAAGCTTTGGTAAAGTCCAGAGTGTATAATAAATCCAGACGAGGGGGAGTTTTGAGATATTTTGACGCTTAGAAGAAAGCCCCTCTGGTGGAAACCCAAATGTGAACAGTGACAAGTGAAGAGAGTGATGGGGGGGAGAGTGAGAGGAGCAGAGTTGGAAATTACGTAGCTGCTCTTTGCCGGATGAATGCAGTAAGCCACCTGACGCCGTTTGAGCTGAACGGCCATTTGCGTGCTCACAGAGCGACGGTTCTTCTCACCGCAGCGCCAGTCTCCGGTCCGGTCTCAGCGGCGGCCCCGCCCCCCCACCTCCTCCCACCTACCTTTGGTTTTGTTTGCGCGCCATGAATTTGCACGTGACCGCCAGGGCCAGGCCAGAGAGTTCATGGAGAGCAGGTTCTGTGCGCACGCTGAGGCTGCCCACAGATTCCTCGTTAGGGCCTTGTTTCGCTAATATGAAATGTTTACTCGCAACAAGGGATTCTGGGTAAATGAGGCAGTACGTTTGGTCGGCCCGTATTGTAAAACAAAACATTGGCAGCGTTATCTCTCGTTGGTTCATGGCTCGGTCGTAAATAATTATATTTATTTCAAAACGGACCCCGTACTTCCCTGACGGTCCGGTATTTTGCCATTTACCAATATAACGACGTTTAGCAAGCTTCAGAAATATTCCCACGCTTCGTTACTGCAGACCGACGAGGGATGACAGCCTGGTAGACGACGACCCGTTTGTTGACGATCACGGAATGACGTTTGAGAAACGCTGTTCCCATTTTACTAAAGGATTTAAAAGCAAAGTACAGAGACGTATATGTACATTTTGCGTTACGCACTTGCGAGTGAAAATACCGTTAGGGTTTTCACAATAGCTGCATGAGTTGACAAAAAACAACATTTCGCGAATAATTTAATATTAGCGTCTTAACGATGACTCGAAAGCGTTGTAGTTTTTTCCCCCGTTTAAAATAAAATGCGAGTGATTCCGGTGTGGTGGTAATCGTACGAGAATTTGTAATATTGCGCTTGCTATGCAACAAACGGTCGTTTATCCACGGAGGCTGGGACACTCGCCACGGCCCGTTGCTTTACCCACGGCACCTCGCAGCCACGCAGTGCAGCAGTCCCAGGCAAAGAGAGACTGCCGCGGTGGAAATAAAAAAATCTATCCGAAAAAAAAAAGTTGGATGTGTGGTATGATGGGGCGCCTCCCCCGCAGAATGTCAGATTTACACCCAGACCACGTGGGGTTAAATCGCCAACACCCATAGGGGGAAGTCGCACCACCGTGACGGTTATGGGCAAGGCCATGATGCGCGTGGGCTAGTTATTTTGGCGATCGTCGCCAGCAATCGCCACCGGCAAAGCCAGTTGCCAAGAACAGCGCTCGTGACTCAGTTGAAGTTACGGAGCTTTGTCTAGCCCAGGGGGTTGGCAACCAGAATAACAAGGAAAGAGCCTTTTTCTTTTTGAATTCAGTAAAAAAAACCCTCAATATTTCAAGAGCCGCAATGCAATGTTCATACGAGACGGGAGACGGTGGTCCTCAATAAATAACGTCACGAAAGCAGTCCTTATAAATAGCAGCATGCGGCTCCGGAGCCTCAGGTTGCCGACCCCTGGTGTAGCCAATCGGTGACCTCCTGCTCAAACGACAGCCCTGAACCAGTGGTGAAAATACTTCATTCCTATGGCAGGTGCGAGCGTCTCCATAGGACAACCACTGTTGACTTCCATACGAAGTGGTACTTGTTTTACGGAACCCAGAGCGACGATGGGCCGAGTCAATCCCCCAACCAGGATTTGAACTCGTGACCTCCTGATTGCGGGCCGCTCACTCTACCGCTTAACCACCTGGCCGGTCTAGCAAATTAAAACAGTTGCTTACAGAGTCTACGATGAGCAATGACTTGCCAACATCCAATCAGATATCACAACCTGGTGATATCTGATTGGATGTTGCCACCCATGTGCACACTAGGGAGCAAGTAGTGATCAGATTTGTCCAGAAGCGGGCAATTGCATCGCGTAGGAAACTGTTGCTGGTGAGAATTCCTGGCGACAGTTGCCCTAAAATGACCATCGTGCATCCTCTGGCCCTCGCGACAGCTACAGCGTTTCCCCCACCCACTCCTGTAGATTCCAGTGCCAGAAGAGCGTCGGTGCAAGGTTGGAATGAGGTGTTGAGTTGCGTTGGTGGTCGCAATTCTTGTTGCTTTGGTCGCATTACTAAAACCTGGACGTTTTGACAATTTGCGGTCTTTAAACGTTGCCAAGAACCCACAGACGCAGGCAAACCTCTTCTATTTGCGTACCAAGCATTGATGAATCCGACCTTTGTATTTTTTTGCTGTACAGTAGTAAATGCTAATATATGTTAAAAATATATATATAAAATATATCCAGCGAGTCACGTGTCCCTTTGTATTTGCAAATTACGAAAACGTTACTACGTTTGGTTGAACGTACAACCGCTGCCCAGGCCTTGACGCTCTGTGCGGGTGGGCGTAGCGGGCGCAAGCGGGCGCAAGCGGGCGCAAGCGGGCGCGTGCCCTTGCCGCTCGCATCGTCGCCGCAGGCCAAATATTCGCCCACGCGCGTCCGTGGCCGGACCCTCCCGCTCACAGCGCGTGCGTCGTCCCGCCCGCGAGCGGCTCTAGCGCGCGAATACGCACGAGGTTTGCCTGCGGGCGAACAGGAACGTAAAGACGACGCGTATGAGCGTAACACTGAAGCGAGAGAAGGAACACACGAAAAGCAATGTGTTGGTGTTGCCCTCCCCCCACCCCATCCCTCCCCCTACCTCCCCCACCCCTCCCTCTCCATGCCCCTAACCCGTGTTCTCCGTTTCAGCCCACCTCCCCGTCGTAGCGATCGACAGGTCCGCCCTCGGATTCCCATCTCCATGTGGCCTCCGCAGGGCGCAGAGCACAGAGAAGGGTCTCTTGACTTAAACCCTCCGAGGTCTCTCCCCTCACCGTCTTATTTTGTTTCCTTTTAAAGTAATCTCGTCGTGCTTGTTAATACTGCTACTACTACTATTGTTGTCGTCGTTGTTGCTGTCGTCGCCGTTATATTGTACGTGGTTATTTTTTGGCGCGTCGTTGTTTCCTCTCCTCTTTAATTTAATTTGAGATAATTTGCACCCGTGTTAAGGTTCGACGACGATGCGCGATGCTTGTCGGTATGAAGCCGGGTCAGGTCGTGGCGCGCCGCTGCTGCTGCTGCTGCTGAGCCGTGCTCGGGGGGCGGGGGCGGGGGAGGGGAAGGCGCAACCCAAAAAATTAGCGGGTTGGGGGGACTCTCATTTCAGTCGCAGAAAATACCGAGACGTAATTGCAACGATATTCTTCGCATTCATATGGCGCTTGCTTACTACATGCCCCAGCAATACATAGCGTCTCATCTCAAATATTCAAGGGGGGGGGGGGGAGGAGGGCGTTTGGGGGGCGATGATCCCTGCCGTGCATAATCCCAACGAGAGTAATACGCGCGGCATTGGAACAAGTTTGAAATCTTCTGCGAATAAAGAAGCCGATTCACTTCTGATACTGTGTCGCGCAGCCACCCGGGGGGAATGCCACCGCGAGAGGGGGTTTTAAATCCCCGGGCGAGCGCCGAGATCCGCAGGGTCGACATCGAGTGGCTCCCGGCATGCGCTGCGCGTCGCCGAGTAGCCTATGGGGTGGGGGGCGTTTTTTTCTACTTGCCGGACGGATGCGAGGGGACTCCAGCGAGAGTGTCGGCGTTGAGGCCTTGGATCAGTGTTTGAGGCCGTGGGTCAGTGTTTGAGACTGCTCGTACGGTCGTCCGTTGCTGCGGTGCAGTAATAGCATCTGAACACGATTTGGGGGTGCGCGTGGTGTCTCTCTACCCAGCTTACGTAGACATTCGACGGTCGTGACACCACACGCGGGTAGGGCGGCCACGCCCAATTGGTGTCACCGGGTGGCTTCGTGGTGGCTCTCTTGAAAGTTTCATTTTAACAAGACATGAACGATTTAGGTCTCGTTGGTAAAACTCGCCTGGGGGACACAGCTCAGCTCCGCAAGTACAAATAGGCCAGCCGCTTGTTTCCTGGGTTGCGTCTTTCCATCAACCTCTCCGAGTGACTGCAGTGCCACAGCCACATTTAATAGGCAATGCTGCACTAATGGGCCGTGTGCTGCACTTATGTGCTGCAATCAGCACCAAGTGCGTTTTCCAGCTTTCTATTTTACAAGGAGGTACAGGCTGGATTGCTGCGAAGGGCTCAAAGTCAAACGGTCTCCCGTGCCCACAGAAGCATCGAGGCTTTGTACTCCACTTCATCCAAAACCGTGAACCTTGGTAACGATTGGTGTGCTCGGAGCTCAATTCAGAATCGGAAAGTCGTGAGTTCACATCCTGGTGCGGGCTTCGATGGGCAAATCATCATTCTAGAGGTCAATGAAATAGACACCATTTTGTGGTAAATCGGCAGTGGTCGACCTAGAGAGATGGGCTCATGCCATGGGAATGTGGAATCTTCACCGCCTGGCTCAGGGCCACAAACGGAGCGCCAGCCCCAATTGCTCGTTGGAGACACGCGAGTTTACTCAGAAGAAAGTGGGAATTGAAACATTGGCTCCCGTCATTGTGCGTGTCCGTTTGAACTTCTGCACTGCGCGTAGTGCAACCATGCATGCTGTCGTGGAGACAAACACCGGCCATCCGCCTGCAGAACGACGTACGCAGGGTCCACGAGTCGGTGGCTACGCCGACTTGATTAAGCAAAGATTTGATTTTCACCAAAAGCCAAACTATATTCTAATTCAAGCTGCCGGCGCCGCTCATTTGGGACACACCGAGACATTTTGACTTTTGTGAGTTTTCCCTTTTAACAATCGTTCATCGGATGACCTCTGAAAGTTTATTTTAATACGTGTTGGTGGGGTCATAAAAAAGTCGCCGTTCCTAACACAAGAGGTTCGCGGTCAACGCCTTCGCGCCCTTCGTCTGGCCACGGATGTTTCGATCGTCGCTTGCGCCTCCAACTGTGGCGGCGGCTGTCACCTCGGCCCCCACGCAACGGCGGCACGGCCTCGACCGGCAATGAAAAAAAAGTGTGAGTGGAGTGGGGGTGGGTGGTGGGGGGTGGCACGAGTTTGCGTTTAAAACAAAAAGGGGGGCTTCGGTTGCAAGGGGCAAGTGCACACGTCTCTTTGGAGGCAAAGCTGCTCTGGCTGTATATTTCCTCTGTAAATACCATGACACCGATGTAGAATACTACGTAGGAACCCTCCTATAATGTGCACTGTAGGTGTATTATAAGCGTGTTTATATATATGCGAGTTGAATGCTGTGGGTTAGTCGCAGCGATGCCTATTTGTACACGATCCACCCGCGTTTCCGGTCGGAACGTTTTTCAAAGTGGCTGACCCAGTCACGGAGTGAACCACCATTAAATAAACATTTTTCCGCAAAACAGTTTTTTTTTAAATGTCATCACGACAGCGAGAACTTGCGAAGCGTGCAGTAAAGTTGTGCACTCACCGCTGCAACTGAAAGGAGGGGATGCCCCAAAAGTAATGCTGCCTTCTATATTCTTGCTCAAATAACGTTACTGCTTTTGCTCATAAAAAAAAATCTCACGATTCTTTTGAGATGCTGAAATTTGTTTAAGTTTCTGCTTAGAAAACGCGTGACATTCAGCTGCCGGAAGGCCCTGCTCCCAACGCGACAACGTTGACCACAGTAATGGAAGACCACGCACGAGCCAGAGAACATCGGAGGCCGCTGCATTGTCCGGGTGGACTGCTAAATGAATACATTGTGAGGTCGCACTCATTGCACGCAAAAAGTGCGTGCCAAAAATGAACCACAATACCTTGCTGATCTCAAGGAGCATAAACCATCGTCACACAAGCTCTGGTCATCCTCACAGCAGTTTTTGGCTGGCCATTTAACAAAAGACGGTCACCACATCGCGTTGGCGCTTTCAGATGCGCTTTTGCGGCCGTCTGGAATACTCTTCCGATATTTGGAAGCCACTGGAGCTACGCACTTTCAAATAATCTAGATTGAAGACTAATTTATTTAGAGCTGCTTTTTGTGTTTCGTTTATTCTTTCCTCGCACCTCCGATTCGCACAATTGGCTACGTACAGTGTGAAAGAAGTTCAACGTACTAAACTATTTTTTCTCATTTTTTATCAGATAAGGTCCACTAGCTATTTAGCTTGTTTTCAGAAGTGACCTGGCCACAAATAATAGCTCAACGAGAAGTGGCTTATCTTGTGGAAATGTATAGCAGCCAAATACTCTAAATGAATAGCGAGGATCGAACCCACGACCTGTATACCTGACGAGGTAGTTACCATCCCGCCACCGTGGCGTCCACCCAAGAGTATCGTGCTGTCAGAAGTGTCATTCGAACCTCCGCTTCCATGGGAGATTGCGACCTGAATTCAGCGCCTTAAACCGCTCGGCCGTCCTGACTAGCATACATACCTGCTGCACCTCTCAAATCCGACGTAGCCTGCGCTGCACCCGCTGCAGGAACCTTCGGCCAAGTGCGGGTGCTGCGCCGAACGCACCGCCGCTGCGACTGACGGGAACCTGCGCCCCGCCAGCTCCGTCGCTAAGCCGAGGGGTTGCGCACGCACGGCACGTGCCGCTGTGCTTCGGTGCGAGCATGCGGCCTGCCGCCGCTGCTTGTGCTGCACCTGGACGAACGTCTCCAGACTTGTCAGCACCCCCCCTCCCCCCCCAGAGAGTCATTGTGGTCCATCGCGAGACAATTTCCCGCCCCCCTTCCCAGCGTTTCTCACCTGTCCGAAGATGAGTGCCAGCGAGACACGGCCGTTGTGCATCGTACGCCTCGCCGCAGGCCCAGGCCAGCCGCTGCTCTTTTAATTTTCTTCGGGAATGGCCCTTTGACTACCTGCGCGCCTCTATTTAACTGATTTGAATTTTTTTCTCATCAGGTCCAGGGGACCTCTTCGCCACCAGTAAATTGTCTTCAGGGGGCTTCCCCAAGGTTCTGTCCTTGGACCCCTAGTTCATTTTAATATTGCCGTGGTGGCTAGGAGATGTTAACTCCCTCGCCTGATACACAGGAGGTCGTGGGTTCGATCCCGATCCTGACGCCTGCTGTATATTTGCGCGTCTCTTTCTGTCTCTCCGTGGTCGTGTGGATTTTTCTCCGGGTCCTGCGGTTTTTCCTTCCACCTTTAGAAACATGCATTTAGAGTGTTTGGCTGGTATACATTTCCACACGATAAGCCACTTCCTTGAGCTGCCATTTGTGATAGCCAGGTCGCTTCTGAAAAAAAGAGCTAGACAGCTCAGCGGGCCTTACCTGGTTAAATAAAAAAAAATGTTTAGGTTTTCTTTAGTATTTCATCTCTCCAATTGGTCACCTCGTCAAGAGTTACGGCGTTGGCTACC